TTTTGGGAACTTGAATAAATAGCATGTTCAAAAAATTAGACATGCAGACAGCTATCGAAAAAGGTAAAGAATAAACATTTCTATTATTGACCAGAGTAAATCTACACTTCATTTGAGCCTGTACTTATAATAATTTGCACATATGGTTAATATTGACATTTACTGGAAATAGAATGTGCACAGTATTTGTAGTTAAAATCTATGAGGCTTGAAATTCTGCTAACTTGCCCATTTTTTAATGATCCGTTTAAGCAGCTGCAGTCTGTTTGTGTATTTAGCTGTAAATCACATGACTTCATCACATGACAGATTCCCCATTGGCAATACGGTTGTGATTTGGGAGTGTTGACCTTTTGACCATTTGAGTCTGTACACACACCCACACACATGCAAACTCTGTCGCCTTTTGTTGCTAAAATTGGACTTGTTGACTGTTTTAAGTATCTTCCCACTTTCTAGTTTATTTCTATACTTCAAACATTTGTATGAAAAGGAAGCCATTGTGTCACTCGTCTCATTGGTTATAACGTCATGTCTTTAATTTGTCATGCCAGTTTTTTGTACATTGTTTTGCTCTTGTGCAGAGTGTGTAGCATAACCATTGATTTGACAAGGAATTTATTTTTGAATGAATCACTTGCCATTTCATCAAATTTATAAATGTCCACATCCTCCAAAAGCATGTTGACCGTGTTTTCGTTTTTCAGGGTCTGCTAACAAAGTGTCAGTCATATACTGTAAAAATTGCAAGCAGAATCGACTGATTATTATTTAGAAAATCTTTTGTTAAGTTGACTCTCTTTGTTTGTCATGTTTCTTTCTTTTTTTTTCATTTACCCAAACTTGACTCAATGTTATGAAGATTATAACATTGTAATATAACATGTATGATTTGTTTTAATTAGCTCAGTCAACATTAGCCATTCTGAATGGTTGGTGGATTTAAAAACAACTCTTCATTTAACTTTTAACCTTCACTGATATTATTTAATATGTATTTCTAAGTCCAATCATGAATATTAATTCAGATATGTTTTATTTGGTGTTTTACAGTGTACAAATGCCAATATACTCAAAATATTAACTTATATTTCAAGAATTGAGGATTTTAAAAGGTTTTGATTAATGTCTATACTATTTTGCCATCTTAAATGTCTCAGAATGATTGCACAGCATCCTTTCTTTGCAAAATTCAACTGATTTTTGTCCAAACATTAGGCTTACCGATTAGCATCTACATCTCACTTCATGACTTCATTATCTTTCTTTCAGAAGCTTTTCTTTTGAACTCAGTACAGTTGACACCATTGAAATCAAGGGAATATGTTAACTGAAAGAGATAGATCTGGTCTAGGTTTCTGAAATGACTGTGATAGTGCAAATCAGCAATTTTAGAAGGTCTTAAGATTCAGTAATAATTGGCAAAGCATATTCATTACTGAGCTGATTTTGGCGCACCATAGTGAGCCACTGCTGTGTTAATAAGCTTTTATCAAATGTTTTTGTGTTTTAATAATGGAACGGATTGAGTTTGTTTTTTTCTTTTCTTTCTTTGCTATGGTAACCTCTCTAGATCTTAAAGTAAAATAAATGGCTGGTGGAGAATTTCTCTGTTTCCTATGTTTCCTGTGCCATCATCTGCAAGATGAAACATTGACATTTTGTTGTTTTTCTTTTAGTATTCTGTTCAAATTTATTAAAATGTGGCATGCTTCAGTCAAACACAATCTAGTTCTCGTCAAAAATGTTTTTGAGAGAATTTGAGAAGCAAACTAGATCACCAAAGTAGACAGTTTCAACAAGTACTTATGCAAAAACAAGGAGTTGGATACAGTTGTGGCCAAAGAAAAACCCTACAACTTTAATTAAACCATCAAAATATGAAGAACATGCTATTTTGGAAAGAGGAAAGCACTAAACCTGATTAAGGTATTTAAATAATGTAATTTGATTTTCATTTACTGTTTATATACAGTACAAAATTGTAGGTGAAGGTCCTGATGAATGAATGTTAACTGAAAACAAAAAACAAATCTTTACTGTTAGATAGTTCAACAGTGTTCAGCTGTTCTGAGTCCGCTAAATCTGATCTGTGTGTAATGTTACATAATGCAGCATTAATGGTGAGGAACGACTGTAGGCAGAAAGGAAAAACATACAAATCTGTGTGCTACAGTACACACAAACAATACCAGACTCTGAGTGGTTCACAAACAATCCCAACAAAATCATTGTGATTTATTAACTTGAACTTGCTTCATATCGAATGCAATCTTCTGACATGCGCTGCAGAGATAGACAGTTCTCACTGTTTCAAACTGAGCATGAAGAACAGCCTAATCTTTGTTTTAAAAGACAGTCTGATTATTTATATGACAGCGGGGAGGGCATATAAATCTTTGTGTTGCACTTGCTATATTTACCAAGGGGTAAGAAATCCCCATCCTATAAACGAATAAGGCATCTTTGTTTGAAATTCTGGAGGAACAATGCAGTATTTGATAGACAGTGGAAGGAGAAGAAATGAAATTACGGAAATTTTTAACTTATATTGATCAGTAAGCTTGTTTTGTTCACTACATGTACCTTAATTGTGCCATTTGCTCATGTAATGTACAAACATTTATTTAATATATGAATAAAAATCAGCCAAGGCTCATTGAAAATGCAGTACGTGCATAAGCCCTCTAAATTTGCTTTCTACATTTCTTTACATACGTTTTGTTATATGATTTAGATGCATGTCGTTCTTGTATATGTAAACTAAAAGGTGGGGGTTGACATACAAATAACCTAAACCAGCAAACACTGACCTAAACCCAACCAATAGTGTTTTCTAAAGCAAACGGCCTCATAGCTTTCTTAAGATTTGACCTTTTTTTCTCTTTTGTGGAACTGTGCTTAACCAGACCTGAGCACACTGCTTTATATGTATAGCATAACTCTGTGAGTTAAGTTTTCTTATGAAGATAGATAGAGTAGGTGAGGCAAATATCCCATTACAAATCATAGATAGACACTGTTAAGTTGTTTTCCAGCATTTATTTGGTGTTGTGTAATGAGCTGCACAAAAATGATCCTACTTTATTGCTAATATGTCTCTGTAAATAACATTAGTGTGAAAAGTAGCTAAATTGTTGGTGTCATATTGCCCCGTAGTGTTCATATTACCTAGTATCTGCAGTCAAGTGTAAGATAATGATTTATAGGGAGTGTGTTGCAGCATTTCATCATGTTTTTTTTGTGTTTGTTGAAACTTTTAAGTTTCAGTTTCCAATCCAAATCAAGTGTTTACATGTTCTGCTGATCGGATTAGAAAATATTCAAATCACCCTTTACAGTCTGAATGAGACTTCTATTTGATTTTGCCAGTTCATTCCCATTAAAGTGTTTACATATTTGCTTTTTTTGTTTTGTTTATGCTAGTTCAAATAAAGCTATTTGGCTAATTTTAAAAGCAGTTAGTATCAAACCATAAATGTGGAAAGAAACAGAAAATAGTAAGAAGTTTATGGGTTTGTGGTCCATGGTTCAGTTGATACGGATTCTAAAAAAGCCATGAATTTAAAGGGGACCTATTATCTAAAAAGCTTTTACAAGGGGTTTAAACACTGTTTGTGGCAACAGTGTGTGAATATAGCCAGCCTCTAATGGTAAAAATGAATTGATTATATTTTTATAATCACACTTCATAAAGACAGCCTGCAGAAACACTTTGATTGATATTCTCATTTTGTACATGTACATGTCATCAGAGTGGGAAAGCCCTGCCCATTAGTGACGATCTCTTCCTCATTAGCATAAACAGCCCTGAGTGAGTAGCAGCCATCCATCCTCAAAACCATTAGAGATTTGAATCTGACAATATGGTGATACATAAGCATTTATAGCTCCACCATCTTTAATTCGCTTTCAAATTTAAAGCAACAGCCACCGAAATGGATTACAGCCTAAAAGGGGCCGTTTTGAAGAGTTTTGAAGCAATATTTGTGGAGTATTTTTGAGCTAAATCTTCACATGCACACTCTAGGAACATCAAAAGACACAGACACACACACACACACACACACATATATATATATATATATATATATATATATATATATATATATATAGTATTTTTATTAATTCACCATTTCAACAATGATGTCTTTGTTTATTAAAGCAGTTTCCTAAGTGAGGGTCTCTTGGTGATTTCTGAAAGACAAATAAAATGTATTAAACTATGAGAATTACCATATTTCATTAATAACCCACGAAAGATAGAAATCATAGTTTTTAATAGTAAAAAAAAAACATGCAGATGAAAAGCCATTAGTCTTTAATTTTTTTTTCATAGAATTGGTGTGTTACATTAGATTAACAGCACAGCAATAGCATCAACTGCAGCAGGTTATTTTATTGCACCAGGTTAAACTTTCTGAAGCCTTTATGACAATCAAATGCATTAAAAATAAATACAGGCCACAACTGAACATCGAGGATGATCTATGAGTGGCGGTCCCCAAAATTTAACCAAGAATAGACTTGTGCTGAAAACATTGTGTCCACCCGTCTCTTTAGTTGAGGTAATATTACATTAAACAAATATATAAATGACTATAAAACTGATATGGTTGTTAGACTGTTGCGTTTTTTTGTGCTGTCAACATGCTCATGTTTATATCGGCCTATTGATGTGTGTACAACGTTTGTATATTTACAACCATCTCTGAGGAATTTGGAGGAATTTGTAATTTTAGGGGTTGTGGGCTGAAAAGTTTGGGAACCCCTGTATTAAAGCAGCGTTTGTATTAAATCTATATCAAATCAAGAACTGATAATCAAATTAAGAACATGGGTAAGGACATCTTCAGTACTCTTTTCTATAACTTATTTGAAGCTACTGCCCCAAATCCAACTGGTCTTATTATCTTATAATCCATTTAAAAAACATCACAAGAGAACAAGCACGTTCTGTGATGCTGTGATTGACATTTCTTCCTCTTGTCTTTCTCTAGTTTTGAGGAGCAGTTGTGCTCTGTTGGAAAAAGCTGCAGAAGACCCAGTGCATCCAAATCCTCTTCAATCCAGTCCAGCAGAAGACAGCGATGGTAAAGCACAGATTATTCATTTGTTTCTCATTCCTTCTCCAGTGGTTTTCTTCCTGTTGTTTCTCTCTATTTTTCCTAAATGGAGTTTGTCATTGGAGTCACCACAGTGAACTGAGAAGAATCATTGATCTGGTTAAGATTTCCACCCAGGGCACTTCCCGTCGAGACTTTTCACTCGAATGTCAGAGGGGCTTTGTGGTTTCCCTCTTTGCGGTCATTCTTCATCAATAGTCTTGCACCATTCCAAAGACAACTTGTCTGTATCTTTCCACTGGAATGCCTGATGACAAACAGAAAGCCCTCAAGATATTCTCGCTCTTGTCCAAACTGACATACCCTTGTCTTGACTGTTTAATTTGATTATATTTTTGCGTTTTTGGATGGACTTCAGAGCAACAGAGAGTTTAAAAAAATACAGTTTAATTGCGTCTTTCTTGAGGCTGTTCCAGTGTGAACCCAATTGTCCTCCCAAATCCCAAAAACAAGAAAGCTATTTTTTTCTTAGACTTTTTAATTACTAGCAGATCATTCGAAAGATAATGTTTTCTGGATAAAAACAAGGATGCATGAAATTGACCAAAGAGAGAGAAACACTTTTATATTTTTTGTTTGTAGAAAATGTTGCTGTTTTAAATTTTCTTATATTAAACAATACTGGGAGAAATAAATGATTTCATGCTTGATGATGATATTAAAATCAGCAGCAACAACATTACTGGTTATGACTTCTGAAAAATACAAGTAAAATAGACAATTGTCGATGGATGTAACATGTCAAATATTAATGTTTTTTTTTGTATTGATACACAAAGTACAGTATAAATAGATATTACAGTTTTTCTCAGTGGCTTTTGTGCATTTCTCGCAACACTATTTACATTTGCACAACAGTTAATGCATTTCTCATAGCACTTTCTTATTCCTTCCAACAAATTGCAAATGATTTTGGACATGCATCAATTGCTTTCATACAACTCTCTGCTGTTTTATATTATTTACTTTTGTCATGTCAGTCTAATGAACTAAACTTGTGAATGCTGAATAGTCATTCCATATAAAACTAAGAATCGGTCAAGCAAATTTAATAAAAATCTTTAAATCTTTTTTTTTTTTGAAAATTGAAAAATTTTCTTGAAAATTTCTTCTAAATTGAGTTTCATGAATGATTTAAAGACTTGTGTTTGTTGTAGGTTATAAAACCTATAATAAAAATAAAAATAAAAACCTCTAATAAAACCAGGTACTGCAATATTGTATACATTTGTGCACAGCTCTACCCAAAGGAAGTTTATGTTTGTTGTAAATAAGGGTGTGTTTATTCTTTTGCACAATGCTGTGAATAAATTAGAATTGCAAAGGACAAATGCCGTAAAAATGTGAAACATACATATTCAGTGTCTTGTACTCAGATACCTCACTAAATGCAGCAGTTTTCAAATGACTGTGCAAACAGTATACAGTGCTGTATTGAGCATTTTCAGGAAGTTTCATCACAATCTGACTTTATTGCATTGGAAAAAATTTACAGAGTAAACTGTCATAATGGAAAGATAACAAAGCTATTTGACTATCTTGTTCATAAACAATGGTGTCAGGACTTTTCATCTTAATGATTCAATCTAATTCAATTCAGCTTTATTTGTATAGCGCTTTTACAATGTAGATTTTGTCAAAGCAGCTTCACATAAATGGTCATAGTAACTGGATCAGGGTAGTTCAGTTTTTAGTGTTTAAGTTCAGTTCAGTTATGATACTGACACTTTCATTGGCAACAATACTTGCTTTTGAGGAATGAGCTATCCATTTTGAGTAAGTGACACGCTTTTACAGGTTATCTACTAGGTTTTGCAGTTTGTACTAATTGTTTTAAGAAATGCATTAACTGTTGTTCAAATGTAAATAGTGTTGTGAGAAATGCACCAGAGCGACTGAGAAAAACTGTAATATTTTGTATTTAAATTTGTCTTTTATTTTAAAATAGATAGATAGATAGATAGATAGATAGATAGATAGATAGATAGATAGATAGATAGATAGATAGACAGACAGACAGACAGACAGACGGACGGACGGACGGACGGATGGATGGGTGAATGGATAGATAGCTCAGTGGTTAGCACTATCACATCACAGCAAGAATGTCGCTGTTTCGAGTCCTGGTTGGGCTGTAGTGTATGTGTTTGAATGGAAGAGAGTGTTTTCCAGTACTGGGTTGCGACTGAAAGGCCATCTGCTGCATAAAACATATGCTGGATAAATAAAGGGACTAAGCCAAAGTAAAATGAATGAATAATATCTGTTATCTATATTTATTTATATAGGAGAATACCAAATCTCTAGACATTTGACTTTTGTCTTTCCATAGTGTCTGATTCAGTGTTTATTTTTTTTTTCCATAAGGCCAGACCTGCCTGTATTGCTGACATATATGTTATTTTAACTTTGCAGTTCCACATATCCATACATATTAATCTTTTCTTTGTTTATTATTGCCATTTTTGGTCATCGCATGCTACTGTAGTGTGAGTAGTGTCGTCCCTTTAACCCTCTGATATGATGCAACTTCATCTTTCCTCAGTTTCGTTCTGTGATTTCGAGTCTCCGTGTTCTTGGACATTATCCAGTCACAGCACTGGAGGAGACTGGTTTATCACTTCAGCACAGCAGCACAGATCTAGCAGACGCGACACCCAGCCTATCAGAGATTACTCCACTGGAAAATCTGAAGGTAGCTTCTCTTCACTCTTTTATTTTGAAGCTCAAATCAGATCTAACAATAACTGGTGTACATTCAGGTTCTTCTCTGGCCATTAGATATTTAAAAAAATTGCTGAACTATAAACTCCATGAGCACATAAATTCAGTTGTGAAGTTTAGTCATGACAAGTGTAAAACTACTAACAAAAAGAAAATACACAAATGTAAATTTCACATAGACAAAGCAGTTGTTTGTACAACAAAATACAAGTTGTATAAAAATTATTATAATCAAATGATTCTTGAATATTTTAAAAATAGAGCACTTACGGACATGCATTTTAATGCTTAACTCTTGACCGCACACTGAGAGAAACCGAAAGTAACCGGAGTATATAGTACAGTAGGTGGAGGTCAAAACCATAAGTGTATATGCGACTGCACAACAATTATAGTAATTCAAAAATATGTTTTGTTGGGCCGAATTTCGTTTTTTTTTAAGTCAGTTGCGGGATGGATGGAGGATGAGGGTTGGCCGCAAATGGCAGTTTGAGACCCCTGTATTAAAGTATCCAACAACTACATGCTAAATAAAACTTTACTTCTAGATTAAACAATTACTTACAGAAGTTTAATCTCAATGGGCCTTGAAATGTAAGATGGGCTTAGATAGTAGAGGCCTTTGTGAACACTAACCTACTGTAATTTGGCCTTCTTCCTCTTAAAACAGGAACACTGAAAAAAATGATTCATTGTATTAACAATTTTCTTTAAGGTAAGTAATTGCATTGCATGTGAATTTTCAATTTGCAACAATTTCAAAAAATATTTTTTCACATTGTCATTATGGGGTATTGTGTGTAGAATTTTGAGGAAATAAATGAATTTAATCCATTTTGGAATAAGGCTGTAAAATAAAAAAGTGAAAAGTCAAGCGTTATGAATACTTTTCAAATAAAAAGTTGCTCAATACGTAACACAAACAAGTTAAATTTAGTTATGTTCAACTTATTTTTGTTTAAATTCAGCCCAGTTTGCAATCACTTACCTTAAATCCTTGTCAATCCAATGAATCATTTTTTCAGTGAAGCCAGGATAAACTAGAGGTGAAATTCAAATTCATAGCCCAAAATGAATATCAAAATAAAGGTCATGATGAGATGAAATCTAAAGTCCAATACACTGACAGTTTCTTTTTTCTGCTGAACACACAAAAAAAGATATTTAAAGAAATGTACAAAGCTATTGACTTCCATAATATTTTTGACATACTATGGTTGTCAATGGCTACTGGTGTTCAACAGAAGAAAGAAATTCATAAAGTTTGGAACCACTTTAAGGTGAAAAAATGATGAAAAAATTAAGAGGTCAGATGCAAAAACCATATGGAAAATGCCTCCTATGTCTATGTTCAGTAGTTAAGTGGAAAAGAAGCTATTCATCATCATAAAAGTGAAATTACTGAACACAGACACAAGAGTCTAAGAAAACTGTATGTTTTAGAAGAATATTTTTAATGTCATTTAGCTATCTCTGCCATCTGAACTCTTCAAATGTTCATTTGTAGGTGATCTTTCCCTTTACGTATCTTAAAAAAATATATTGTGCACAGAGCTTTTTTGTTCAATTAGTTCAGTTTAATCATTGAAAGTAGTAAGACTATCCTGTGTTTCACCAGGACATTTTCTGCTGCTGAAGCCCAGCTCCAGTCATCTGTCTGCAGGCAGATGTAGTTTCCACATGACCAGTCCTGTAGTTCTCAGCAGTGGGCCATTTTGTCATCTCCAACTCGCTCGCTTTCAACCAGAGCCACACGCTGGAAACATATCAGCCTTCGTGAAGCACACCGACTCTACCGACATCAAACCCATTGACCTTACAATCAAAGAACAAGAAAGCGACAGGTGAGATTGAGGTTCTTCAGCTCTACATGTGTTGACTCAAGCCTCCATCTATTAGCAGATTTCTCGCAATTATTGCATTTTAAAAGCAAACTGTGAAATATGAAAACATTTAAAAGAACTGTTTTGCTAATTTAATACATTTTAAAAATACTCTCACCAGCCACTTTAAAAGGTCCACCTTACTAGTACCAGGTTGGACCCACTTTTGCCTTCCTGTTCTTAGCTGACAGGAGTGGCACTCAGTGTGGTCTTCTGCACACCTCGCTTGTAACGAGTGGTTATTTGAGTTACTGTTGTCTTTCTATCAGCTCAAACCAGTCTTGCCATTCTCCTCTGACCTCTGGCATCAGCAAAACATTTGCACCCACAGAACTGCTGTTCCCTGAATATTTTTCTCTGTTTTGACCATTCTCTGTAAACCCTAGAGATGGTTGTGCGTGAAAATCCAAGTAAATCAGAAGTTTCTGAAATTCTCAGACCAGCCCATCTGGCACCAACAGCCATGCCACCTTCAAAGTCACGTAAATCACCTTTCTTTCCCATTCGATGCTCTGTTTAAATTGCATTTAAATTAAGATTGTCTTAACCATGTCTACATGCCTAAATGCATTGAGTTGCCGCCATGTGATTGGCTAATAAGAAATATAAGAAATACCTAATAAAGTGGCCGGTGAGTATATATAATGTTGTTCATTACAAGAATGAACTGTGTTTTATTTATTTTTATCTATTCTTAGATCAATATTGTAAACAATCAAACTCATGTGATAAACAAGTTTTAGGTTAAAATTAATCTAAAATTAATTTAGTCAAATTACAATTCATATGTACTATTTTTATGCAATATGTGTTAAGAATGGGCTCCAAATTAGTAATCTACCCAGCAAAGGGTTTATATGCGTGTATATATATATATATATATATATAGTTTTTTGTGTACATTTTAAGACGCATACCACACACACACAAACACATTGTTGAAATCACACTCACACACATACACAAAGTACAGTAATATTTTGATAATGATGATACTGTTGCCAGGGTTAAAACAAATGCTTAAGTTAGGGACCAAAAACTGCAACCTGCTTGATTTTTTTAAAAAATATATCATTATTTTAACATTTTTAGCTCACTCACCAAAGATTTTGTTACTGTATTTGTACTGTATTTCTTAAAATTTGATGAGGACTTCTAAAGTGCCTCCCCCCTTTTGCTTTTTTTTGCAGTAGATAAAAGTGCAATGTCATATATACGTCTTATTAAAAAAATAGTGTAAAGCAGCATCCCGTACTCACAACAGAAAAAAGACTTTGTTATGGAGATGTAGTTGGTATTGATTTTCTTGTGCTGGGTACATCACGAACAAGATGGATAAAAAGCATTTTGTCATTACATCTAAAAGTAGAACCTGATGTTTCTTTTGGCATAATTGGTTCTGACAGAGAGCTAGGAATAGACGGTGATGCAATGCAATTTGGAACGAGCCAGTACAATCATGATGCGGGTAATACACTTTTACTTTCTGCATTTGGCTGTATGGATCTGAGCCTAAAGGAGGTTACGCCATGGAGTGTGGTGTATCATACAAATCAGTCATATGTTTAATAATGTTGTCTAACTCGCCAGATCTCTTTAGTACAGTATGAGTTAGCCAACCACTCTTGTACATCTAATGACGCTCTCTCACCGTCCATGACATTTGGTAAAATTGCATAATGTAAAACATGGCCAGCTTTTGTCTTGATGTTACTTAGCTTGATTTTTTCCCACGTTTGGTATGGTCTGAATAAACCAAACAGTAAAATCTAGATAATAACTCCAGAATATTAAACATGATTACACATACAATAAGGTTGCTTTTCTTATCATTAGTTAATGCTTTAGTTAACATAAATTAACAATAAACAACACATTCTTTAAGAACTTAATTAATATTTGCTAATGCTAGCTTAACATATTATTGTGTTAGTTTTCGCATTAATTTACCTGAACTTATGGTAAACAACATTAATTAATGCTGCCTTATTGTAAAGTATTACAGTAAAAAACTGTACTTTTTTTCAGTGGACGTGGAAATGATTTTTGCTTTGTAAATACAAAGCATCAGTTGCTTCAGCTTCATTCATAAATTCTCTCCTGTGGCTTCATGGGATAGGAATGTGTACTTCAAATGCACATTTGAAAATTTCATCAGAAGTAGTGGGTCATTTGGATAGTTTTTGCTCAGTGCTATGAATTTGGACATATTTTTTGTCACATACTGTTGTTCTCTTACTGTGTTATAGAGTGTTTTCACAATGAAGTGTCATCAGTCTGCCATTTTGGAGGCACAAAACATAAACAATAGACCAACCAGAAACCCATATATTGTGGTTATTATTGCTGTTGAAAACGATCACTTAATGTCATGTTTTGGGCTGTAGTCTTTGGTCAGACAGCAAAAAACATGTGAGTACTTTAGACTGCCCAAAGTTATAACAGATCAAATCAAAGAGAGAGAGGGAGAAAAAAAACTGACACACAAAAGGAGTTTTTGGTTGGCCAAACTGATCCAGGATTTCTAGAGCAAGAATCTTCACTATATCCATGTTTGTTTTTATCTCATCAATATACAGTTGAAGTCAGAATTATAAGCCCCCTGTTTATTTTTTCCCCCAATTTCTATTTAACAGAGATACATTTCTACACAATTCTAAACAAAAAAGTAGTAGTTTGTTCTGTAGACTTTTTTATTAATGTTTTTTTATTTATTAAAAACTGCTTATATTCTAGCTGAAATAAAGCAAATTAGACTTTCTTCAGAAGAAAAAAAATGTATCTGACATACTGTAAAAATGTGCTTGCTCTGTTAAACAACATTTGGGAAACATTTAAAAAAGAAAAAAAATTCAAAGGGAAGCTAATAATTCTGACTTCAGCTATATTCCTTTCCTGCTTACCAATTATTCAGTAGTGCATTACATCCAAGTATCTTCAATATGGCCGTACATTGGTGTAACTGATAAAATCAAGACATACAGTGGCATGTGTGATGCAGCCACTGAGAAATGATTTTTTGGTTTTTGGTTTTGGTGTCCAGCTCGCAGTGGGAGGTCTTGGAGGCTGTGATTGGTCAGTTGAATGAGCCCTTCCAGGTGACAGTGCAGTACTCTGCCTGTAGCAGTCATGAAGTTGGGTTTCTGGCATTCGATTCACTGGAGCTGAAGAACTGTGTCATGGGTAACAGCTTTTTATCTGTTCTCAAATAATACCTAACTGTGTCTTATGATTATTACCTTTTACTGTAAAAACATTCTGTGTAATTTTTGGTTTATTTTTCCATTTATTTAATTTTACCATCAAAAGTTGACCGATTAGAGATTATATATTCAGTATATTATACATAATATGTATTATATTTACTGTGGTTTTAGCGAAAGTCTTTAAAAGTTTGGTTCATGTTATTGAATTTGCATTGAGAAGTATTGGAATGTGGTTTGGGATTCATGCAACTCTGGATGAAAATAAATGTTGTGACTATACATATAGAAACTATTTCATGGCTGTTGCATGCCAAAATTAAAGCTTAAGGTGGTCCAATGTAATATTAAAGTAAGCAAATTTTATTTTTGGACAGGCAGTGTATGTAATGGTTTTGTGTGGATTTCTGCAGGTGATGATTATGTGGATTTGGGTTCCGACTGTGAGAAATACTCATCTCTTCAATGTCATTCTGGAGGCTGCATTGAGAAACAAAGAGTGTGTGATTTCCACACTGACTGCCCAGAAGGGGAGGACGAGGGCTTAATATGCAGTGAGTGAAATTCAATATTGTAGATGTTTTATAAACCATGAAGATGTGTAATTTTTGTTTATCAGTCTGTCATCAATTGTGAACACAGCTTTCAAAATCTGATGCCTTTTCAGTTTTATGCAATTACTGTTGCACACATCAGATGATGGAGCTCTTAGGTCTTAAAGAAAGTCTGTCATCTTTTTGTTGTTTTAAATGTAAAGAACGGGCTGCATTCCATCAATCCATTATTTTAATTTATGATAATCGAAACATTTCTTTGAAAGGTGGCCTTGGAGCTATAAATCCTTGTTAGATTTGCGAGATCATTCCTGCCAGTTTGCATTTGGTTGAAAGCGCTCAATTAAAGTATGAACAGCAGTGTGACAGGGCTAAATAAGAGGGTGCGCTGAGTAACCGGCTGGCTGTGTGTCGCTCACATTAGCTGTATTAAATCTTTAAGCTATGATAAAATTTCTAATCCTTTCACTGGAGGCGTTGGATTAGCAAACCTGCACTGTCAAAGTTTTGCACTCATAAACTACACAATGGGCCTGAAAAGTATTAGTGTTTGCTGTCTTTCAGGGAAAATATTTGCATATTTATTGATTTATTTCATCTTCAATAACATTTTTACGGTGCTTATGTGATTTATATGTATAGTCTGTAAACAAAGAACTTGTGATTTTAGTATTCGTCACTTCCACAAAGATATAAAAGGTGAGTGAAAAGGCTCTTTAGCATGTTCTGTACATAAAGCAATAAAGAGTTATCTGCTACACATATTGCAAATATATTCTGGTAATTATTTTGGAATCAAAAACTATAATCCTAAAGTGTAATTGGCTGCTGAAAAAAGTCAGATTTATGTGAGGTTGAAAAACTAACATTAATATGGTAAATAAACAGCATCTTATTAATAATTTACAATTCAGTTCAATTCAATTTATTTGTTTGTCATAAAAATTGTAATCAAACATTAAACAGCATGAGTGTTCTCAACATTAAAGTTGATATATTTTTTTATTCTACAGTGCCAAATGAGCAAATTAGAATTTAGAATTTCTGATTTCATCTCAACTACATATATTTGCTTAAAAATGTTACATTAATTTTAAATTGTAATGTTGGAATATTCAATCAATTCCATGCGTGTTCAAGAAAAAAGATGAGGAGAGGTTTTTCTTCAATGTCAAAACTCAACAACAATTTATTGGAGACAAATGAATAATTCGATTCACAGAATTCTGTTATCCTCAATGCAGTGCAAAAGTTACATTAAGGAGGTGCGCAACCCCTTTCTTTTCCTGACTCCAACTTATATTGACAGCTGATACTAACAGGTGGAGTTTAGTGAAATTCGTCGATTGTCAATCATTGTTCAGTCCTCTATTGGCCGCACCTCAGATGTAAGTCCTCTTTTTCTGCAAATTCTCTGCAGAACAATAAAAGCATAAAACTTTTTGTGCTCTGTTCAGTTTTAACACCTTTCTTCAGACAGGAAGTTTCTGCAGAGCTGAATTTAATTTTGGACCAGCACTTATCTACTTCTGCAAAAATGCTAATTAGTATGCACAGCATCTCACACACAACAGTAGAAGTTCAGTTAATATATGACCCTTACATGACCTTTACAAATAATTGTTTGATTAAAAGAAAAAGAGACAAAAATAATAAAAAACTGATTCCTATTTTCTAACAGTAACATTACTTTGCAGTATTACTGTTTTTATGTATTTTTGATCAAATAATCACTACTTTATGCCTCATTCACACTAGCAGCGACTTTGTAGCTGCCTATCCCTCTGACTGGCGACGTGCTGCAAACGTAGGTCTGTTCGGGTCTACAGCACGGAGAATACAACCAGCCTCTGAGTGAGCTAAGAGAAGATCACGTGAGCTCCACATGTTGCTCCCATTGACTGTTGCTCAAAAAAGTCAGTCTTCTCAGCATTCTCACATTGCTCGACATGCCAACCTGGTCGCCAGCAGTCGCTTTCGTTGAAGGAGGTCGCCGGGAGTCGCTTGCCCTCCATTGAAATGAACAGTCGCTTGTTGCTTTGCTGCTGCAAGTTGCTTTTAGTGTGAAAGAGGCTTTAGTGGTCAAGATGTCAAAATTCAACTCCCAAATATGATAGAAATATACAGTGGGGGAAATAAGTATTGAACTCGTCACCATTTGTTTCAGAAAACATATTTTTAAAGGTGCTGTTGGCTTGAAATTTTTACTGGATGTTGGTAACAACCAAAGAAATACATATGTGCAAAGAAAACAAATCTAATATAGTTATGTGTAATAAAATTAATGATGCAGAGAAAAAGTATTGAACACATGAAGAAAGGGAGATGTAGAAAGTGAAAGCCCAGACAGAAGCTGAAATCTCTCATAAGTTATTCAGCAACCCCCTGCTCTTCCTCATTGTAAATTAATTTTCACTGCTTCAGTTCAACAACTACTTTACCAGGATGATGAAGATGAAACCAGGGTGGACGTTTCAGCAAGAAAAGATTCCAAAACACAGCCAAGAAAACTCTCAAATGCTTTTAGCGAAAGAAAATCAAGCTGTAGAATGGCCCAGCTAATCACCTGAATCGAATCCAATAAAAAATGCAAATTAAAGAGCAGATTTGATGGACAACACCCACAGAACCATCAAGAGTTTTACACACTGTTGAGGTCTGTGAAAAAACACACACCTGAGCAATGCATTGGACTGTATAAGAGGCGTCTTTAAGCTGCCATTACCAAAAAAAGGCCTTTTATATAAAGTATTAAATACATTTCAGTAGTTCAGTACTTTCTCCTTGTGTCATTTCATTGTTCTTACACAACTAATTACAACTAATTTTCTATTGTTGGGTTTTTACCAAAAATCTGGTCAATTCCATGTCAGCAGCTCCTTTAGGATTATTATTTCCAGGAAAATAACATGATTAGTTCAATACTTATTTTCCCCACTGTATTATAAAAATTTAATTTGAAAAATTAGTTTATTATATTTGCTTTGGACATAAGTAACACAGAAGTATAAAAAACACCAGAGTTATCACAAAAGAATTTCTAGATTTTTAGACCAAAACGTAAAATATAAGTGTGAAGAAACACCTTTGATATTCTCCAAAGGATTTGACAGCATGCTAATGAAAATGATTAAAGTGACTCCCACTAAGTTTAAGCTTGTTAATTACAACCATGACATTATAAAACATGCCTGCTGGATAATAAATCTGTCAGTTTATAATGTCCAGAGAGCATCTTATCGCACATTTAGCTGGAGGCCTGTCAAATTAGCCATCATTTTAGGTGTGAAATATTTAAAGCGTGAAGCTAATTTATGTTATTTAATCTATTTTATTTAATCTATTTTAGACTACAGTGAATTATTTTTTGTTCAGCTCCTGTAGATAAGCTAAAAGCTAAAAACAATTTGTGCTAAAAATAAGCAAGCTCTGCTCCATTAAAAACAGTTAATGTGCCAGTGTACATAATAATTATGCTGGAGGACATGGGTATTTCCAGTAAGAAATTCAATTGAGATCTTGAAAACAATCCACCATTTTTGTCCCATGTCAATATGGCTGTGGTTTGAAGTAATTGACATTGGAATTATGTAATGATTTCAGTACTGTATCAGATTACTGAAATACAGGCTTTGTCTTTGGCCTAAAGCAGATTTTAACCTGAGCTAAACCTGTGTTGATGTAATCATAATAACTACATTAAATAGATATATGGAAGCAGATGAAAAGTATTGTATCTTTCAACAGAGAGCTGTATTTTTTTGTGTACAGATTGGACATATGTTTCATTATTTATGCTTAATATCTTTGCAGGCACTTTACCTTTGGGTTCATACTGTTCATTTGAGTTGGGCTCCTGTGGTTGGTTAGCGGCTGACACACAGTCTTCTTGGAGACTAGTTAGTGGACAACAGCTGATTGAAGACACACACCTGCTGGGCACAACTCTGAAGAACACTCAAGGTAAATGAGAAACAGCATTCTTGTTTTGTTGTTGCATTGGTTAACCATGATGAAGTGGTGAAAAAGATTTATGTTTAAAAAATATTTTACTAACAAATGACAAAATGCTTTAGCTATACAGACAATAAATGCAATTTTTTAAATTAAATTTATATTATATTCATTATGACCTCATCATAATATGAATAAATAGACATGGTGGATTCTACACATCAAAAGAAAATGCCTACTGCTATAACTGGCAATTTTATTTTTTGAAAAGACAGCTGTTAGCACCAATGTAAATGTCTGGATGTTTTATGTTTGAAAGATTAATTATTCACGTAATTCATTTGTAAGTAGGTAGGTGAAGTTTTCATCTTAATGTGAAGTGAATCTTTTATTAAAATATTTATTTATTCATTAAAACAAATCATTAAAACAAATCATTTATATGATAAACCTCAAATTATAGTGCATAAATGTATAGTTTTTAATTGAGGTGATACAATCTAATTAAAATCATTCAACTTTTTTAAAATGTGTTGCAAGAACCAAAATTGGAATATGTGTTTATTTTAAAAACAAAAGAAAAAAACACTATGAAAATCATCAGCAAAACATTAATTAATGTGCTGTTGTGTTGTTTGCAGTGAAATACAAGGTAAAGTTCATTTAGAAATCACATCTTACATTTTTATTTGCGTTTTCCATACTATTCTAACCTTTCCTGATTTAGGGTTGTAGATGTTAGTATACACTCAAAGTATATTTTGCAAAAATTAAATGATTCGGACCCAGTTTGTTTTTTAGTCATTATTATTATTATTATTATTATTACAGTTTTTCTCAGTCGCTTTGGTGCATTTCTTACAACACTATTTACATTTGCACAACAGTTAATGCATTTCTCAAAACAATTAGTCATTTGTGCACATCCTAGTAGCAGTTTCACATTCTTTTCAACAAATTGTGAATGCTTTTGGACAAGCATCAATTGCTTTCATACAACTCTCTGCTGTTTATAACATTATCATTTGCTTCTGTCATGTCAGGCAAAATGAACTAAACTTGTAAATGCTGAATAGTCATTCCATATAAAACTAATAGTCCTCATTTCATTACTTGAGTCATCACACAAAAATGGTGAACTAGTTGTCAAAATCTGTCAAACTAATTTTATAAAGCAAATTTAAATCTTTATTTTCCTGAAAATGTCTTTAAAATTGAACAATTTGATGAATGATTTACAGACCTGTGTATGTTATAGGCTCAGTTCCAATATGTACTGCAATATTGTGTACATTTGTGCACAGCTCTACCTAAAGGGAGTTTATGTTTGTTGTAAATAAGGGTGTGTTTATTCTTTTGCACAATGCTGTGAGTAAATTAGGATTGCAAAGAGCATCTGCAGTAAAAATGTGAAACATACATATTCAGTGTCTTGTACTCAGATAACTCACTAAATGCATGTGATGTTTCATATTGCTGTAGTTTTCAAATGGCTCTGCAAATAGTCTATAGTGCTGTCTTGAGCATTTTCAGGATGTGTCACCAACATCTGACTTTTTTTGCATTGAAAAAATGTACAGAGTAAACTGTCATTATGAAAACATGACTAAGCCATTTGACTATCTTGTTCATAAACAATGGTGTCAGGACTTTTCATTTTGATGATACTGACAGTTTGATTGACATGAGTACTTGCTTTTGAGGAATGAACTATCCATTTTGAGCATGTGACGCGCTTTTGCAGGTTATCAGCTAGGTTTTGCAGTTTGCACTAATTGTTTTGAGAAGTGCATTAACTGTTGTGCAAATGTAAATAGTGTAGTGAGAAATGCACCAAAGCGACTGAGAAAAACTGTATTATTATTATTATTATTATTATTATTATTATTATTATTATTATTATTATTATTATTACAAGGTCAGTTAGCAAAGAGCTATGCAGGTAAACCTCACTCCTCTGACCCCAAAAGGTGCTCTCGCGACAGATGCTATAGGCCATGGTCTTTAGCCTTCTTGTTAGTGCAACAGACTCCCATACAAAGCATTGGTAGATCAATCCCAGCTCAGAGTGGGTTGGGTGCAGTAGGCCAGGTGGGTTATACATGGAGGCTTGTCCGGTATGGGAGTAAGGTTTTGGGGGTGGACTGTAACGGAGGCCTGCTAGCAAAGTTCTATGTAGGTAAACCTCACTCCTCTGACCTCAAAAGTTGCTTTTCCTTAAGATTATCTGCAAATGAACTGTAAAATATGGAAAAACTGCAGTGAATAATGAAGCAGTTCATGGGATCAAAAAGGTTGTTCAATAAATTTGTACCATTTTACCTGTTCACTTAAGACAAAACAAAAAAATGTTATCAGTTATTGAGTAACTGTTGAATAACCCTAATATTTGTTGCTAATCAGGACCCCAACAGGAAGTACATAACGTATGTCACTTGGGTAGTTCATTATTTAACACTTTAAATGGTTAAATAATAATTATAACAGTCAAAACAAGTACAGTATATTTGATGCTTTGTTCTCCGTATTTGCTCATAGACTTTTTTGTCAGCGTTTTTTTTTCTCTTACAAGCTTTGAGACAGGGACATGTGCATAAAAAACACATCTATTAAAATGTCTTCAGACAGCCCATTTGTCTTAAAGCAGCCAATCCATTTAGTGATGAATGCCACCAATGGGAATTTTCGTGACATGAGAATCCTTGTGATTTTTAACAGGATTAAAATGTTCTCCATACAAGAAGTCTGTAATGATTTATCTACTGTGTCATTTAGCTTTGTGTGATGTATTGTTTGGATGATCTCAAAACCACAGTGCAGGTGTCCACTGTTTAGTCCAGTTTATGATGGACTGGTTGTTTTCCCACTTTTTTTAAAAGGCTATTTTGTGTGAACGGGAGAAACTCTGGCTCACAGTGAAAGCTCTCGTTGTCTGTTTCTGATGGACATTAAAAGCACATAAAGAGGTTTTACAGCCTCGCCAGTTAAGTTTTTGTGTGTGTTTGGTTTATTTTTGTAAGCTGTGAGCACTCTGTAGAGTACTGATCCTCTCTCGCCTCAGGGCATTTCCTTTTCTTAAAGGTCAGAGGTCACGGTGATGAAAGAGAGGCGCTGGTTCAAAGCCCTGCATTGCCTTCAACTATATCCAATCAGGACTGTCAGGTAAGAATTTATTCTGACGGTTAAATGGATCATAAACTCGTAGTGTACTCTAGGGTCCATTTTTACACACAAAAAAATCTTAATTTTGAAGTAATGGGCTTTTTTCATCCCTTTTTGACCCCTCATCAGAAAACACATGGTTTGAATAGACATAACGATTCTAGACATGGAGAACAAAAATGCCTTTGACTGGCTAACAGGTTGAATTTTTAATGGACTGTACTATTGTGCAAGCGTACAAAATGGTCTAAAAGAAAGAAACCACCCTAAATACACTTTCTTTTGTCACACTTCATCAATTTTTGTGTAGAATTTTAAAGAACAAGATTTCGCTTTTCATCAATTTAATGTGCCCTTGCAGAATAAAAGTATTGTTTCCTTCATTTTCCTGTACATAAATGGTCTTTCACTTAAAAGTGTGGTGTTCCTACAAGTTAGCCACAATGTTTGGTTTTAGGTTTTATGAGCCTGTTTCAAGTTAATTGTCCATAAAAAAAACAAGGACACATCTGTACAGCATATCTTCAAACAGCTTACGCTGAATAAACGTACATGCAGCCAGTTTAAATTTTACACTTGATTTTCCATGAATAAGGTGTTTTTTTTCTGAGACGTCTGGTCTTGTAGTTGCTGAAGTGTTGAGGTTTTTCTGCGCAGTTGCAGTTTTCTCTCTACCGGTATGGGGATTTCAATGGAACAGTGCTTTTGTCTGTGGTGGAGAGCGGAGCCTCAGCACCAGCACTGATTTGGGAGAGATCCGGACACTGGAAAGATGCCTGGCAAGAGATCACTCTGCCGATCACAGAGATTTTAAATGGGTGAGATAATGGGATGAATGCATCAATGTTGACCGTCTTGGCTTTGTGCTGAAGCCAAAGAGACTTTCAGTGGCATAGTCGTCATCTAATAATTTCATTTCGAATCATAATCTACTGATTTCATTGAAAAAACAACTATCAACTCAAGGTGAATGATGTCACTAACACCCCTGCTGTGCATTATTTTCCAATAATTTAACAAACCCGAGTCAACTTACCCTATACTACAGCCACCACACCTAAAGACAATAATAATGTTATTTATTTTAAGATAGCTGCCAGGTTTATGCTCTTAACCACTCTTACATATTGCACATCTCATCCAGAGCCTCCTTTTTTTTGTTTATATACAGTCAAGCCTGAAATTATTCATACTTCTTGTGCAATAATATTTTCAGGCTTGACTTTAATTTAATTTTAACTTTAATTAAATGAAAAATCACACTACTGGTCAAAAGTTTGGGGTCGTTTTTTAAAAATGTTTTTTAATTTTAAATAAAATGATTCTGTCCATCAAGATTGCATTTAATAAATGTAAATAAAAATAGTTAAATTGTTAAATATGTATTTATTACATTACTTATCATATGTTGTTTCAAATGAAATTATTAATCAAGTCATTATTGCTTTTACTACTTTTACCATGAATAATAATAATATTAGTAATTATAATAATAATAATAGCAATAATAACTATTAATATTTGAGTGATTTCTGAAGGATCATGTGACTCTGATGACTGGAGTAATAAAGCTGAAAATTCATCTTTTATATCACTGGAATAAATGGTTAAATTAAATAATAAACTATTTTTGAAGAGTTATTTTATAGTGCAATAACATTTCACAACTTTACTATTTGTTCTGTAATTTGGATGAAATAAATGCAGCTTGGTGAACAGGATAAGCTTATTTTAAAACTTCTAAAAATCACACTGACCCCAAACTTTTGAAAGGTAGTGTGTTTGTACACGATGCTAAACTAACTGAGATTTATCATGGCATCTATGTGCATGCTGTTGCTCTTCAAGTGATTTGACTTGCTTCTGTTGGCCTCCTTATTAAAGCACTTTTTGATAAAAGCATCTGTTAAATGAATAAATGTAAATTATGGCTGATTTTGAAATGTCAAATGTGGTGCATATTAATATTAATACAGATTTATGCATGAACTCTGCTTAATGTCAGAAATAATACAGGCATTAAAAAAATCACTAATATGTCACGCATAAAACACCATCAATGGACTTTTGAAATGTTCTTGTTGATTATAAAATTCAGGTAAAATGTTAATTATTGAACTTTTAATCATTCAGTAATTGCACAGACATAAAGCTTTGTGCCTTCTACATTTTTTTTTTTGCTTGTTCAAACTACGCACTACTACTTAAACTATAAACTTCTTAACCACTACTTGACTACTATTTAACTACTTAACATGAGCAACACAATTCTTGAGATTTCATTGGGAGAACCTAATTTTACATTTAACACATTGGCTGCGAGGTCTTAAAAAGTATTAAAAGTTGATTAATCAGTTATGAAAAATATTTTACAATAAAATTGTTTTTACGAGATCTTAAATTTTGTTCAAGCGTTGTCCAAAGTGTTTGATACTGATTAGAACTTGAGTGACGATGAGGTCTTAAAATATTCTGAGAAGGTTTTTAAAAAGTCTTGAAAAGGTTCTGAAATTGCCTTTAGGAATCCTGCATATACTGTAACCTGTAAAAGTGTTAAGTTAACTCAATCGATTTGTGTTGGGACAACTTGAAGGTATTGTGTGGAACCCTGCATTTTTACAGTTGATGATGCAAAGCCAAATTAAAATCGATCTTCTTATCTGAATTATTTTTCTCTTATCTTACTCGAGCAGTATAGACTTATGGGATACATTTTCTAAAATAAGAAAATTACCATGTTGAGCTTTGTTCTAGTAATTTTGTTGTATTTTAATATCTACATTTACATTTGCAAATCTCACTCACCCTTTGCTTTTCTTCTAAACTAATTTGTCATTTGTTTTGAGCGCAGCTTCCATCTTAAAGTGCAGGCTTTCTGGACTTCTGGCTCCAAGGCTGACATTGCACTGGATGACATTTCATTAAGTGCAGCATGTTTTGACACAGGTAACCCTCCCGCCTCACACATGTACACATGCACACACAGGCAGCACAATAATGGCCCATTTGTCCATCCCTGCAAATTTTTTGACCACAGCGCAGATTTAGACTCACTCAAAAATGTATTATTTAGTTCCACAGAGAATTTACAGTAAGATGTGATGCTGACAGATGATGTCTTACCGCTGTCTCCAGTTAGCGTTTGATTCAGACTCTGCTTGATTGGTTGTGATTTTGAAAGACAGTAGAAAGGAGATGTGAAGTGAATAGGGAGGTCCTCAAAATCGGCAGATGTCACAAAGCTGCCAGTAGTAGATTTTCTGCTTTTCTAAATAGTTTTTGTATGATCTTCAGATTTAGGCTTGATTCCATGACCACAGGAATTGACAAGTCTTGTTAAAGCCAAGATTTACTGTCTTTGTTAATGTTGTTTCTCATAATTGATGGTTTAGAGAAATTCTTGAGGCATCTGGTAAATAAAATTAGCTTTCTGTTGAGTCTTGATTATAATGAGACATATTTTCCAGCATATCAAAAGCGAGTCATGGAAATAACCTTTAGAGGACTTCAGTTCTTTTTTTCAGACTGTATGTTCTTCTTTTGCTTGATTTTTAGTTATTCTGATAAGTAGGAGTTGAAAATGTAGGATCTTTGTCTTAGATTTTTCTACTAGGGTGTAGTGGGATACATCACTGGTTGTTTGTTTTGTTTAGGTAAGTTTTTATTACATAATGGAGGAGACTAATAGTAAAATTGGTTTTATTTTCTTACTTATTAAACAGATTGTGGCTCAGTTATTACATAAATGCTATTAAAATGACAATTTTCTTAAGAATAAAAATAGATCTCAGCTTAACTATTTTGGAAATCTAATTACTTGAATATGGTTGTTACCCTGTTAGCCAGCTTTCACATCTGGGGATTTACACCTACCTAACTTTAAATAGTAACACACATTTAGTTGTTCTATAGTTTGTGAAGAAAGATTCATGCTTGAAAGTTTCATGCTATACAATATAAAAAGTTATACATTATATTCTCAACAGACTATATAAGATTAAAATGGGAAAATGAAGTAGGCATTTTGAATCAAAACCAAAGGGTTAAAATCTGTGCTGTCCCACATACCTCAACAAGCTCAAGAATGTGGTGTGAGTTTTGTTGGAAAAACTTGATTAGATTTTTCATCATTGTCGGAGGAACTGTGGGGTAGCAGAGACACATCATGTGCATGTATTCAGGCAGTGCTCAAGAATTAACAGTTTTTAGGAAACTGCACTCTGCTATCAATATTTTCGATCTTCATATTCCTAGATCATTCGAAGTACTTCATCTAGGAGATATTTCTATTAAACTTGAAAAGGAGGATAGATATCTATCTAAGATATTTTGGCAACAAGTAAAAAAGCTTTAACCCAGAAATGGTATAAAGTAGAAACGCCAACTAAAGATGAATGGCTCAAAATAATAGTAGAAGTTTAGGAAATGTGAAAAAATTGCACATGCACGTGGAATACAATTAGAAATCTTTGAAAAGAAATGAAGTAAATGGCTGGCTTTATCCACACCGACAATATAATTGTCGATAATTTAACATTTACATAATTCTAAAGGCTATGCATCGTTGCAAGAATATGTTTGGCAATCTTTCATTAAATTTTATTTTATACTTATTTTATTTATTTATTTATTTATTTATTTATTTATTTATTTATTTTCTTGATCAGGTTAATTTAAAAGATTATATATGTATGTATATAGATATATCTGTGTGGAATGGGTTTATTTGTGTATATACGTATACTGTATATGTGTGTATATATGCATTATTATTTTAGTTTGTTTGTTTTGTTCTTATATGTTCCTAAAAAAATCAATAAAACTAAGTATAATATATATTTTTTTAAGTTATACATTATGAAGTTATGAGAAAGAAAATCTGTACGGTGTTCAATATGCATGGAAAATGACACATGAATAATCTATGCTTTGAAAGCCAAGTGTCTCATGAGTTTATATTTCAAATTTGATGAAGATAGCATGCAAAATGAGATTTCTGCAAGAAGTTTTCTGAGACTATATCAGTGTTGTTGTATCTTATGTTCATGTATCTTTGGACAGAAGACACTTTGAGCTTTACTATGCATCATCTAGACCCGGGGTCACCAATCTCGGTCCTGGAGGGCTGGTGTCCTTGCAGGGTTTAGCTCCAACTTGCCTCTACACACCTGTCTGGATGTTTCAAGTATACCTGGTAAGACCTTGATTAGCTTGTTCAGGTGTGTTTGATTAGGGTTGGAGCTAAAATCTGCAGGACACCGGCCCTCCAGGAACATGTTTAATGACCACTGATCTAGAGTTTATGATGCTCAAAAAAAGTTTACACTGTAGATGCTTAAGCAATGTAAAAAAAAACCTGCAACGCCCTAAATATTTATATCAACATTATAGGCGATAAATATTAAACAACAGAGCCTAAACTATTAATTTCATTAAAAGCATTCTTTACAGGAAAAAAACATGTTTCAACTTTACAAATAGGAGCCTAAATTTGTGTGATAAAGTGTAAAATTTACAGTTAAAGTCAGAATTATTCGCGCTCTTGGATTTTATTTTATTTTTTTAAATTTCCCAAATGATGTTTAACAGAGAAAGGACATTTTACAGTATGTCTGGTAATATATATATATATATATATATATATATATATATATATATATATATATATATATATATATATATATATATATATATATATATATAATATTGCCCTCTATATATATTTTTTAATTTAATTTTTTTTTTTTTTTGAGAAAGTCTTATTTGTTTTATTTTGGCTAGAATGAAAACAGTTTTTAATTTATAAAACATCATTTTATGGTCAAAATTATTAGCCCCTCTAAGCTATATTTCTTCTTCTTTACTAACAGTAGCTTGAAGTCTGGAAGTCCAGTCTGAATCTTTTTCTTTTGTGTCAGAAAAGCAGGCATCATGTTCCAGTGCTTGGTTATGTTTCTAAAGTGGTTTTTTTTTGTAACATAAAAAGGTCAAGAGGCTGTCTAATATAACACCTGCGTCTTTGACTGTATTGGATGAAGTAACGGAACATCTGTCTATATCCAAATTGCATTCTAAGGGTTTCTGCAGACAGGTCAAAAATGAATTATTAGCCCCCCCCCTGTATATTTTTCCCCCAATTTCTGTTAAACTAAGAGAAGATTTTTTTCAACCCAATTCTAAACATAATAGTTTTAAAATCTCATTTCTAATAACTCACAAAGACAGTTTCTTGTGGCACTCCATGCTGCTTTTAACTTGGATGATTCGCTCTTTAAGGATTTAAACTGTTTTAGTGCTTGTGCCTGAATTCCAGCATATAATATATACTAATATTATATTCAATTGCTGTTTTTTTAAGTATAATAATTAGCCATAAAAAATCGAACATGGAAATTGCACACTGCACTGAACATGGAAACTGCACTCCATACAAACATTTTTTATTTATTTATTAAAAACTCTAAATCTAATTATTAAGAAATGTTTTTACTCTCATTTGTTCGGATATAATAAAATGACTTTCATAACTTGTTTTCACCATTAGGTTAATTAAATGTAACAATTATTTAGGCTAACATTGTGCATATATTAAAAGAAGTGTTGTTGTCTAAGGTGCATTTCTTTATTAAACAAATGAGCTGTTGACACTAAAACTGTTCTTCCAAAATTTGCACAAAAGTTTAGCAAATATTGGATAAAAGGTGTGTTGAATAGTGTCTAGTCAAGTTTCATTTTTGCATCAATTAAAACTGCATAGAATAAAGTATCAACGTATGGATTTAAGAACGAGGTTTCGTTAAAATGAAGATTTATAAAACTAGAAATTTAAAATTGACAAACAAGCACCGACCCAAAAGACATATGCTCTAAAAATGCTGTTAACTCAGCATTGGGTCAAATATAAATAAGTCATCATGGGTTTCATTTTATTTAGATTTAAATTACATTTTTAATTTAATTCTAACAAAAGTTACCCAGCATTTATTTTGATTGTATACTGGACATTTGCAGCATGAAAACATTCATGTTACTTCCCTTTATAGACACATGCTGGTGTTGTTGTTGTTTTTTTTTTTGTATGTATTGCCAATATGAATCTGGCTTGCAGCATGTTCAGATCCCCTTTTGTCAACCACCTATCAAAAAAGATCTGTTTAGACCAGCAGAAAAGTCTAGTTTAATGTCTTTCTGGTAGACTTGCATTGCCATGTGAAGAATTGTTATAGAGTAAGACAGTTGACCAAGTAACATTTCTGGATAATCTAGTTATTATGAGGAACCCACAATTCATTTCAATGCTGGTCTTAACAAAAAAGAAAAAACTACACAAGGATGGTTTGATTCAAATATTTCATCAGATTCATTTTCTTTGCACTTTCTCTTTCCTCATCTGATCATAAGAACTGAATGAACTGCTTCATGAAGGACTACCGCATGATTTAGACTTCAGTCCTCTTCCAGAACCATCAGCATCAGGTACATTTACTCTCCTGAGGATTTTACAAATATACTAGTGTTTCAAATTTAGAGTTGGTGAGATTTTTAAAAGACGACTGTTCTGCTCACCAGGACTGCATTTCATTAATTACAGAAGTAGCATTACTCCATTTTCAATGTCACGTCATCCTTAAAAAGGATAATTGAAAAATTAAAAGGACATCCAAAAATGAACATTTACTCGGCCTCAAATATTTCCAAACCTTTATGATTTTTTTCTTCTGTTGAACACATAAGAAAATATTTTGAAGAAAAGCTGGAATAGTAACCACTTGCATCCACAATAGTGAAAATAAATACTAGGGAAGATGAGTAAATGATGAACATAATTTTCAGATGTTAAGCAGACAGTCTACTAATACTTAAATTAAAACTAAATTTATTTTCACTTTGCAACCTTCACTTCACACCATTAAAATAAAAATCCAGAGCAGTAAGTTGTAAAAACATGTACAAGAAAGCCGGTCTTTTATTTTCAGAGGCGTCTCCAATTACATGGTGGTTTACATCCTGTGGAGCGAGTGGACCTTTCGGCCCGACTCAAGCCCAGTGTGACAGTGCCTACCGAAACACCAATGTCAGCGTTGTGGTGGGGAAAGAGGGTCCTCTCAGGGGTGTACAGATGTGGAAGGTCCCTGCTACCAACACGTACAAGTAAGTTCAGAGGCTGGAGATCATTCTGGCTTAGAGTCAATCTCAGGATTCATCAGTGGCAGCACAGAAAAGGGGTGAGGTTTTTGATGATAAATGATAAAACATTGACAGCCATTCAGATTCCATCCTGCTTCAAACTGCTTTTAAAGTGGCAGAACAGAGAGTGTGCTTAGTATAAACTGAACATTTTTGTGCATAGGTGATGTTGTTAATATTATAGTTATCGTTCTTGGCGTGGATGGGGGTTAAGTCTTACAAATCATTCTATAATTGCAACCAGCATCTAAAATGTTTGAAATTCAAATATGTGATATGTTATTTGTCACTGCGCTAATTTGCACTGCACTTATTGCGTTGGACTGAGATTGTATGTCTTTGTCCTTTAATTTGAGTATTGTAGGGTAATTGCACTCTTGCACAAATTTGTCTTAATAATTCTGGCCCTTATTGTAAAAGAAATATCCATTCATTCATTTTCCTTCGGTTTAGTCTCTATTTCAGAGATCGCCACAGCGGAATGAACCACAAACTATTCCACCTTATGTTTAGCGGATGCCCTTCTAATTGCAACCCAGTACTGGGAAACACTTATACACTCATTCTCACACACAATCATACACTAAGTACAATTTAGCTTACTCAATTTACCTATAGCCCATGTGTTTGAACTGTGGGGGCAACTGGAGCACCCGGTGGAAACCCACGCCAACACCGGGAGAACATGCAAACTTCACACAGAAATGCCAACTGACACAGTCGGGACTCAAACCATTGACTTTCTTGCTGTGAGGTGACAGTGCTAACCACTGAGCCACTGTTCTGCCCTAAAGAGATAATATTTTATAATAATAATAATAATAATAATAATAATAATAATAATAATGGTTGCCTTACAACACATACTTTGACCAAAACCCTCAGTGATAAAGAAAAAACACACACACATACACAAATTAGAAGCACATGTGCAAAAACATCATAAATACACTAAAAGCAAGTCATAAGAATGTCTGGGTGAAAAAAACAAGCTTATTGCAGGTATTGTTGCTTTTTGTAGTGTGATTTTTGGTGAATTGTACTAAATCTAATCATAGTTTATTTTATGCACATTCTGAACCCACTACAAAGATTTATTTGCATTATTAATGAAATTCTCTAGCATGCGTAAACAGTTTCTCCATGCCTCTCTCTTTGCTTTCCTCTGTCTCATTCACTCTTTCTCTCTTTTTTTTGTAAAAGCAGCGAGAGGCATGACTCACTGGCTGTAGGCACAGATAAATCTCTTCCTGTACTCCACTTAATCTGGCCCCTGTGTAGTCAAGCCTTTGAACTGATTAACAGTGATTATACAGTCTAGTCATGGGAGCTCATTAAAAACAACTCCAAAACTGGCTGTGAAAGAAGGGCATGCGGAGATCAGAAAATATGACAGATCAGACCAACTTATGTTGTGATACCGTTACATTCACAGAGCCATGCTGAAATATAGAGATCCATCCCACACTATCCCTCATTCATAAACTGATTTATTTTTTATTGTATCCAGTTGTTTTGGCGCCCAAAGCACTGGCTGGATTTAATAACAAAAAATGTTATATTTACCTCGAGACAGGAAGTTTGATCTTCCTTAGTGATGTGAGTGGAATTAAAATCATTACTTTACATTTTAAAAATAGCTCAGCTTAATTCAGTTGTGTATTCAGTATATTAAAAGTACAGTTTTGTTTGGTTATATTGTGAAAAAAATACTAATGTTAAAATATTAGGCAGATTAATAGCATTGTTGGTCGGCAGGTAAAATATATATTTACAAGTGAAACGTAAATTTTCTTTTGCAAGTAAATTTCATATACAGTATGGATTGAAATAAAGTTAGTTTACTAAGTTATGTAAAAATAATATTGTTTGGTGTGTAATTATGAGTGATATAAAACTGTAATAACTAAATAAAAACTTTCTTCATTTCTATAAGCTTTAATTGATCCCTAAAATATATAATACAATCTTTCTGTAGTGATTTATCTTAGAAAGACTTTCATCGGTTTGTAGGGTAATGAAGTTAAACATATCTACGTGTCGCAGAATAATATTAAATATCATATAAAGAAAGTTGCCAAAGTGTTTAAATTTGAATTTTGTTTAAATTAATTTATGAAATTTCAAATGACGGTCCAACATATTGGAGCATATTTTTTTACATTATTTATGCTAAATCAGTGTTTCTCAACTACGTTCCTAAAGGACCACCAACTGCATGTTTTAGATGTCTCTCTAGCGCCACCACTTGTCCAAAGTTTCGCTTATGTTTATCTTTATTACCTTGAACCCAATGGGCTACAATCAAAATATTTTTTTTCCTCTAATTCCTTGGCTCAAGCTTAAACGTACCTTGTGATGTAATTTTCTGTCACAAGAAGACACAATGTACACATGCGTAGCCAAATTCACGTGCATAAAATATTTATTTATATTCACAAAAAAATTTCACGTGCACAAAATAAAAGTAAAATACGTTTCACAAATGAAACAAAACACCATTTGCAAATGTATAAGAGTGTACAAAAAGTTTTGAACGATCGAAGGATCGAACACAGGTCGAAGGGCTTCGTAACGCAATGCGCTGACCGCTGGACCATATTGGCGCTGCAATGCTTGTGTGGCCGGAATGATACTTAATTCTCATCAGTACCCTGCAGGCTACATTTTGCTCATGAGACTGCGAGACAATAAATAAGAAGAGCGGAGCTGCAGCAAAATAATGGATAAAAAGAGTGAGGCTATGGTCAAATAATTAAATAAATGAAAGTGCGACTGCTGCTTTCTCCGTTCGCCATGCTGGAGAGGAACAGTCTGCGCAAATAGAGCGCAGAGTGGGTGTCATTGACTACAGCTCTCATCTGATTGGCTGAAAGGTACGAGTAGCCCTGCCCGTGGCAGGAAAGTCTCAAAAATACACACACACACGTATCCAGGGGGAGTCGTACGTGAAAGAGGATTTGCACATTCTCATTCAGGATGAACTCGCAAGTTTTAAATATTCTAAACTTTTTGTACACTCTTATACATTTCTAAATGGTGTTTTGCATTTGTGAAACGTATTTTATAAAAAATGTATTTTTATTTTGTGCATGTGAATTGTTTTTGTGAATATAAATAAATATTGAATTTGCACGTGAATTTGGCTACGCATGTGTACATCGTGTCTTTTGCGTGAATTATTATTGACACTTATCTGATTCCATAGACATGGGCTATGTCCCAAATGGCACACTATGCACTATGCACTAATGAACTATGTACTTATGCAGTTACACACTCAGCAGCATAGTACATGTATGTAGTGTCGCTCCAAATAGAACACTAATGGTTCTTTTACTAAGCGGAAATTCAAACCGTTTTCCTGATGACATTTGACGGTTGCCAAATTAGTGAAATAAATGACCAAACTACCAAATAATATCTGCCATGAGTATAACCGTATTCACCATCGGGAGGCGCTATAATGACTCTTGTAGGGGAATTTTGCTTTCACAATCCAAAATAAATAATGTACTCCAACATGAGCACCCAATAGCTACGCTCCTTATGCTACGTGAGCAAAGCAGCGGCAGAATGTGTGTTTATAGTGTGAATGTACAACTTACACCAGGAGTGTCCACACTCGGTCCTGGAGGGCCGGTGTCCTGCGAAGTTTAGTTCCAACCCTAACCAGACTCACTTGGGCTAGTTAATCAAACTCTTACTAGGCTTTCTAGAAACATCATTGCAAGTGTGTTGAGGCAAGTTGGAGCTAAAATCTGCAGGACACCAGCCCTCCAGGACCGAGTTTAGACACCCCTGACTTACACTATTTATACTACAAAATGACATAGAATAGTGCTTAAGTATGCGATTTGTGATGCACCTATGGGCTGTGTCTGAAATCGCATACTTCCTTACTATATAGTACGCTAAAAATGTGTCAATTCAAATTGTGTTTGATTAAAGAGACATGGAAAATGTGCAGAGCTGGTGGTCCTCCAGCAAGGTGGTTGAGAAACACCACTAAATGTCAAATTACTTTACAGATATGTATGACAGTCATTATTGCTCTAAAAAAATAAGTAATTTAAGTAATTTAAGCACACTTAGATGTATAAAAATGTCTGTATTACACTTTTATTGATTTAGTGCTTGAAAACCACTTCATCTTTGATCCAAATTACATTTTTAACCCCCTCCTGCTACATAATTAGACCCTTTCAAGTGTTTCTCTTTCTATTGTGACTGTTTCAACAAAATTATTTTTACGCTCATTAGTGTTTTGGGATCGCAGGTGTGTCCTCAGTTTGGTAATTCAGTGCATTGGCAGAACTCTCCTTGTTTTCCAGGATTTCAGCCTATGGAGCCGCAGGAGGCAAAGGAGCAAAGAACCATAACAAGCGCTCACACGGTGTGTTCATCTCAGCCACCTTCCCCCTGGAGAAAGGTGACATCCTCTACATCTTAATTGGCCACCAAGGAGAAGATGCCTGTCCAGGAGTGAGTGAGCTACTTATACATGGCATTCATGTCCACATCTCTATCATTATATATCCATTCACTTGAATGAAGTCTTTAACACATAGGGTGATAACTGTTCACAATTTGCCCATGAAGTAAATTCGGAAATTTGGATGGAAACATGGCTTCTGTTTTGTTCATTTCTGCACAGAGGAACCCCCAAACCCATAAAATCTGTCTGGGCGAGTCGTCTGTGATTGAAGATGGTTTTGACAGCGACGGTTCAGCCTTGAAGTGGGCAGGGGGTGGTGGCGGTGGAGGGGGAGCCACATATATATATCGGGTAAGATCTTTCTTTTCTTCCTGTCTTTTGTATCAAACACATCTTTTAAAAACAACCTTGCGAGTCCCCTTGAGCGGCGCCATGTGGACAACAGTTGTCTTCTGATAGTGCCTGTCTAGACAAGCATTTTTGAGACATCCTGGAATAATTTGGAGTCATCTGAGTTGGAACACAGATGGAAATGAGAGAGTCACTGGAGTCCTTTTTTGTTATTTAAATGAAAATAACTCTGTTGTTGTTTTTGGGATGCCTGGGGGCAGATGGAGAACGGGCAACCACTTCCTTTGCTGATTGCAGCTGGAGGGGGAGGAAAGGCCTACCTTGAGGATCCAGAAAGCAGCCAGGACCAGAGTTTTCGGGAACAGTACGAGAATGACACCACCGTTTCTGGTGTCAGTGGCAGATCTGGAGCAGCAGGTACTGTACAATATCTTTACAGCACTATCTGAATATATGTATATAAATACAGTTGAATTTAAAATTACTTGCCCCTCTGTGAATTTTTTTATTTTAAATATTTCACAAATGATGTTTAACAGTGCAAGGAATTTTTTTCTGCATTTTCTATGATATTTTTTTCTTCTGGAGAAAGCAGTTTTATTTTTTTAAAAACCATTTTAAATGTCAATATTATTAGCCTCTTAAGCAATATTTTTTTGATAGACTACAGAACAAACCCCAGCTTAATTAACCTTTACTTGCCTGATAATCCCAAATAACCTAGTTAAGCCTTTAAATGTCTCTTTAAGCTGAATAGTAGTATCTTGAATAATATCCAGTAACAGTAGCGGTGCAAGCTTAACTGGGGCCTTGGCAAACGATGATCGTGCCGCCCTCATGGTGTTTGTGCTGCCTTTTTGCAGACTTAAGTGAAGAGCAGGGGTGGGATGTGGGGTGTTTGGGTTGTCGCAGATGAAAGTGAAAATTGGGTCGTGGGGAGGTGTTGGGTGGTGTTTGTTGCTGACAAATGTAAAGAGGGGAGGGGGGTCTTCTAGGAGATAACGCCCTGGGCGATTACCAGTCCAGTAAAATAGTATGTACTGTCATCATGCCAAACTTTAAAGAAATCAGTTATTAGAAATTTGTTTTTTGAAAATTAGTTAGTTGAAAAAACAGAAACCAGAAACAGAAATTCAGAGAAAATATACAAAGGTCTAATAATTCAGGAAAGCTAATAATTCTGCATTCAACTGTATATGAAGTTTTAAAATAATGATTAAAAAGCAGAAATAAGTTGACAGTGACATAACCTAATATGGTCACATAGAGACTGTGAAGTATTATGGGTGAGACATTTATTTTAATAAGTAACTACCTAATGTTCCTAAAATTATCATTCTGTATGTGTATAGAACATGACTCACTTCTGATTCTGAATCCAATTAACTCTGAGGAATCTCACCAGTTTGGAATGCTCTATTTTTGACCAATTTAAAATTACAGCACCGAACATACGTCATGTTGTGGCATTTGAATGAACCACTGACAGCAGATGTTTCACGGTGTTCACCGGTGTAGTGTTGCCATGTCAGTTTGTTATAAATGTTTTGTTTAGACTCAGGGCTGCTGCTGACTAAGCAGAATTTTTCTATTGTGTACTCACCATTAACAAAAAACACACTCACACAAATATATGTAATTAAACATGTATTTATTTTTTATATACAGTAATAATATGCATGTAAATGCTAAAAATGATACTTAAAATCAAATCTTTAAATCATTAATTTTAAATCATTAATCATTAACATTAAATCTTCACATTATAAAATAATACTCATTCATTCATTTTCCTTTGGCTTAGTCGTTATTTCAGAGGTCACCACAGCAGAATAAACCACCAACTATTTCAGCATACTGTATGTTTTACATGGTGGGTGTCCCTCCAGCCCAAGTATTGGGAAACACCCATATACTGTACTCTGATATTCACACACACACACACACACACACACACACACATACACTACGGGCCAATTTAGTTTATTCAATTTACTTATAGCGCATGTCTTTGGACTGTAGGAGAAACCGAAGCACCCGGAGGAAACCCACACGCACAACACACAAACTCTACAATAGTGCTAACCACTGAGCCACTGTGCCGCCCCTATGAAATAATAGTTTACATCAAAATACACACAATATGTCTTCTGCTGGAGCATTCCTAATTTCAGACATTTAAAAATGGTAATAAAGGAATATAACTCTCTCTGTACAGTAATTTGGTTTAACAAATCTACCCCCCCTAATCTTCCAGTCATTGTTGAAAAAGGCTTCTACATATTACAATAAAGAGTCTAGTTTTATTTTAACAAGCAAGTAAGTAAATAAATTATTATATCATCAAATAATGAAAAGCTCACAGCCAGAAAACAAAGTACACACTGATTGCAATATAATCAGTTAATATTTAATTGTTTTCCCTTGCATTTCATAGCCACTAAATACAACTCATTCACTCTTTAAAGTGTAGATATCCAGCATATTTTCAGCATTGGTGTGAGTGGCTGCTCACTGCTTGTTTAATGGGATTTGGCATTGCTTTTGTTTTCTTTGAATGCAAGCAATTACTCTGTGGTTTAGATTTCTATGAAGGACAAGAATTATTCCAGCAAGTTCCAGCCGAGTCCTTATTTATGAATGTTTTATGGGCGTTTTAATTCCATTTGCAACAAACCAGTTTTAATTTTTTTCACTAAATTAGGATGTTTCTCTTTAGTTTAACCATGAGGATCACATTATCCTTTAAGTTGTGTTGAATGTTTTGTGGGATTGCTTTTTAAAAAATGAATGTCTGTCAGTTCTGGACTCTCGTATTACAGACAAACATAGTCAAAAAAAAGTTTAAGAGCAAACACTGTTGTCACTGTTTTTTGCATCCTCAAACCAAAGAAATTTACATTTTTATTCTAAAATTAGCAGCACTGAGTAAACATTAGCTAAACCAGCAGTTCAGAAACATGTTTTCTGTTTTTGTGTGTGTTTTTAGGTGGAGGAGGTGGATGGAGCGACGTGTCCTCTCTCTCATGGGCAGGGAAATCTCTTGTTGAAGGGGGTCAAGGAGGCTCATCCTGTCCTGAGGCTCTGTCAGTGCTGGGATGGGCTACATTTGGAGGATTCGGAGGAGGAGGAGGCGCGTGCTCCGCTGGAGGGGGCGGTGGAGGATACAGAGGTGAATGTTAGATTAAAAACACTTGCACATGTCATAACAGCAACCGTACAAATACAATTTTGGCTTCAAATCTGGAGTTACTCGTTTCTGGCTGAGGCCACAGTAAGCTGTCAGAATTTGTTGTTTTTTTTAAACAGTTTTATTATTGTAAAGTAGAAATATACACTACTGTTTAAACGTTTTGGGATGGGTGGAATTTTGAAAACTCTCTAATGCTCTTGAAGTGGTGGGAAATTATAGTTTGTGAATTATTATTATTATGTAAAGTCCTTTCTTAGTTTGAATGTACTTTTAAATGGAGTTTATTTCTGTGATGCATCAATAATTCAGTGTTATTACTCCAATCTTTAAGTTGGGTTGGGTCAGGACTGGGTGAATGGGATGTTCAAAAGAACTTAGTTCATTAGCATCCGCAGATGTCCAGCTGATGTAGGACACCTAAAGTACATTCAAATGTTGAAGGCATGCTACTGTATAAATAATTTCAAAAGTAATTTATTTATTTCTCAAATCTTATAGACTATAAATGTCAATGAATGTCACTTTGTTAAAAATGTAGTCATATTCTCAACATCACAATTTGCCAAAGCATAAATCCTAAATAATTTGCAAATGAAACTGTGAATTATAAGCTATGGGTGACTATTCATTAACTGATTTTTACACTGTTTACAGTGCCCTTATTGACATTATTCTAAAAAGCGGAAGTGCGCCTGTTTTGGAGATTGTTTTAGAACTTCTGATTCAGTCGCCTTTGGGAGAAATTACTCGGAATGATAAACTGCAGAAAATGGTCAAACTACTTGCTCTACAAATGTTTGCATGACTTTACAGACCAAGTAGAATAATATAATAAGAAAATATCAGTTTGCAAAATCGAGCATCGTAACGAGCAGTTTTTAATGTCTAAAAATGAATGGAAATGAATGAGACCGGAAGTCTCAAGCCAAAAAGATTCATTTGGCTGTGCCTGCTCGTCGGCAAAGAATAAGGTGAATAGTACACTGACCTTAACCCTTTATCTGCCTGCTTCTTACTGCCATTCCAAAGAATCAAATAAACATAATCCTTTTGCAACACTACACTTGACTAAACTTGACTTAAAAAAAAAACAATAAAAAGAAAGCGTGTTAATCAATAATCTGAAATATTTTATGGCATACTTTAAAAAACAAAGATTTAATATTCAAAAATGTTTTATTTTGATTATGTTTTTGGATAAATTGGTCTTTTTGATAGTGTGTATATATATGTTAGTTCCAGTATTTTTTCCTTAGACCAACAAATCAGTCATTTGGTAGAAGTTGATATTTTAGAAATTATGGTATGTGTTGAAAAAAAATCCATTGATTGTGCTATTTAGTGACATTAGGAGTTAAGAAATGCAATCCAACATTTTTTGTTCTTAGTGGGGCAGTTAAAGGGCAAGTCTAAAGCTTGAGATCTTGTTTTTAAATGTTCAGAATCATTATTGATGCTTACTGTTAAGTTTTTCTGAAACATAGATTGTGAAAAAGATTTATAAGAAGTTAACACAAAAATTACCCACTTTGATGTTTCTTCTTATTTTTTTAAAGATTATTCTACCGCTATTAAGTCATCATATGTGTTTTATACACCCATTAAAAGCTTATTTTTTCAGTTTGAGGTTGTGGCTTATTTAATGGTTTAGGGCCAGAGAAGAAGAGTGCAGTCCCATTAAAGCACAGGTCAAAGTGGACAGGTTTGTAAGTGATCTGCTGACGAATGCTCAAATTAAAGAACACAGACGGAAGGGAATTTACATAATGACTAACACAGGCCATAAACCAATGACTACAGCACTGGCACAAAATGGTGAAAACATGCAGTTTTTTAGGCATTAGTAAAAAAATACATTGCATTGCATGATTTGAAAACACTGTCCACCCAAAATATTGTATCTGAAAGAGAAACAAATTCACATACAGTATTATCTTTACGCTGAAAGTTCACTGTAAAAATCTTAATGACAAGAAGTCAAGACAACAAACATGTGATGTTGCTCAAACTTTTTTTAATTAGTTAATCAGGTTTCAACAAAAATTTTTAACTTATACAAAATTAAGTCAGCAATATTTTTGGTACTGGTATATGCTGTTAGTAAATCTGTATATAATTTTTTTCTGTTACCGTTTTCCAGGTGGTGATGCACCTCTTCTTGACGACATCTCAGCAGATGGACAAGATGGCCTCTCTTTTGTTCACCCCATGGGAAAGATATTTCTGCAACCTCTGGCAGGTCAGACTTAACCCAATCTTGACTATGTATAGTGATGTTGACTTGTACTTGTGACATTAAATGACACTTGAGTTATTTCAAAGGTTTAATGTATATTTAATAATAAATTTAATTATATATTTAATTATATATATTTAGTCACAAAATGTGAGGAGTTCAGATGCAAAAACTTCAAGTGCCACCTGAATTTTTCTTCTACAATGAGCATTTTTCTCAGCCTCTTATGTTTATCTTCAGTTATTCTATGTTAAAAGTATTGAAAATAACCTATTTTTGCCATAAAAGTGAAATTACTGAATCAAGAAATAGGAGCCTGAGAAAAACGCTAATATTAAAAGAAAATGTCAGATGGCACTTAGAGGTTTTTGCATCTGAACTCTTCATATGTTGTTTTTTATTGCAAAAGCAGTAAGAGCAAGTGCAAGTGCAGTACTGTATTATAGATAGATAGATAGATAGACAGACAGACAGACAGACAGACAGACAGACAGACAGACAGACAGATAGACAGACAGACAGACAGACAGACAGATAGATAGATAGATAGATAGATAGATAGATAGATAGATAGATAGATAGATAGATAGATAGATAGATAGATAGATAGATAGATAGATAGATAGATAGATAGATAGATAGATAGATAGATAGATAGATAGATAGATAGATAGATAGATAGATAGATAGATAGATAGATAGATAGATAGACCAAGGAAGATGGGTATAACACTAAAAATTCTTAGTATAAATAGCACAGGAACGGATATTTCAGTTTTTAGGAATCCATTCTGCTTCTTAAGAGTTTCATCTGTTAGTGTGGATGCTAATGTAATTATTGTTATGTTTATCTTTATAATTACCACTTTTGATGTGAACAGGCCTTTAAATTGCAATAAATCCACCAAATTCTTCAGTGCTTTTTCAAAACACCCATCGTGCATTTGGAGTTATTGTTTTTCTCACAGAAGTTGAGTGCATTGAGATAGAAGGCTTCAGACACACACACACACATGCACACACACACACAAACAAACTCTGATTATCTAAATGAATGTGAAATTGAGAAAATGTAACTCGTGGTAGATAATAGAGGACCTTATGTGACTTATTAAAGGTGGCGCCACTCTTTATTACCACAAGTGTGTTTGCAGTTAAAGGGGCATATTTCAGACTGACTGTCGCTTGTGAGGTCAAGCACGGGTTTTGTAGATGCTTCATGAAAGTTTTTGTTTTTGCCATTACAACATAATTTACTAAACTGTTTACTAATTATTTGTTTGCTATAATCATTACATGGATTTCTAAGTGAATGTCTATAATGTTAACAAATATTTGAATATAATGTCATATAGTTAGTTGTCACTGTTGAGCTGAAATCTTGTATGTCCAAGCCCAAAAAACTCAATCATTCATCCGTTCATTCATTCATTCATTCATTCATTCATTCATTCATTCATTCATTCATTCATTCATTCATTCATTCATTCATTTTTCTTCGGCTTAGTTCCTTATTTTTCAGGGGTCACCACATTGGAATGAACTGCCAACTGTTTCGGCATATGTTTTAGCAGCAGATGCCCTTCCAGCCACAACCCAGTACTTGAAAACAACCATACACTCTCGCATTCACACACACACACACACTCACACACACACACACACACACACACACACACACACACACACACACACACACACACACACACACACACACACACACACACACACACACACACACACACACACACGCGCACACACACACACACACACACACACACACTAGGGCCAATTGCTTTTGACCTAATTCACTCTATACAGTATCTTCAATACTCAACGTTAAAACTGCATTAGGTGTTTTTGATTATTAAATATTTGTTTTTCATATGTTGTGACATTTTAAGGCTTACATCTCTCCTCTTCATCAACTTTACAGTGGACCAACTGATCAACTACTGCCATTTCAAACAGCCAATGAAGTATTGTAGGAATCGCCACTGTAATTTTTATGCTGTTTGTTTTAACAACAAATATTTGGCATCAGCAATCCATTCAAAACTACTATTATTTATACAATATACTCTTTATCTTAAGATTTTTTAAATTCTTTTTTAAATGGAAGAGTCAATAACATTTAAAGCACCAATCAGAGGGTGCATTCATATGATGTCTTGATGTAGATTTCCTACAAAGTATTTTGCAGTATTTAAAAAATACAAAAATACAAGACACTAAAGTATTTTAATTCAAAATATTAATCCATTTTCATCAGCCCTATCAAATACAAATTACAAAATACTATTTTGGATTTAAAATTTGTATTTGAAATACATGTTTTATACATACTGCCCATCCCTGGAACTAGCGACCTTCTTGCTGTGAGGCAACAGTGCTAACCATGCCTACTGCCTACCAAACCCAAAACATTTTTATGACATGTAAAAAATCTAGTAAAAAAATATTGTAATAATTAACCCTCTGCAGCACACTATTACTCTCAAGTAGACAGACAACCGACTGTTGTTAAGCCCCATTTTCAGTGGTTGTTTTCTTAAATCAGTGGTTTCCAAAGTGGAGGTCAGGACCCCCTGGGGTGTAGTGGCACAATGATAGGGGGTCGCTTGGTGATTTTAACTATTTAGAAATATCATATTTTAACCATAACTAAAAATAATAGTAAAATACAACAACATGCAAATGAAAAGCCATCAGCCTTTCAATTATTATTATTTTTTCATAGAATTGGTGTGTTTACATTAGATTAATAGCACAGCAATAGCATCAGCTAGAGCAGATTGATTTTATAGCACCAGGCTAAACTTTCTGACACCTTTATGGCAATCAAATACATAAAAAATAAATACAGGCCACAATACTGAATACTGAGAATGATCTCTGAGTGGCGTTCTCCAAAATTTAACCAGCAATAAACGTGTGCTGAAAACATCGTGTCCACCAGTCTCTTAAGTTGAGGTTAATATTAAGTTAATAAATGACCGTAAAAATAATATGAGTTTCCCCCACAAATCCAAACACATGCTGTATAGGTGAATTGAATCAACTAAATTGGCCTTAGTGTATTGTGTGTGAATGCAAGAGCTTCCCAGTGTTGGGTTGCTGGTTGGGTTGTGGCTGAAAGAGCATGCGTTGTGTAAAACAAATGCTGGATAAGTTGGGGGTGGCGATCCCTGATTAATAAAGAGACTAAGCTGAAAGGAAAATGAATGAATGAAAGCTGTTATGGTTGTTAGACTGCACTTTTTTGTCTTGTCAATATGCTCATGTTTATATTAGCCTATTGTTGTATGAGCAACATTTGCATATTGCATATAACCACCTAAGAGGAATTTGACGGTCGTGAGTCACTGGTATTGTTATTTTAGGGGATGCGGGCTGAAAAGTTTGGGAACCCCTGCCTTAAATAATTACAACCGATTAGAATTAGGGCTGCACGATAATGGCAAAAATCTAAATTGTTGCATATTCCTTTGAAATTGCGATTGCATTTACCTAATTTTTAAGGTCTGAAAAAATTGAATATCTAAAATTGACTTATTGTCATTTCTGCTAACAAACTTTCTAAATATTTTTTTTTTAAATTTAAGTAGGCAGGTTAGAATAATCAGGCAAGTCATTGTAAAATGATGGTTTGTTCTGTATACTATCGAAACAATATAGCTTAAAGGGTTTAAACATTTTCATCTTAAATGGTTTTTAAAAAATTAAAAACTGCTTTTATTGTAGCTAAAACAAAACAAATAAAACTTTCTCCATAAGAAAAAAAATATCAGACATACTATGAAAATGTCCTGGCTCTGTTAAACATCATTTAGAAAATATTTAAAAAAGAAAAAAATAATTCTGATTGCAACTGTATAAATAAAAAAAAAAAAAAAAAAAAAATATATATATATATATATATATATATATATATATATATATATATATATTAAAAAAAAATATATATATATATATTTTATAGTATTTAGTAACTAACAAAAAAGTTTCATATTTTCATATTCATAAACTTTCTTAACAACATGTAAAATATCTGCTGAAAATGTGTTTTACTATGGTAACAATTGGTACAGTATCAAAGGAAAATACCAAAAAAAAACACAATTTATTTTTTTATTGACTAACTCAAAGCAGTTTCGTCAAACATAATTTTTTTTGTCAAATCTTTATGTTCCCTAGCCATGGAGAGTCACGGCGAAGCTGAAATCGTGGTCTATCTGAACTGCAGCCACTGTAAAACCCAGAGCTGCAAACGCGATGAAGACACCAAGCTCATCCTGTGCCTCTGCGACAGCGACGAGGTTCTGGCACCAGACAACGTCACCTGCGCAGGTACCAAACACAGCCTCTGCCAATTTATCAACAAACATCTCCAACACAACTCCTCTCCCTTGGTGTGTCCTCCTCTAGTGGTTCCAATGGGCTCTCTGGCAGACGGGCCTCCATCCCTGGTCTTCATCATGGCAGTGATCGTGTCCACAGTGGTGACCGGTGTCGTTCTGACCTGTGCCAGCCTGACTCTCAGTAAGAGACTCTTCCAGTTCTGCGTTAATTCGGTGCCCTCCACATTCCACCGCCTATGACATGCCGCTGTTATTATCTGCTCATGACGTTACAGGACACATTTAGTCATGTACGAGTGCATTTCCCTGAAGAACACAACACCGAAAGCTCAGCATCAGTGCTTTTAGAGCCAGTAGGACCTGTAATTGTGAGAACATGCAGAGAAATTACAAGTGATGTTTTCATGACCCCCCTCGTAATTATGTGTAAATGTAGTACACTTAAGGTAAATCGTCGGAACCTCATTGGCATTAATGTTACAAAATCAATGTAGAATATGTGAAATGAACTGAACTGTGACATGAAATTAAACTTTTAAGGGACAATTAGTATGTGACGAAATTTCATATTTCGAATTTCAGTGGCACTTTAATACTGTTGGAGAAACAGCAATTGACATGCAGGTTCTGTATACAGCAGGGAAGTATTCAGTAAGTATTGAACATGTCATGTATTTTCCTGGAAATCATATTTCTAATGGAGCTGTTGACATGGAATGGGACCAAATTTAGGTAAAAATCCATACAATACAAATAAAAAATAAATAAATAAATAAAAAAAACTGACAATTATTTGCAATCGTGTAATAGCAATGAAATGGCACAAGGAGGAAGTACTGAACTGCTGAAATATGTTTAATACTTTAAATAAAAGGCCTTTTTGATGATGGCAGCTGTCCGCGGGGTCTTAAAATCTTTTAAAATGTTTTAAATTCACTGATTTATTGTGTTTTAGATCTTAAATCATTTTAACCATGTCTTAATTTTGCTTTGTCCAAATAAAGCTACCCAATCCGGCCGACACCCAATCACCTAAAATCCATCTCAAACCTTTTAAAAATAAAATTTTGCAAAGAGATTCAATTCACAACAGCTGTTAGACATTTTACAGCAAATTATCTAAATTAAATTCCCTAACCAGGGAAAGAAAACTAAAGCAACACATCCCTTTACACGGTCTTCCATTAATACAAAAACTATTTGCAGAAGTAACCAGGCCATTATAAAAAATCCTTAGTGTTTAGCCCTGTATACAGTAAGTGTAAAACTTCCTTTATAATGGTATTAAAAGGGTCTTGAAAAAAGTCTTAAATTTGATTTAAAGAAACCTGCAGAAACCATTTGCAGTTCTGTGGGTCTTGTCTATCAAATCTGATCTTTATTTTGTATTTTCTATTGGATTCGAATCCGGTGATTGTCCGGGCCATTCTACTGCTTGATTCACTTTAACTGAAAGCATTTGAGAGTTTCCTTGGCTTGTTTTGGATCATTGTTTTGTTAAAACATCCATCGTGGTTTAATTTTTATCAACTTTCTATTGTACTGTAGATGTTGAAATAAGCAAATATTCATTTACAGTAACAAAGAGCCAAGAGTTGATGAATAACTACTGAGATTTCAGTTGCAGTCTGGGTTTTCACTGCCTAGGTACACCACCCTTTCTTCGTGTGTTCAATACTTTTTCCCTATGTCATTTCATTTTATTATGCATAACTTAATTTGTAAACTACTTAGATTTGTTTTCTTTGCATATATAGATTTTTTTGTTACCAACATCCAGTGAAAATTTCAAGTAAGCAGCACCCGAGAATTTGATGATTTTAACAGAAAATGTTATTTTTTCTGAGAAAAATGGTGATTTGTTCAATACTTATTTTCCCTGCTGTATGCTACCATACAAATGTTTGGAATCAGTATTTTTATTTTATTTGAGTTTTATTTTTCTTGTTGTTTTTTTATTCAACAAGAAGACATTAAAAATGTACTTAAAATATATATGAATTAAAATGTGAAGTAAACATTAAGTAATTATAACATTATATAACATTATATAACATTATTAATGTTCCTTGAGCAGCAAATCGACATATTAGAATTATTTCTGAAGCATCGTGTGACAAATTTCATTACACCACAATAATTAATTATTTTATTGTATATGTCAAGTATTTTACAGCATTACATTTTTGTGATAAAACATTACTTTATAAAAAATATTTACAACTATTACCAAACCAAAATTGTGAATCTTATTTCACTTAAACCCATTTGTAAGAAGTTCAAATTCAGTATGTTTATGCAAACATTAAGCTCTGCTAAATAAGCTACCTGCAGCAGTATTCACAATATATTCTTTTACTGTTCTACTGTTTGGTTCATTTCAGTTAATAATGAACAAACAACAAAACAGACAGTTTTGATCTTTGCTTTTGGACAGTGTGTTTTTAATATTTGTACAAACTGCTTGCTTGAGTTTGCAGATCTAACTACTATATGTAGTGTTGCACAACCCCATTTGGTGGAATGAGTAGGGAACTAAGACAGGGACTGTCATTAACCTTAACACATTAATGCATGTAAATAAACAATTAAGCCAAATTAATATCAAAGCTAACTGTAGCCTGAAGGCTTTTTTTTAAATATGTGTGCTGACTAGTATATTCATTATAATTGCTGCTATTTCATTTGTGTGTTTTGTACTTGCGACTATATTTTGTGCTTCCAAAAAAGGAAAAATAAGAAAGTTTATTTTCCATCAGAGGACAGTGAGGGAATAATAAGTGTCATAGCGCACTGTCCCTATAAATGTGAGCAACTTTAAGAAGATATCATAAAATTATCAAATATTTTGTATTATTATTCAATAGAAATAGTAAATATACAATTTTCAATACTTCCAATAAGCTGTATTGATTTGAATTATTATTTAAATACATATTACATATAATCATTGGCTATAATCAATATAATCTATAACCAACATTTAGAAATAACCAGTACCTTTCCCCCTAAAACATTACATTTGAAATATCATAGACTTGAATGACAGTGTATGCAGTAAAATGAGTAAATTGGTTAGATATTAAAAAAGTTATTTTACCATCAGCTTAATCTGCTTAAACCACCATAATGGTAAATGAAAACATGTAAATAAATAAATCAAAAAATGACTCTGTGTAAAATAATAGGGGAGTTCATACCACTGTAATAACATTAGCACTTAACATCATAAAACATCAACAGCCAATCAGCATTAACCACCTGGTTGCCCTTTTGTCCATAGATTATCATTATTAGTATTATTTTTTTAATCACTTGATTGTTGTTAGTATGTAATTTAATCCAAGACATGGGCCAAAAACCTTAATAAAAATAAAAAGGTCAATAAGCTCTGGACAGCTAAACGCCATCTTGTGCTCATAACACAACAATATTTTGTATTGGATTGGGTGCAATAGTCATTATTATAATTATCTTTCTGGTTATAAACCAGATTTAACCCCAGTGAATCAATTGGCCAAATCCTTTATGTGATCGAGATGTGCCTTAAACTAACAGCCTTCCAGTGTGCTCAAACTCTGTGTATGCAATGGACTGTCATTAGTATAAGTGCTTTAGTTTTTAATGACTATGTTTAATATCAAGTAGCCTCTTTATGTTCAGTTAAAAACAGTGTATTGTCTGTTTGACTTGTGCACTAACTATAAAATGCTGTGCCTTGACCTGTTTTGTATGTAATTGTAAAATAAATAAAGACACAACTTCCAAAACACTCATGCATGTTTTCAAAAAACGTGGGTACAGTAACTGTATTTTGATGGTCACCTTTAGACCTAGACCTTTTTTAACTGCCTACTGACTATAACATTGAAACATCTGACTGCAGGATTGTATTCGTGGCTAGTTTCATTTTAAAAAAAAAAGCTTCAAATAAGGTCCACAACCCCACACCTTTATACAGCATAGAAGAGCCAGGATAAAATGTAAAATTACTCCAGCAGTGTTGATCTTAAAGATACTCAAGTCATAGAACTACCAACTAGGTTGGTTTAAAGATGAGTAAATTATAAGGTTATTTAAATTTTTAGGTGAACTTTTCTTTTAAGAATGTTTACAAAAACAGTGTCTACACAATTAGACATATTCAATAGTTTTGGGTTTGATCCCAGAGATCGCATACTGTACATTGGTAAAATATGTGCCTTGAACAGACCGTAAAAATAATTGTAAATTGTGTCAATGTAAACATCAGTTTTGAGAATTTGAAATCAGAAAAAAATAGGTAGGGGACCATCTATAAAATCACACACTGCACTTAAATGGACCTGCAGTTGGGTTGGTTGCACTATTGGTGCTTGCAAAGTAACAGATCTAAAGGAGACCAACAAAATTTTGCCAATGATTTTTTATTTTCGGCATTTGACATGACCACAAAGCTCAAGTAAGTATCAGAGCGAGTTCTCTGGATCCTTGGATATAAGAGCTTGGCTGGACGCTAATTGTGTGTCTTCCCCTGAGCTCTCCCCCATGCAGGCTGGTAGTCTATTCTTGGGTTTCCCCCCTTCTCACCCCAGCTTCGCTTCGCGCCTCTGCGCCAGCAGCCCGATGGGCAAAAGCGGACCTCTCACCTCCACGCAGCGCCCTCCTCCCCAGCAGACTACCAACCTGCATCGGGGACACGGGCAGCCTCCACAGAGGGTGAGTCCACCCTGCCCAACATCCTTTAGACAGACCCACAGCCCGCTTGCATGAAATGCTTTCAGTAGTTTAACTTAGGGGTCTCCCTAAGGGAGAAAAATCCCTGGGGCAAGATATTATTTAGAGTGTTGCGACAAACTAAACTGTCATCCATACCTAAAGTAGGTGATTTTACTTTGTGTTGCACTGTGATTTCTGTCAACACACGGCAATATGTGCCATGGTTACTATAGTTACTACATTTTACAGTAAGGACAATGAACCAAATTTTCTAAAAGCACAGTTGTACTTAGAGAGAGAAAGTAAACATCACAGAATACAAACATTTAACCAAACTGGACAGAAAGGCTAAATTATTTAGATATATATATGCAACATGAATAAACTCTCCAAAGTCGCTATAATTCAGAAGTTATTCATTTGCAGAGAATGAAAGCCTGAAATCTTGCTGGCAAGTAGAACAGTAAAGGTAGTGAAAAAGTATGAAAACGCAGTGGTGAGTTCAAAAAACGAAAAATGGCAAACTATAAAGAAATTCTGGAAAAAAGAGTAAGGAACATTGATGCTTGTGCATGATACATTGTACCAAAATATATTGCTCTTGGTTTGAATAATTTGACAATTGCTTTAAATATACATTATATAATCTTTATATAATCTGAATTTAATTTGAATTTAAAATTTTTGCATCTCAATTTTCACTAAGGGTACCCTTAACCGTAAAGGGTTTGTTAGCTTAAGGGTTTCATGCAACCAGGCCCAGAGCTTGAGTCCTCATCCGAGTGGCTTTAAAATGCACAATTTGATAGAATTCCAAGGGGAGAAATAAGTGCACTTGGTTGTTCTGTATCTCTTAGAAAATTACCATCATGAAAGCCTATATTGACAATCTTATCTACATCGCACTCTGAGATGAACAATTATGCAAATTGAGGCAGTGGATTTATGGCTGAAGAAAACTTCTTAAAAGCATGATGACTTTGGCTGATTCTTGGTGTGTGTGTGTGTGTTTGGCTTTTTGCAGTATATTATCGTAAGAAGAACCACCTGCATGCGGTCAGGATTCGACTGCAGAGTCCAGAGTACAAGCTTAGCAAAATTCGCTCGTCCACCATCATGACCGACTACAACCCCAACTATGGTTATTTTGGAAAGGCAGCCTCTCTGAGTGAACTGAAGGAAGTGCCGCGTAAAAACATCACCCTCCTCAGGTATATGCTGCCTTGGACATAGCTTGCAGATACCCACCAAGCAACTTTGCATTTAATAGACATTTAATAGACATCTAGCATGGATGTCTTGGCTAAAATAAGGCTAAACTTGGTATTTGGTCAGTAAAAATCTAATAGATGTCTTAAAATAGCCCACATTTAGTCTAATCATCAGACAGATTAGACTGAATTCACGTTTAGTTGTATATTCATGTGTATTTGATTTGACTATTCTAGTTTTGGACTATTCTTTTGCATTTATTAGGTTTACACTGCATGAATGCAACCTTGTTTTAGCCAAGATGTCTATGTTTAGATGTTTAGTGAATTGGGTAAACAAATTTGGCTGTAGTGCATCAGTGTTTGTGTGTGTGAATTCATCAGTGTTTCCAAGTAATGGGTTTCGGCTGGATGGGCATCCGCTGAGTAAAACATATTTTGGAATAGTTTGCGGTTCATTGCGCTGTGGCGACCCCTGATAAATAAGGGACTAAGCCGAACTGAAATAAATGAATGAATGAGTCTCTTATGTTTTTAAATCAAAAGTACTGTAAAAATATAAATATGTAAAACATAATGTACATGTACACGCTTGTTTTTGCAGAATAAACAGTCTTATTAGCAGCCTGACACAATATAAAATGAGTTTACATGTAGGCTACAGGAACATTTCTTTACAGTAAAATATCATTGCAAGAGCACGATGAAGGTGGGCTCTGTGATTGAAGACTAAGTCTATTTAGACTATCTATTTTGGTTGCATAGATACATGCAAGACATCATTCAAAACTCTTGTGTTTTTAAAAAAAATAATAATAATAAAAATTCTATGTGGTTTGTAAATGTCTTGAGAATGGGGGCCACAAAAGAGGGGTAAGCGGGGAGTGCCGAAATGCCACTGGATAAGCGTTGTTTATGCAAAACTTTGGTCATTCTTTAACTTTTGGCATCCAACTGTTTTGCTTTTCTTCTAAAACAGCAATTTCATTGAAAATAATTCATACAATATAATTTAAAAATGCTTTTGTGGACAAGCAGCCTTGGCAGAAATAATATCCAGGGTTAGTTGAGCTCTGTTGACAGCAAATCTGACATGCTGTTGAATAACAGAAAGCGCTAATGTTGACTTTTCATAACTATATAAAAAACTAAGAAAGAAAATGTGCTGACAGTTTGGATGTTTGCAGTATGCATCAAATTCAGCCTATTAAATATTGCTTTAATATCTCTGTGATGATGTGAATGAAATGGAAATGAGCTCAGCGTTTGCACTTGTAAGTAATAATATCTCTCTTTCTGTAGGGCGTTGGGACACGGTGCCTTTGGGGAAGTGTATGAAGGACAGGTTTTGGGTATGAATGGAGAAAACACAGCCATGCAAGTCGCTATAAAGGTGAGGGTTGCCAGATCTGCCTTTGAAAGTGGTTTCTGGTTTCTGTTAATTAATCCTGTTTTTCATCTTTCTCCATCCCTCAGACTCTTCCAGAAATCTGCTCTGAGCAGGACGAGATGGATTTCCTAATGGAGGCTCTGATCATGAGGTATTTTTGGCTGGATTATACAGAACATGTGTGCGACAGACAGAAAAAGGGGCGATCGGGCATTGTCATTCCAATCCTCTGCTCTCAGTCACCAAAACTTGAGGCTATAAAAGCTGTTCCTTTTGTTTTAAATGTAATCTGCGATTAGATCACATCTGTTGTTTGTTTTTAGGCTGTGGCATCCTCTTTGAGTCAGGCAAGACAGATGTTTTCTATGCAAATCATACTGTTGTTAATGAACAACATCATATCCTTCATACTTCATTCGCATGGGTTAGACTGGTGATTTCCTACCAGCGGATGTTTTGATTTAGATTTGGCTTTGTGCAGAAATCCTGAGATTTAGGTATAAATAAAAGATGTAATATTGCATATTTATGTGAATGAACCCCAATCAAGTACAGTATTTATTTAGTTAGTCAGTTCATTTAGTTAGTTAGGAATTTATGTAAATACATTTGTTTATGTGTTCATGTATTTATTTATTTATTTATGAATACATGCATGAACGCGGGCATAAATAAATTCAGTTCCTGTTTTATATAAATCTTGTAGAAAATGAGGGCTCATACTAATGATTTTAGTACTACTGAGCTTTATTCATTGGAGTGCTGGGATATATATATAGTTGAAGTCAGAATTATTAGCCCCCCTCTTTATTTTTTTCCTCTGTTTTCTTTTTAATGGAGGGAAGATTTTTTTACAGCACATTTCTAAACATAATAGTTTTAATAACTCATTTCTAATAAGTGATTTATTTTATCTTTGCCATGATGACAGTAAATAATATTTTACTAGATATTTTTCAAGACACTTTTATACAGCTTAAAGTGACATTTAAAGGCTTAAGTAGGTTAATTTGTTTAACTGGGCAGGTTAGGGTAATTAGGCAAGTTAATTTATAATGATATATAGACTATCGAAAAAAATATAGCCTAAAATGGCTAATAATTTTGTCCTTAAAATAGTGTTTAAATAATTAAAAACTGCTTTTATTGTAGTCAAAATAAAACAAATAAGACTTTCTCCAGAAGAAAAAAAATATAAGATATACTGTAAAAATTTATTTCCTCTGTTAAACATAATTTGGGAAATATTTAACAACAGAGAAAAAAAATGCAAAGGGGGACTAATAATTCAGACTTCCACTGTATATATTGTATAACATTTTGAGGCTAATAACTTTGTGAAGACTGTATTGAACATGTTCCCAGCTTCTGACCTTTCCTGGTCCTATACCTCTACTTTCTCTCCAATTTTACTTCCAATATATATATATATTATATATATAGGACCGGGAAAGGTCAGAAAGCTGGGACTTGAACTCAGGATACCTGCAGCACAGTGGCATTGTGTTACGGTGCTCAGACCACTAGTCTTTCAGTGCTGACCAGTATAAACAAAATTATTTATTTTTCAACAGTTAAACACAGAGCCCATTTGAATGACCATATGTGAACCTGGACCACAAAACCAGTCTTTTGTTGCACTGCTTTGCTTTTGACAAAAATCCATTGTATTGGTCAGAATGATATTTTTCTTTAATACCTACAATACATTATTACAATATGAAGTAAAGACCATGTTCCATGAAAATATTTATGAATATTTATTCATTCATTCATTTGGCTTAGTCCCTTTATTCATCAGAGGTCGCCACAGCAGATTAAACCACCAACTTATCCAGCATATGTTTTACACAGATACCCTTCCAGCTGCAACCCAGTACTTGGAAACACCCATACTCTCTCACATGAACACACATACACTATGGCCAATGTAGCTTTTTAAATTCACCTATAGCGCATGTTTTTGGACTGTGGGAGAAACCTGAGCACTCGGAGGAAACCCACGCCAACACAGGGAGAACATACAAACTACACACAGAAATGCCAACTGACCTAGCCAGGACTCGAAACAGCAACCTTCTTGCTGTGAGGCGACAGTGCCAAGCACTGAGCCACTTTGTCGCCTTTTGTAATATTTCCTACCATAAATATATCAAAACTCATTTTTGGATTAGTAACATGCATTGCTGAGAACTTCATTTAAACAAGTTTAAACAGGATTTTCTTAGTATTTTCCAGATATTCAAATAGTTGTATTTGGGCCAGATATTGTCCTGTCCTAACAAAATACACATCAATAGAAAACAAATTTATTTAACTTTCAGGCAATACACAAATCCCAAAATTATAATTCGTACGTTTCCAAAATTTGACTGGTTCTGTGGTCCAGGGTCACATATCTGAGAATTGTGGTTGAGTACTGTTATGACATGTTTTGATGTATGAGAATCAAGCTGACTCGTTCTTCCAGTCAGTAGTTCACTTGGGTTTTCTTGTGTGTCTGCAGTAAGTTCAGCCATCAGAACATTGTCCGCTGCATTGGCGTCAGTCTGCAGATCCTGCCACGCTTCATCCTGCTGGAGCTCATGACAGGAGGAGACATGAAGAGCTTCTTGAGACTCAATCGACCCAGAACTGTGAGCCTTTTTAAGTGCATTCAGACTTTGTACTATCATATGTTTCTCAGTTAACACACATTTTTGCTTTTATGACGGTGGTTTGGCCACATGTGCAGGAACATTCTTTGCATTAGAAAACAAACATTAACACATGTGCTATTTATCATTCAAGCACATATTTTAAGCTATTTCACAGGTTTATATTTTATTTTAGTGCACTACATTAAATTTACATCCATCGAAAGTCAAAAACACATTAACATTCTCATTATATAGACTGAAGTGTAAGTTCTTTGAATGTCTGCTGAATCTCAATATTTTCATGTTTAATGTCACATGTCTGTTTTCTCGCTCATTTTCTGTATGAGAGTTTTTTTATTTGCTCCTGATTTTACTTCTTGTTTAAATATACACATAACAAAATATCTCCGAGCTCTGGCCCACACAGCTAGCTTTTGCTTGGCCCACATGCTGCGGTGAATTATGATACATGACTGGACCAAGTCTGGCTCCCAGAGAAGAGCAAACATGAACCATATCTGGGCCAAGTTAATAACCAAGAACTGGGCCTGAACTGGGTCAGATATGTTGGTGTGTCACGACTGCAATGAAATTAATAAACCTACGAAGCATTGCTCTTTATAGACGTGCTTTTTCTTGAAGCGAAAAAAAAGAATAACAAAAATATTTTAAACGTGGGTCAAAAGATCGGTCAAACTAACATGGCCCACATATCCATTGTTAGCATCTGGGCGAAATACTACTTTTGATATCTGGCCCAAGTATTATGTGCCGCCTTAAAGACGGTCCTACCCGGACCATGTACTGTAGGCCAGTGCCTAATAAAAGTATGTAATTATATCTAAAAACACTTTTCTTGTTGCGAAATACACAACCCTAAATGCACAGAATTTAACAGGTATCTAGTGGTGAAGACATGCTATCACATTTGTTTTGATAGCACCCATCTGCCTCCATTCTTTGGATTTTAAATGCGCTTTCTTTGAGTTTTCTATTTTTTTTTTTTTTTTATGAAAACGGCTTAAAAGTGTAATGCAAACTAAATATATGCACATTTTAAGTTTCATAATTGTGCAACACACTTTAATACAATTTCAAAACAATATTTTTACACGTTTGTACATGAACTTCTGCATGGAATAACAGCATTTACAGCCATACAATGGCTTTAAGCCCCATTATACACATACATTTCAAAAGATAAGCACATTTTCAAACACCAGATGATAGTGTTACATACTGTATGTATTAAATCTTGTCTTGTCTTCCCCCAGAACCATTCGTCTTCTCTAAGCATGCTGGAGCTTCTTCATATGGCCAGAGACATCGCTCTTGGCTGTCGCTACCTTGAAGAAAACCACTTCATCCACAGGTGATTGTCCTAACTGATCTTTGCCCTAAAGTTGCCTTCGTTGTCTCAATGAGTGGACAGGACACTACTCTTCAGTGAAACAATAGACATCAATCATTAACTCCCTGCAGCTCTTGACCTTTATGTCTTGCACACATACAATAAGTGCGTATGTGTCTGTGTGTGTTTTTCAGGGACATCGCCGCTCGCAACTGCCTTTTGACTTGTCCTGGTCCAGACAGAGTGGCTAAAATTGGAGATTTCGGGATGGCCCGAGATATTTACAGGTGCTTGTTATGTTACATGCTTATTTTTTATTGTAATGAGCACGTGCATTGAGTTTCATACATTGACAAATACTTTTTAGGGCCAGTTACTATAGGAAGGGTGGCCGTGCCATGCTGCCAGTCAAATGGATGCCACCTGAAGCTTTCCTAGAGGGCATTTTTACATGCAAGACTGACACCTGGTAATAAACTTTAATTACTAAATTTAAATTATTAATTTAACTTAAACTAAAATGTGTAGAAATCACTGTATATGCATTCAATTTCTTAAATCATCTCTGCATTTTGTTAAATGCGATATTATTAGTAGATCAGTAGTACTGCTTTTATGTGAGGCCAGGCTTTGTGGTCATTGCATGCGATTTGTCTCCATCTGCAGGTCATTCGGGGTACTGCTGTGGGAGATTTTCTCTCTTGGGTACATGCCTTATCCCTGCAAAACTAACCAGGAAGTGCTGGAGTTTGTAACTGGTGGAGGTCGCATGGATCCACCTAAGAGCTGCCCTGGGCCTGTGTAAGTATATAGAGTGCTGCTGCAGTGAATAATTAGCCACAAGTTTTCTTGAGTTTTTCCTATGGGTTGTAATAATGGAGCTTTTCATTTCAAAGATAAAAATACTTGGCTGTTCTGTTGTTCAATGTAAAGTACCCACGCTTCCAATGCTAAAATAATTGTAGTATTTTTTAGGAATTGTAATGACTTCAGCACCGTATAAGAGCTTTGTTGCTCAGACTGAGAGTGGATCATGGGTCTAAGCTAAATGATAGCTGAAAATGTTCTGTTAGAAACTAGATAGCATTAATGAAATGTGCCTCATTACTTTTAATATTGGTTATGTAATAATAATTTTGCTTTGTTTTAGTTATCGGATCATGACACAGTGTTGGCAACACTGTCCAGAACACAGACCAAACTTCACTACTATTTTAGAGAGGATCAACTACTGTACACAGGTAACACAGAGACCAAATGTGACAGATTTAGTATTTCATTTAAGTAATAGGTACGTTTTATTTGCATAGAGAGCAGAGTTTCTAAGTGTTTACTGTCATCTTCCTAAAATATAACGGCTGCTTTATTGTTGTGTACATTATAAAGAGTCTTTCATACTGTATTTATTAGTACAGTACGTATACTGAGAAAAATTACTAATCATGAAATTATTCAATGTACACAATAAAATCTTTTTTTTTTTTTTGTAATTTAGAATGTATTAACCCTTATGGCAACTGCATGAGCCTCACATGCAATAATGTCCTGCACGGTCATTCATTCATTCATTCATTTTCTTGTCGGCTTAGTCCCTTTATTAATCCGGGGTCGCCACAGCGGAATGAACCGCCAACTTATCCAGCAAGTTTTTTTACGCAGCGGATGCCCTTCCAGCCGCAACCCATCTCTGGGAAACATTCACACACTCATACACTATGGACAATTTAGCTTACCCAATTCAGCTGTACCACATGTCTTTGGACTGTGGGGGAAACCGGAGCACCCGGAGGAAACCCACGCAAAAGCAGGGAGAACATGCAAACTCCACACAGAAACGCCAACTGAGCCGAGGTTCGAACCAGCAACCTTCTTGCTGTGAGGCAAACGTGCTACCCACTGCGCCACTGCCTCGCCCTTCCTGCACGGTCATACATGATCATAAAATTCTTACACTAAACACACGTGGAACACATTTGGAGCATATTTAAAACACAGAACAAACATGGTTTCGGTTTTAAATTTTTAAAAAAAAAGTAATCACATGAGAGGCAATACTGTGGCTCAGTGGTTTGTGTTGTCGCATCACAATAAGAAGGTCACTGGTTCGAGTCTTGGCTTGATCAGTTGGCATTTCTGTGAGGTGTTTGCATGTTCTCTCCGTCTTAGCGTGGACTTCCTCCAGGTGCTCCAGTTGACCAAAGAAAAGAGCTATAGGTTAATTGGATAAACTAAATGGGCCATAGTGTATGTGTGTGAATGGATGTTTCCCAGTGCTGGGTTGCAGCTGGAAGGGCATGCACTATGTAAAACATAAGCTGGATAAGTTGGCGATTCATTCCACTGTGTTGACCCCCTGATGAATAAAGGGACTAAGCCAAAGGAAAATGAATGAATAAATGATCACATCATATTTATTCATTCATTCATTTTCTTTTCGGAATAGTCCCTTTATTAATCAGGGGTTGCCACAGCGGAATGAATCGCCAACTTATTCAGCTTATGTTTTATGCAGCGGATGTTCTTCCACCCTCAACCCAGCACTTGAAAACACTAATACACTCCTGCATTCACACCCACACATACAATGTGGCAGGCAATTTAGCTTGCCCAATTTACCTATAACACATGTCTTTCAATCCCACACCAACTTCACGCAGAAATGCCAACTGACCCAGCTGGGGCTCAAACTAGTGACCTTCTTGCTATGAGGCGACAGCGCTACCCACTGCGCCACCGTGCCGTCCTGATCACATGAGATACATATTTGAAATCGAATAAATAAATTTTTAAAAATGATGATGTTCCAAACTTTTCAATTTCATTTACGATGTGTTCTGAATAATTTGCAAATGTGTTGGTTTTTAAGGTGTTTTGACATGTGAGAATCATGTGGTTGTTCTGTAAGGGTGTACAGCATAATTTTCAATAAATATTATTCTAAATCATTTTTGTATATAAATCAAAACCAGAACAATATGTAAAATGAGAAAAAATAATCATGATTTATTACATTTACTGACTCAGTGCTGTTTTTCCAATTTGACTTTTTTGTCACCTTCTTGAAATCTCATCTTCATCTCACATCCATTGCTCCATCAGGATCCTGATGTCATCAACACCCCTCTTCCAGTGGAGTGTGGTCCTCCTGTTGAAGAAGAAGGGGGCACTGTGATCCGCCCTGACGGATCAGGCAGCATGACCCCTCTTCTAGTTGCCCGCTCTTTGTCCCAGGATGCTTCCCCTCGAGCAAGCATCACCAGTGTCACTCCACAGGCCCTCAAACCCCGTTTGCAGCTACAAAGACCAGTCCACCTCACACAAGAAGTGGGCACATACCGAGAGACACTGGAGCCCTGTTGGGCAGAGCCTGTTCCTGCTTCAGGAGTCTGTCCAGGACCATGGCTTCAAGTCCCAGAGCATCGGCCATGCTCCAGAAGTAGTTCATCATCGGGCAGCCAGAAGCTAAAGAACAAGACTAAAAACCTCTGGAACCCCACCTACGGTTCCTGGGTCCTAGAGAGCTTTGGACGTGGAAAGTCAGCTCTGTGCCACACTCAGTCTATGCCTCTATCCTGCAACCCCACGTCTGTTTCTGCCCCGTCCTCTACCTCGGAGCACACAGACCCTGTAGTAGAAGTTAATGCAAATGTTTCAGCTTCCCCACCTCCATCTGCTGCACCGTCACAAACTACGTTGACTCCCACAGCGGCTCCCTCTAGGAAGAGTCCCACAGGGGCTGCTGGTGTCTCGCTGGCCACTGTTATGGACTTAGCAAAGCTTCAGAGCTTTCCATGTGGCAACGTAAACTATGCGTATGATGAACAGAGCTACGAGACTGAGAGTTTGCCTGTGGTTGTGTCCAAATCTCTGGAGCCCAGCACCAGCTCTGCAGCTACATCTTCACTGGTTGCCCTCAGCCAACCCGGCAGCTTTACCCACAAACCATTGGTGAAGCGTCATGCCAGTTACGGACATGAGGATGTAAGGAGGTACACCCAGCCTGAGAAGCCCACCAGGGACAGGGATTCTGGCTTTTCCTTGTCTGAAGACCTGAGTGTCACCCCTGTGTAGCAATGAGGAATGGTCCGACTTAGAAAATGCCTATTGTTTTTGGTGTTGAATAGTTTTGAGGTGTTTTTTTATGTGAACTGCAATGGATTAGCTGGAGCTGGGGCGTCAAATCCTGATCCAGCTCCAACACACTTGCCTGGAGTTTTCAATAATTAGTCTGAAGACCTTGATTTGAAAACTTTGCTGGATTAAACAGCTGGTTTGGACACCCCTGAGCTACAGACAGAGTGGCAGGTTAAGGCTGGAATATACTACACTATAGTGGTCTTCAGTGATTCGACCCAAGCGTGTTCCTTGGACATGGGGCTTGGGTTACTGAATCTAAATGTGCTTTTTGCAAATGGACCTGATAACACCCAAAACGTTAATGGGATGACATGATTTTGCCCATAAAATTCCAGTGAACACCAAACCATGTAACTTCACTTTCAAAATCACACTGTACCAGGTCATTCCATACATAAATCCCCCAGACACATGCACCCCATTGATAGAAGACAAATGACAAATGAAGTCAAGAGTCTGATTAACACGTTTATTGTTTTCTAACTGAGTGTATCCATAATCTTAAGCTTTAAAGTCATTGTATTCATTAGACATTAAACACTACACATTAAACACTACAAAAACTTTCATGGAACGTTTTGGATCTTGTGCAAATCAGCAGACATTTGGTAGCTAATGTTGACTCAAGAGTAAAATATTGGTATACAAATCTGGTTAAATATTGTGTAATATATTCCAGCCTTGAAGTACTGTCAGTTGATATCCAAGTGCGTGAAATACCAAAACACCAAAGACATGAGGATACATGATTAATTTGCCATTAAGAGACACCTCTCCTGAAAATGGTTGATGGTTTCTATGAAAACTTCCACTTGGCTTATGGCAGCCCTTTTACACTGGATTCACGTCTACTGTCAACACTGTGAAAACACATGATGTTCACTTATTTACTACTAAGTCTTTTACTACTGATTACTCATCATTAGAAATGAACATAGATGTAGGTTTAGATGTCCTTCGTCAATTTACCTATTCAGCAGGTTGCTGGCGTTTATTACAAAATGTTCAGACCTCACACAAACAGAAAATTATGTTTTATATATATATACAAACACCACATAATGATTAATCTATCAAATCTAGTAAAACTCAATTTATTACAACAGATTGTTCAACTTTTTTTAAATTTAGTGATTCGACAAAGCTAAAACAAATTGAGAAGTTGGCCTTAAAAGGTCAGTTCACCTCAGAATTAAGATTCTGTCACTATTTACCCACCCTCAAGGTGTTGCAAACCGGTATGACTTATATTTTTAAACAGAAGTCATTCTTCAGTGTATTGTGTTGCCTGTCTTAAGACGATTGCCATGCTTACTAAGGGCGTTCACCAAGCTATTGCAAATAGCACATAGCAAAGTCCACAACACATACTGTACCAACTCAATCACACACAAACATATTGGTTACGAATTTTGTTCACCAGCTGATGGAAATATTGACAGCCAATCAGAATCCATCCTGCAATAATGAGATTGAGTATTTAAATTGACATGTACTGAAGCATGTACCTATAGTAAACAGAATACTATAATATATATGCTAACACTAGTATATATAACATTATCATTATATTGGTGAGAACACCTAACTCATACAAATTTAGACAGTTTGAAAGCATTTTCATTTAGTTTAAAATGAACTGTCCCTTCAAACTTTTGGAGAATTATTATACAGTAATGATTGCAGAAGTACGTTAACAAGGTGGAAGGCACCTTTAATCTGAGTTCAGGTGAACTTTACAGGGTGTTTTGACTGAAAATGAACATTAAGGACCATTTGTTTAGACTAGATTAGGTGTTTTGCTCTGTTTTGTCTTGAAACACGAACACGTTGATAAACATTAAGTTGCCTTTTTACTAAAGGGGTGCATTGTTTGTGATACACTGAGGTAACTGCAAGGGCTTTACAAAGGTATTGCCCTAGAATATGCTAGAAGTTAATGAGGCGTGTGATGCAGGGTGCAATTGTTGTGGCTGCTGTGGAGATTGCATTGATTTTCACATCAATACACTCCTCTCGGGAGCTGTTAAAAGACATAAGCATTTTTGGCAATCTATTTTTTTAGTACTTAATGCATAAATAGAAGTGCTTTTGATCTCCAAATGTCCTTATTCTACATGTTTAGCGCCCCAGTGTTAACTGTGATTTTGTTTCTGTGCATTACATTACATGCAGAGAAGCTACAGCAAACACAAACCGCATAACACCTCAGTGTGTGTAATATGATGCATGAGAAGTTTGAGTTTGAGACTACTCTTAGGTCTTATTAATTATTCTAAAGTATTTTGTTAGATATTGTTAGATATAGTAGGTTTTCATGTGTCAAGATTTATTTGTGTGTGTTTTTATTATTTTAGTCAGGGACTGCTGAGAGGATCCTTATGCAAACGTACAGAAAAGGAGACAGAAGTGTATTAGCACAATATTAACTTTATTTTTGTCTTGTTGAAGTCAAATAGTTTGACTGTCATTTATCATAAAAGGGGAAGAATGATGTATCTGTGCTTCTAGAGGAATTACGGACTGACTTAAAGGAACACTCCGCTTTTATTTTGAAAATAGGCTTATTTTATACATCCCTAGAGATCAAGAGTTTTATCATTTTGAACCTATTAAACCAATGTCTAGGTAAAATCGCAAGTTCAGCTGAGCATAAATCATTGAATCAGATTAAACTATTAGCATCTCACTCAAAGCATTCAAAAAAGAGTTTTGATCATTTTTTTATTTAAAGCTTGACTCTTCTGTAGTTACATTAGGTATTAATACCAGTGGATATGATATTACATAACTAAGAAACAGTGCTGTGTAATATCCTTGCACCTGCTGCAGCCTTGGTACAGCAGCAAAGTTCTTTGATCATTACGCCAGAATGAGAGTATAGTTCCTAGCCACATCGGCCTAGAAACTAGCAACTTTTCATTTTCCATCTGTCTTAGTACATGATGTAACTAAATGTCAAGCTTCAAATTAGAAAGTCATCATATTTATATAATTATTATCATAATTGAAACTTTTTTTGAGGGAGATGCTAATAGTCTAGTCCAATTCAATGATTTATGCTAAGCTAAGCTAAAAGTGCTCCTGCCAAACCTTGAAATCTGCTGAATAGATTGAAAATAGTGAAAATCAACTGTTTTCATAAAGGATATGTGTAAAAAAAGCCTATTTTCCTTTAAAAAAGAAGAAGTGAAGTGTTCCTTATACTGTAGATACGACACACAACTCAACGTTCAGGTTCTTTTACTTTTTGTAGGGTTTTAACTGGATAGAAGGGTAGAAATATCTTGACTTTAGCCAGGAAAATGAGTGCTGTATTCTTTAATTAACATTAATTACCCACTAAACTAACCCTTACCTTATATAGCTGTAATATTTAACCTTAATATTTTATCAGTGTTTGTTTTATTATTTTTGTCGGTTATCACTGCCAATATTCTGCATGCGTCTTGCTTTTTATGGAAGACTCTGCAGGGGCTCATTTCTAACCAGCCAGATTAGAAATGTACATCACATGAAGTGAATTTTAAAGGACATGTAACTACCTGTATTTTTTTATGTTAGAATATGGACAAACCTTAAATAAAATGTTTTGACTACAACCCTGATGTGAAGGAAAATTACTTCAGAAACAGTGAAGGATTTTTAAGCAGATGTTTTATTTGTTCTTAACATACTGCACAGGGAACACTGTAACAAAACTCACCTGCCTTCCTTGCCTAAACAAAATAGTGTCACAAGGTTAAGTTCGTCTGATTATGAAACACTTTCAGCGGTGTGCAGGAAGAGAAAATCATAACTCAGCTTCTTATGTGTAAAAACAATACAATATACTGCATCCACACAATCATTCAGAGAATCTAAAAACACCACCCTTGATTGATCACTGCAGTCAGTCCCGTTAACATCATTTTGTACTATAAATGCACTAGTATTGTGCGTTACTCACACTGTACAAATGTGTTGCACCTACTGTACACATTAACTAGATGAAAAACCTGTCAGTTGCGCAACTTCAATTGGTGACTAATGTTTGGTGAAACTAAACGTGAAACAATGTCGCTTTTTGAGACCATCTTATTTGAAGAGTGTGCCAAACAAAACAGATTTTGATAGAGTCCAGAATGCAGCCCCCACAAAAATGGACAAGCTTGACAGAATTTGTTTCAATATCTTTAAACCCTTTTGATTGGAAGGCTTGTTTAAGAGCTTAAAGCGAGTTATAAATTGTGCCCTCATGTTATGTTCTTTTCAAACTAAGGGCCAGATTTACTAATCACTTGCGTCAGAGAAACCCTAAAACTTAGCAATAAAAGAACGTTTGAACTGAGTTTTTTGAGCTGAGCTTACTGTAGATGCGTTTCTAGAAGTTTTATTTTTAACTGCAAACTAATGAGTATTTAAACAAATCATGCGATGTCTCAAGCCTGTGTTCTAGTATTTGCACTGTTATTTTACATCCTTATTTCATATGCATTTATACCACTTTCACTTTTTGATACACAATTTATGAGGGGGTGACCAGTTGGTCCACTTGCTTTTTCGAATGTAAAATGTCTTAACCCCATACCTTTCAACCATCCTTTATTTTACAATTCTATCCCGCTGTCATCCTGTAAAGGCATTTTCCTGTTTTTAAAAATTTTCTATGAAGGGTGGCTATGAATATCAAAGAGTCGATCCTCACTATATGTAACCCATACCGCCGAACCACCAGGGGATGCCCCTTGCTCTTAAATGTGAATTTATTCTGTGCTTTCGTTTTATTTAGGCATGAAAACACTTTGAAATAAATATAAAAACAGTGGGATTGCCTTCCTTTTCATTACAGGCACCATTGCCCCTCCTTTGCAATCCTCAAAACAGTCAGTTCATATAGCGGCGCATGTCAGATGCAATCCATATTGATAAATAGACGCTGTTTCCATAATGGATTCTGTACACGTCATTTGAAGCGAAGCGAGAGTTGACACTCTGGGCTTTGGGTGGATGTTTGAACAGAAATACACACATAATAATAATAATAATAATAATATCTAAACATATCGGTCTTGATGGGTTTTCTTCAAAACAAAACACATTTCGTCTTAAATGAGCATAAAAGGAGTGTATCTACGGTGGCCGAGAGAGCTTAACGAGCTACAATTTAGGAAAACACATGCAATTACTAAAAACACCAGCAAATTATGAAAAGATCTTCATCCGTTTGACAGCACACATGCTGCAAATCCTCACAAAACAAACATTAATCAAACATGCTGCTTTTCAACACAAAAACAACGAAACACAATGGAAATGTTTCATTAAAGTTGTTGGACAGGGGTGCCCAAACTCAGTCCTGTAGGGCCGGTGTCCTGAAAAGTTTAGTCCCAACCCCAATCAGACACACCTGGGCTAGCTAATCAAGCTCTTACCGGGCTTTCTAGAAACATCCGTGCAGGTGTGTTGAGGCAAGCTGGAGCTAAAATCTGAGTTTGGACACTCCTATTGTAGGAGATCTTTGAAAGGTGAGTTTGTTTGTTTGTTTACCCGATACCTGTGCCTTTAGTATTTATTAGCCTAAATAACAATATCCTCCATAACCAGCTCACGTTTTAGGGTCTCCTTGTAACATTCTGTTGTGTTGTGACCAATTGCTGCAATTCCTTCAGTTGTTTATGTTGTGAGAATTTGGAACACGTGTGCTGTCAAATTGATGAAGATCATTTCGTAACTTTTTGCCAGTCTTTTTGTAATTGCATGCGCTTTCCTAAATTGCAGCATGTTAAGCTCTCTTGGCCACCAAATGTATCCCTTATTTTTACATCCCAAAGTTGACAGGTTTGCTTAACCCACAGTAAGGCAATGCAGAAAATGGATACAGTAGCATGTGCTGAAGGGAGACGTATTGCTTATCATGGAAAAGTGGTGGGTTTTTTTCTAAGGGGGTGTCACTCTTACTGAAAACTGAAGCCAAAATATTTTGACTGCCCCCTGGTGGTGGACTGCAGTAAAAATAAAAAAATAGGTTGTGCTTCTAATAGCCTATCTTTTCCCATAGTTTTAGCAAACCATACTAAAGGCCACTGTAAAAAAATAAAAAATAAATAAAAATAAAAAACGTTCCCTGCATAAAACTAAAGTTTTTCTGCTTATTTGCTGATGTAGTTTTTTTTTCTTATAAGTTGTTTGCATAAGAAAATTGTACAAAAAGTTAAACTTTTTTTTGTTTTGTTTATGAATAACAAAACTGAAAACTACCCCTTTATATACAAATTCACAAAAAGGCACAAACTGTATATTTGTTTAATAAAACAAAACAAACAAAAAAAAAACACTAGAAAAATGTTATATATTTAGCTGACTTGCGTACTTACAATATCCCAGATGTTTCGAAGAAAGTTCAAATCCATCAACATTTTAAAAGGAAACAGAACATATCCTTTGTCGTCATGCTAATGCTTGATTGCCGGTTTGCTTTTATAGAAAACAGGGAAACACCAGAGACGCTTTCATATGTTGTGTGTTTTATTAGACTGCACCGAGCAGCATTAGAACAGAACTTTAAATGTATTTAGTCTGATATAACTTTGCTGCTGCTTCCGCGGTTGATTATGGGCAGAAGAACCGGAAGCGTCAACTGTGGCATAATAAAAGCTCTGCTGCTTTTATTCCGTGTCGCGCTTCTTTTACATCAGCTATTGCTCTTATTTTGCTATGAAGTCTTTCTGTCTTACTCTGCTTCATGCTACCATCATAATAAGTTGTTAATACTTCAGCTCATCCATAAACATGCTGGAGTCCGGAAGGATGTAATGAAGACCACAACTACCATGCTTCAACACTTCGTCACAGAGTCATCAATCTATGCCTTTATTGTGATTACGCGCCCTCTAGCGGCGAAAATCTCATTCTGCGCCTTTACATTGGTTTATTATGATTGTCAGTCCAGCCACTTGTGCATGACGTCACTGTTTTTATAAAAAAATGTTTTTTCATAGAAATTTGATTTTAAAAACTTGCACTAAGATACTCGTTTTTTCGAGTGTTTGCATTATTTAGGCCACCAAAATGCAGCTGTAGTTTCATTAAAAATGCAAAAAAAATGTGTTTTTAGTTTAAAATGGTATCGTTAGTTATTTGATGGTATGAAAATGTCTTGTGATGTCATAATTGACAGCTTCTCTGGTTAAATTCATTTTTCAAACTTAATTTTTATTGAATTAACTGCTGATTTTTATAGATTGCAGTCCCCTGATAATTTTCGGTTTAGTAAATCAGGCCCTAAATTTCTATTTGTTTTTGAGTGATTTTTGTAATTTGAGGAAATAAGTCATTTAGGTTGTTACCATGATTGTGGTGCAATGCTTTTACAGCTTAATACTGTAAAATACCAGACTATCTCACTGGTAGCCTCTCTTTTACAAGTGTCTGTCAGCTTGCGGTTGCTGTCGTTCTGTCAGTAAGTGAAAAGTCTGCCGTAAGGAGGTCACTCTCTTTTTCCCAGCGAGGACAGGGTTTGCAGCAGGTTGTCAAGGCCCCATAAGTATCCGTCTTCTCGGTTTCCCTCCTCCCAGGGTCTGTAGTGATCCAGGTACTGTCCGTCTGGAAGAGCTGTGGTCTTACCGAAATCTATGAGCCACACTTCAGCTCTCTCTGTGTGATCGTGAATGAACAGAAGAGAACTCCCAATCACCTGAAAGACATTTTTAGGTAAGCAAAAATGAATAATTGTTTAACTTGATTAAGGATTCAGAAGTTTGGGTTGAAAAGCACACGCTAAATGATATGAATTTCCATCATGCATATTTTGAAGTATTACATGAGAATTGAATGGTGGAAATGCCAAATTCTGAATAAAAGTCTCGCAATTCAATAGCCGACCACTTTCACTCCAAAATGGCGGAATACGGGGCTGTTGCTGGGAGCTGCTGCTGCAATGGAACGTTAAGTGTCGCCTTTTGGTCATTCTAAGCTCTTGGATATTAACAAAGACTATATAATACACAAGACGAGTCACTTGTATAGTTTTAAATGGGGAAAGGTGTAACAGTCAATATGGTGAATGAAGCCTGACTTTTAGAACAGGAGCCAATCATGGATTGCTATAGACCTTTTTCTTCGAACATAAAATGACCCATTATGCTTTCATACCTGTCAACATTAGAATGCGAATATACAGGATACACACTCCCAAGCTACAAATGATATAATACATAACAAACATTGGAATAGGCATGGGAAGATAACCGTTTTCAGGATACAGCATACTGCAGTTTGGAAAAGTCAAGGTTTTAATATCGCCAAAATTTTCTGTAATACCATCCCTAAGGTATGTGTAAGATTTTTTATTTACTTTTTTTCTTTTAGAACAGAATCTCCAGCAGAAAAAATATCCAAAGATGCCGTCTTAAATTGTAAAGAAATCTGTGTTTTTGTAACAAATGAAGACAGCGGAAGTCAATGATTGATTTAAATTATTTAGTCTGACGTGTTTACCGCTCCAAACTATCATAAATCTTTCAAAAAATAAAATATTGTTTTCAAAGGGGAAAAAAGCTTTTGTGTTTTTACCCAGACATTTAGAAAGAATATATTTTAGAGCAGTGTGCACGATACCGTGAAATTGTGATATTTTTATCCAAGGTTATTATACCACCGGAATCTTATACTGGCACATGCCTACATTAGAACATTCATTCATTCATTTTCTTTTCAGCTTAGTCCCTTTATTAATCTGGTGTTTCCACAGCGGAATAAACTGCCAACATTAGAACATATTAAAAAAACAAAATAAAAGCCCATATCAATGGCTTATACAAATCTTGTTCACTTTTTGTTCACTGTTTTTAAATCTTGATTAAAGTTACTGTAGTTATTTAGTGAAGAGTAGCGAATCTCTCATTTTGATCCACTGTTTTGTTTGATAACAGCGCTGTCACTTTAAGAATCCACAAATCTAGAATGAAAGCAATCACTTTTACAGAAGCTGATCTGGGAATAGTTTCTTAATCAAGCGGCAACCTCCCACTCTCCCTCGTGAAGCAAATATGGATGTAACTGAAATGCAATTCATCTAAATTCTGCTAGTCCTGACGCTCCATATAGAGCAACAGTAGGGTTTTTATTGACCCCACAGTTAAAATAGCCAACTTTACAACAGAAAAAAAGGTGTTTACAGCCTGGTACAAAGAAGAATTTTGGTTCATATTGCTAATATTACCCTTCATGACAACTGTGAGGGGGTGAATTGTTTTTATAACTCATCCATTTCCTTTATATTAGGTTATATTAAGTTTGCATAATTAAGGGCATGGCCACTTGAGTGACAGCTTGGTCTCACTGATTGCCGTGACTTCACCTCAGCTGATTCCGGCTGATTAGCTGCTGAACCTGGCATATACATCGCATTTCTGTTTTGTTTTATGTGGCTTTACAGTCAATTGCTTTTTGGAATTATTTCTTACAATTATCAGATGATATGGCATGCTGTGTTCACTTAATTGTGCTCACAAATCATTCACATGGCCTCCATTTCCAGAGTGAGTGTAATTATATACTTGTATACATCTCTATAAATGTATTTGTTTTATTAAACATCATTTGTCTATTACAGTTTTCTTTAGACCTGTAATGCACTCCAGAATCTAAAACACTGATTAGCTGTAGGCTCTATAAGTCATCTGAAGTGATGCCATGGGTGGATTTCATAAATAGACAAGCATTTGCTAACACAGACTATATTTGAAGTGTTTGGAAGTAATTCGCATTCTCCTCCTGTAGAAAAATATCATAAGAAGAATGTTTGGTGGCTCAATGTTTTTAAAAGACTAAACACTTTATTGATATAGTACACAACCAAGCATGTGGTCAAAAAACAAACGAGTCGCAGGTAATGAAAAATTAAGCGTTTCTCCCGAAGAAAAGCCCATCTGAGTAAAATGCTAGCAGGCGTCTGTAGCTCTGCTTAGGGTCCGCCTCTTTGCCCATGTTTGGTATCCCCCAATCGGTGTGATGTCGCAGGAACTAAATGTCGATGTGTGGCCACGCCTACTTGTAGCTTCTTTTGCATTCTTCAGAAACTTATAGGTGATGTCACGGACACTACGTCCATATCTTTTACAGTCTATGGTTTTAATACGGAGTGTGTCTGTCAGTCAGCACCATTTAGGTTGATTTAGCTACTGATTCAGAAGTTGCATGGGAGTGAACACAGGCACTTTATTAATAATTTCAACGTGCTTTCAAACCAATATAAAGCAAAAGTATAATTCTCTTGAGCAGCTCTTGCAATTATTTTAATGCTGCTGTTGATCAGCGCCACCTCCTGGACTAATTATTTAAAACATGCAATCTAATGGGATGGGATGCTGTGAGGCATTTACCCTTACTGTCAGATGTTATCTTGTGCCATTTAAATAGAGCACTATCATCACTAAAGTCAACATTTTCTCTTTTTTTCAAATATATAACGAACCAAAACAAATTTCATTCACAATAATGTTTGACACACACACACACACACATAAGTACTGTACCACTAACATTAAATGAAAAACCAACACAAAGTAAAAAAAAAAGTGTCATTTTGAAACAAAAGAAAAGCACATGCCATGGTAAATACTACACCAGTGGCGTAGCTAGACCACATTTACTGGGGCATGTGCCCCAGTAAAAATCGACAGTGCCCCAGTAAATGCTTTGAGATAATATTTACTTTATATGCAAGTGTATTTATTAAGACTGGTAATCCAAGAATAAAGATGTTATTTTCTATGTGCAACCGAACCAATGCAGGTGAAAGCAGTGTAGTTTATTCAAAAAGCAGACTGAGCATAGGCACAGCAAAAAACATGGCCGCGCACCTTGATGCTGATGTGCTGCTCTGTTCCCGGTTGTGAACATACACTTTGAAAAAATAGCCGCACTGCTCTAGTGCCGCTCATGCATTGTGGAACCAGCAAAACAGTCTTTTATGTGAGGTGTTGGCACGCAGTGAGTATTGCAAGTCGACAAAGGTTTAAAAAATATGATGGTGATCTTATTTAGACTAAGCGTGGCTCCTGATGGATTTTTTGTATGAAGCAGAAAGGAGGGATAAGTCAGGGAGGTAAGACTTGATACACGTAATTTGGAGAATTTGATGTTTCCCCATTCAAAGAATGCCCGAGCATACTGCCCAATAGGCATTTCAAAGATGGTAGGAACTTTGGTATTACTCAGTATTTAAAGTACAATTACATTGCAGCACAACATAATTTGCTGAATATATATGCAGCTATGGAAAAAAGAAACCACTTAATAGTTTTAAAGTAATAAGATAAATGTATGCAGATAAAGAAAAAGTCTTTATTTAAAAAATACACTTTTTTTACCTCATGTTTCTTGAAGAACTCTGAGGCCTTCAGTGCCCGTTTAATCTCTTCAAGTCTTGTAATGTAGGAGTTCTGTAAAAGAAGAGCACATCATGAAATGATTGCAGACAAGATATTTGTTTTCAATATTTGCTGAGGTGAGGCTCCAATTACACAAGGAAAACTTGTAAGTGGAGTTCATTTGTTTCTGCTTTTCCCTAGTGAAGCATTACAGCTTTCTCTGCTCTCCTCTTTAAAAAAAAACATGTTCTTCAAACACAATCATTATAAGCTTTGCAGCTATATTTGCTTTTCAAACTCAGTTTTAGTTACTGTGAAATGCTTCACATTCAAACACCTGACTTTACCATCAACTTCCCTTGTCCATTAACCCTTTAACTTGCACTCTAAGATAAACAAATCACCAATTTCCATGGATCCTGACACCAAATGTAAATGCACTAGAGTTTTTTTTTGTTTTGATAATGGTCTATGTACAAAAGATCAACTAGTTTTGACGGTTGTGATGACAGTTGGCGATTCTGTATCCTAATTGTTTTTATTTTGGTGCATTTTTTGTGGGAATGTCTTTGTTGATTTTTGATAGCAATATCTGGCAACACTGCTCATCAGCACGAACAAAGATAATAGTTCATTGCTGAGGAGACCACATTCAGTAAGACAATTGGCAATCATCATCATGATATGCTCAGAACTGTCAAATGCTATCAAAAATAGCATAATAACCTGAAGAATATGCAATATTATAAGCCTAGTAGTTAGCTAACTTTTTAAAATTCATACATATTCATTTATCATTCCAATAGAGGATACAGGGCATAAGTTCTTAATGTTCATGTATTTTATTATCCTATGAATACAACAAAACTGTAACATCTGTAAATAGCATAGCATAGCATAGCATAGGAGTGCGAGTACTTCAATGACACATCAGTGTCTAATTATTAATAATGAGACTAAGTTTTATTATCCAATAGGAAGACAATGCTTCTGAATTATTCGGTCAAATTATGAGACTGTGAGTAGTTAGGCGTTCATGATGGGCATCATCAACTTTGTTACCAGTCTGTACTGAAATTGAAAAAATGTGACAATAGCAGCATTTCCCGCTTGCATTTGGAACGCTGCTGAGTGGACTCTTAAACACAACCCAGGCTCATTCTGAAAACGTGCCCATATACTGTATACCTTTCTGAACCAAGCCAAATACATCCCAGGGGGTACGCTTTTTGAAGTTTTTGTTTTCGGGAATCCACCAGAGGACGATGTGTACGCATTTACAGATCTCAAATTTCTCTTGCAAGTGCCATTCGCACCTGCTATTCTCATGTAAATCCTCCAGAGGTCGCTGTTGACTGACTAACTGAATGACTGACTGATCAAGCAACTGGAAACCCCACCCTCCTCGTGTTAGTGTTTTCAAAGCACCGATTGACCCATCCACCCACTTATTTAAACCCAACCGACAATTTTAAAAAGCAATTCAGAAAAAGAAAAGCCCTCGCCTAATTTTTACCACATTTTCATATTTTACCACATTCTCACCTTGTTATTTACTTTTTATTTTATTTTTGCCTCCTGGTTTTGACTTATCCACTTTTGGGAACTGTTCTTCGCTGGATTTGCACCTTGTCATCGTAGTCAACTCTCTGCATCACAAGTCCACCACTGTACATGGTGAGCTACTGGACAAACTGGTAACAGCTGGAAAGCTGTCTACATGCAGGTAAGTGGTCAGCTGGTAAACGCAAAAAGGAGCAGTATCATACCGCCCCGTAGCGTTCATTTTAAAGACGAAATGCAGTCATCCGTACCTCTGGCTACATAATTCGCGATCTCCAGAAATGTATATAGGGCTACGTTTTCAGAATGAGCTGTTGCTGAAATACTGCTGATTGGCCAATGTGTTCAACAAGCGCTCAACAGATATGATTGTGATTGGCTCTAATGATCACCATTTTAAAAGAGCACTTTTCTGTCCCTCTACAGCAGGCATGTGTTTGTCGGAGTTTTAACTTTAACAGTAAACAATGTCTGGCCTTTTCTAACCAGTATATCCAAGATACGGAGCAATCAAGGTCTGGTGTTCATTAAGCCACTGACTCAGTGTTGTTCTGGTAATTGTAGGTGTGCATGCATTGATTTCACAAAACAGGTTGATCTAGTTCTCAAGAACTCACGCACAATTATGTTTTTATTGCCTTCGATGAAATCCTTAAAGACCTGCGTGACGTCTTCCTTTGAGCGGGTCTTTTTGAAGTCTGTGTTGCAGGTTTCCCCTCTCTGGAAAAAACCCAAAAACAACAAAAACAAGTTAGTCGTGTTGAATGTTCCCACAGTCAGAGAAAGCAGGCAAATATCAAGTGAGAACTCGGGGAATGTGTTATTGCAAAAAAAACACATCTGCTTGTTTAAGGCTTATTCTTTGATATTATATATATAAAAATAAACAGTTGAAGTCATCATTATTAGCCCCTCTTTAATTTTCTTTTCTTTTTTAAATATTACCCAAATTAAGTTTAACAGTGCAAGCAAATTTTCGCGGCGACGTAGTGACGCAGTAGGTAGTGCTTTCGCCTCACAGCAAGAAGGTCGCTGGTTCGAACCTTGGCTCAGTTGCCGTTTCTGTGTGGAGTTTGCATGTTCTTCCTGCATTCACGTGGGCCTCCTCCAGGTGCTCCGGTTTCCCCCACAGTCCAAAGACATGCAGTACAGGTTGTCTGTAGTGTATGTGTGTGTGTAGATGTTTCCTAGAGATGGGTTGTGGTTGGAAGGGCATCCGTTGCATTAAAAATGAGCGAGATAAGTTGGCGGTTCATTCCGCTGTGGCAACGCTGGATAATAAAGGGACTAAGCCAACAAGAAAATGAATGAATGAATGAAGGAAATTTTTACAGTACGTCTGATTTTTTTTTTCTTAAAGTCTTATTTTTTTTCTGCTAGAATAAAAGCAGTTCTTGATTTTTTAAAAAAAACATTTTAAGGTCAAAATTATTAGCCCCTTTAACCATCGTTATACAATAACTTGCCTAATTACCCTAACCTGCCTAGTTAAACTAATTAACCTAGTTAAGCCTTTAAATGTCACTTTAAGCTGTATAAAAGTGTCTTGAAAAATATCTAGTAAAATATTATATACTGTCATCATGGCAAAGATAAAATAAATCAGTTATTAGAAATGAGTTTTTAAAACTATTATGTTTAGAAATGTGTTGAAAAAAAAATCTGCTCTCCGTTAAACAGACATTGGGGAAAAAGTTAAACACGGGGGCTAATAATTCTGACTTCAACTGTGTGTGTGTGTGTGTGTGTGTGTAATTATATATATATATATATATAATTATTATTATTATTATCATTATTAGTTTTCTGGAGAAGTGATTATTAGTTTTTTGGAGAAGTGATTATTAGTTTTCTGGAGAGGTGAACTACTCTGTAACAAAACTTGTGCCAACTGAATATTTTTTTTTGTCTGCAGAACTGTAATAATAAAAATAATCCCTATTTCCTTTAGTTCTTTTCTAGTGTCCTCATTATTTTTGCTTTCTTTCTTTTTTTTTTTTTACCTTTAATTGATAGAACAGTAGCGCGTATAGACAGGAAAGCATGGGGACAGGCAAAGGATCAGTACAGGACCTCAGGGCAGGAATTAAACTTAGTTCAACGTGAACACTTGTTATGTCATGTGTTGACGCACTAACCACTACACCATTGGCACCGACTTGTACTTAACTTCATTATTAAACATCAGTTGTATCGACTTTCAATGTCTTCAGTTGGGTGAAATATGAAACATATGAAACATTACAAAGAATGTTTCCCTCTTTGTCCTGCTATGTTTTGATCCTTTTCTTGTTTACCATTAATGTTGTTTTACCTCCTGTCCTGTTTCTAATTCTTGAAAAAGTTAAGTGAACAAAAAAAACCTTTTAGACACTGGCACTAAGAAATAATATATCATCAGAACAAACAAACATAGTTCAATTTAAAAAAAAACCTAAAACAAAGACAAATGTTAACAAAACATTTATTAGACACAGAATTAGAAACAGGACAGATGGTAAAACAACTACCTTGATACCCTCAATGCGAAAGCCCAGAGTGTGAGTGGAGCTCAGGCTTTCTCTCCACTGCATGTATCGAGGTTTAGTAACCGCCTTCTGCTGCCTTTCCTCCGCTGTAGGTGCTCCGCTGTCCACCTCCAGCATCTTATTATACAAGTCCTCCCGCAGCTTTGGCTTCACTCGTGCTCGAACCAGCTCATCCTCCAGATACGTCCTGACAGAGAACAAAAGACAGAAAGACAGAAGAATTAGACGTTGAACATCTATGTGCTGTTGGGGATGTGTTCATCACTCTGGGGTCTTAATTTAAAAAGTCTTAATTTGGCCACAACTTTCTCTGTGTTTCTGCAAATGGAATGATTTTTTGGTGAGTAATCTTATTTTGACACATATATAGGGACAATGTTTTGAAAATTTGAAAGTTAGCAAACTTACTACCCTTTCTTTATGTTCATGGATCATTTTGCCTCTTTGACTTCCATTATAATAACATTTTTTGATTGCAAAGCCATGACATGACTGTTGCTGCTGGTTATCCCTGTTGGGAAGAGGTCAAAATTGTAATGTATTTTGTGTGTGAGAGAGATATCTATATGTCTGGGAAAATCTAAATAAGCAGCAAAGCTCTCAAAACATAGTAAACATAGTAAGTGTATTTAGAAAGCATCTAGCATTCCAGCAGCTAGCTCTCTGCAACTCTCACATGGTAGCGCACTGAAGCCTAGCAGGGCTGAACCCGGTCAGTACCTGGATGGGAGATGATATGGGAAAGCTAGGTTGCTGCCGGAAGCGGTGTTAGTGAGACCATCAGGGGGCACTCAACCTATGGTCTGTGTGGATCCTAACACCCCCGTATATTAATGGGGACTCTATATATGATCAGTGAGCGCCCAGGATGTCCCAGATTTGCCCACTGGCCTCTGTCCATCAAGGCCTCCAACCATCCCCATATCATAATTGGCTTCATCACTCTGTCTCCTCTCCACCATTCAGCTGGTGTGTGGTGTGCAGTCTGGTGCTATATTGCTGCCGCCGTGTCATCCAGGTGGATGTGCACACTGGTGGTGAATGAGGAGATTCCCCCCCCCAAAATGTGTAGAAGCATTTTGAGTGTCCAGAAAAGTGCTATATATTACTTATTTATACTCAAACACTATAATTAGCTGTTTTACTCCATATAGCTCCATATGAAAGCCAGCAACTTTTATCTATCTAAAAGTTTAATGATGCTAACTGATGATCAACAGCAAAAATGACACAGTTTACCTCTTCCCAACAGGGAAAACCACCAACAATCAAGAATAAATGATTAACTGGTGTCAGCTTTGCAGTCCAAAAATGTAATTTTTATTGAAGTCAATGGGGCAAAAACAGCCACTAACATAACGAAAGGGTAGTCAATTTGAACAGTGCACAAGAGTTAAAGGGGTCATGAAATGTCTTTTTCTAATGTGTGCTGCTCTCTGAGGTCCGCTTTTAATATTATCAGGAATTTTACATTTAAACTCATCAGAATCTCAAAGTAATATAGGCTATATTTCTGTCCTGCTTTGACCCCCATCATCAGAACACACTGTTTGGAAAATCCATGCTTGATTGTAGACACAGAAGTAAACAGTAAGACAGGCTCACAGCTTCACTTTATTTCAAATGTTTTAAAAGTACAGCTGTGAAAGATGTAAACTTCTGCATGAATGTTTATATTGTTCTCAAAGATGGATGGATGCTGCTGTGATTTAAGGTTTATGAAATGATCTGTAATAACAGTCACAGCAATAAATTTCCATATAATAAAAACAGTTATTCACACTTCAGTGGTGTGACTTTGCTCTCGCATCCAATATATTTGCAACAGCGTCATCTTTTAGTTTGAATATTTCTGAAAATACAGTGTCAAATCGTGCCTTGTTTGTAAATTGCAGTGAGCAATGAACAGTTCATCTCACTGAGGTGGTCTGGAGTTAAAATAAAGTTTGTCCACTTGTAATGTGGGGATCAGAGCAATGTTTATCTACGACTTAGCACTTCACAGTTTCTTAGTACTTTTTGAAAAATATGATCATTTACTTTCAGCTTGACGTAAAGCGGTTACGTTGCTGTAGTCGAAAATGTTAAAAAAGTTACTGTAAACTAGGGCTGGGTCGATAAACGATATTATCGAATCGCGATAATATTAATGTTGATAACGATGATAAGCTATGGAGATTTTTATTTGATATTGATCTAAGAGACAATCACGCAGCAGACATTTGCAGGAATCTGTCATTGTGTTGACATTAGAGATATGCTACGCCACCCAGTATTGATTAGCGAGCTCGATTCACTTTCCTGCCGGCAGTATTTGCTGTTAAACTCTTGTTTATTTTGTTGATGACTATTTAGCCATTTTTAATTAAGTAAAACTTAATACATTTTTTAAATTTCTTTAAAAATATTTCTGTAATTGCTTGTTTTTTAAAAAAATGCAATAAGTTTATTTAGTTTGTGAAGGCAGCTAGCTTTCTGCAACTCTTAGATGGTTGCCCACTGAAGACCAGGGCTGTGTCTGGTCAGTACCTGGATGGGTGACCACATGGGAAAGCTAGGTGGCTGTCAGATGTGGTGATAGTAAGGCCAGCAGAGGGCGCTCAGCATGTGGTCTGTGTTGGTCCTAACGCCCCAAAGGGGACTTTACACTGTTCAGTAAGTGCCATCTTTCAGATGAGATGTTAAATCGAGGTCATGACTCTCTGTGGTCGTTAAAAATCCCAGGATGTCCTTTGAAAAAGAGTAGGGGTTTAACAAATTTGCCCACTGGCCTCTGTCCATCATGACCTCCTAACCATCCCCATTTCATAATTTGCTTCATCACCCTTTCTCCTTTCCACTAATCAACTGGTGTGCGGTTTGGCGCGATATGGCTGCTGTAGTGTCATCCAGGTGGATGCTGCACACTGGTGGTGGGTGAGGAGATTCCCTAAAAAATGTGTAAAGAACTTTGAGTGTCCATTAAAGTGCTATATAAGGAATTATTATTATTATTGTGTTCTGTATTTATACTGTCAGTTACAGTTCTTCAGATTATCCAAACATCCAAAAAATCCGTTATGTGCAAACTATTTTTGTTAATAAACAACAGTTTAAAATGTTATTTAATAAAGCCTCTGATCTTTGTGGTTTCATTCATTGTTGGGAAACTCTTTTCTGGAAGCATTAACAACTTATATCGCAATACATATCGTTATCGTTCAATGTGGAAAAGGATTATCGAGATTGTATTTTTGCCATATCACCCAGCCCTACTATAAACAATCCGATGTCTTGTCGATTTGTCCTACTTTGTCAGATTGTCCTACCTCCCATTGAAATAGTATGTCGCACATTTTGATGACGCAATATGCTACCAATCAGATTTTGCGACCAGTGTAAATTTGAATGTGGAGTAGTGTGATATGAAGCTGTAATATCACTCTAAACTACCTAATCTCTAACCTCAACTGCAGAATATAATCTGAAATAATCAGAAATAATCTGAAGAGTAGGATAAAACATTAGGACACGGACACAATGCTGCATGAAGTTATTCACAAAAGACTTAAGGTAGAATCATTAACTGATGCAATTGTAGGGGATTTAAACCATCAATTTTACTTAGCTAATTTGTAAAAATAATAACTAAATAAAAGCATTAATTGAAACCATATACAATTGATCATGTCACTCGCTATAGATTACTCATGGGATGTTTTTTGCCTCGTGAATTTTCCACTCGAGTTGTAGGGAAACGTTGCAAACAAGAAATGAAAAAGGTAAATTCCATACAATTGCACATTCTGTGCCAAATTTGCAGAGCAATTTGCCTTTATTTCCATTTATTTTGTATGTAATCGTCATGTGCGAAGACGTTCTTCTGTGAAGGACATTAATGATTGGCTTAACTCAAATTTTTTGAAACAACATGGACAAAACTGAGATCATTTTTATTGGCACCCCAGCACTTACCAGCAATATTTCGACCAGTCTGAGACCCTGTGAGATTGCTGGCTCTCACATTAAAACATCTACCTCTGTCAAAAATGAAGGTGTAATCTTCAACTCTACACTCTCCTTTCAGTCTCACATTAAATCTGTTATTAAATCTGCATTCTTTTATTCACGTTGCTTTTCCTAACCGCGTCCCTTAATCAGTAGCAGGGATGCTGAGACTGTCATCCATGCATTTGTCTTTTCACGTATTGACTATAATGCCCTTTTCATTGGTTTGCCTGCCAGCCTTATATCCAGATTACAATAAATTCAAAAATCTGCGGCTAGACTACTCATTCGTACCAAATGTTGTGCTCATATAACCCCAATCTTGTATGACCTCCATTGGCTCCCAGTTGCATAACGCATTAAATTCAGAATTCTCCTCCTTGCATTTAGATCCTTAAATGGCCTAGCTCCCTCTTATCTTTGCAACATGCTTGTCCCCTACTCGCTCATTACATTCCGCTGACTCTGCCCTTCTCGCTGTCCCTCGGTACTGCCTCTCTTCAACGGGGGGCAGATCATTTAGTGTTATTTTCCCCAAACTCTGAAACTTTTTACCATGCTTACTCCGCTCTGCTAATAATATCTCAGAATTCAAATCTTTACTTAAAACTCACTTATTTTCTAAATACTTCACTTCTGAAGCATTTAGAAAAACTGAAGCATTTCACAAACTGACCACTTTATCTGATCCACTTGCACTCTGCTCATTTGTCTCTTAGGTCTTGTTTTTGTGTTTCGAGTTTGTTATATTTGACTTCCTGTATGTTTGTGTATCTAATGCTATCTCTACATTTATCTGCTTGTACTCTCTCTTTTTGTTGCATTCTTTGTAAAGTGTCCTTGAGCTCTGGAAAGGCACTATTTAAATAACATTTATTATTACTATTATTATTATTATTAAATTCGAATTTGGTGTAAACTCAGCATTAGTGTTCCTTAAATTCATGAATGCTCAATATAATGTGAGAATGCCATGTTCATCAGTGACTGTTGCTTAAAGTCCCTATTATTATTTATTAGTACAGCTTAAAACAGTGGGTGATGCTAAAAAGAGAAGCATGCATTGATCATTTTTTGTGGTACATTGGTATATTCCACAATGTTTTGCTAGATTCACTAGATGTTTTTTTACAATGTAAGGAACTGTTATATATGTGAAAAGGTCAAGCAAATTTTGTTTTCTAGAATAGCTTGTCTGTTAATCAGATCATCATGACAGTTTTAGTTATTTCAGTGTGTGAACTTTACTTGACTTCCTGTATGAAAGGAGGAAGTCACCAAGGGACTCCTCTGTCTCTCTCTCTCTCACACACACACACACACACACACACAGACCGAATCTCTGAGTGTGTAAAACGGATCCGTGAAGTGTGTGAGAAGGAAGCCCTGAGGGACACCCTGTGCATGCATGTGTGTTTAGTCTGCATGTGCACAGGAAGTGGTTGATATTGTTGTTTGCAGTCAAAGAGCCTCTCTCTTCAAGAGCTCCACCCTGACAGGATGCAGATCAGCTCCCAGAACAGGTGTTTCAGCACTCATCATGCACAGCACACAAGCGCAGAGCATTAAACATCATCAGTCTAAAGGGTCCATTGAGATTTTTAGACTATAAACAGACGATACGATTTTTAAATGCATTTTTAATTGACTTTAGGATTTTAAATATTGTGTTCTTTTAACATCATAAATATTGTTATAATTATATATTATGTTCTATAATTAGAATATTACAAACATTCGTTCATTTTCTTTTTGGCTTAGTACCTTTATTAACCTGGGGTCGCCACAGCAAAATGAACTTCATATATAGATTTATATCCAGCAAATGTTTTACGCAGCGGATGCCCTTCAAGCTGCAACCCATCACTGGGAAACACCCATACATTCTCATTCACACACATACACTACAGACAATTTAGCAACTCAATTCACCTATAGAGCATGTATTTAGACCAGGGGTCACCAATCTTGTTCCTGGAGGTCCGGTGCCCTGCAGGGTTTAGCTCCAACTTGCCTCAACACACCTGCCTGGGTGTTTCAAGTATACCTAGTAAGACCTTGATTAGCTTGTTCAGGTGTGTTTGATTAGGATTGGAGCTAAAATCTGCAGGACACCGGCCCTCCAGGAACAAGTTTGGTGATCCCTGCTTTAGACTGTGGGAGAAACTGGAACACATGGAGGAAACTCACACAAACACGGGGAGAACATGTAAACTCCACACAGAAATGCCAACTGACACAGCCGAGGCTCGAACCAGCAGAGTGCCACCACACATAAACATGATATAATTATATATTAGGTTCTATAATTAGTATATTATAAACATTATACATATTTAATAAAATATAATTTAATAGTATATTCATCCCTAGGTCATACTTGAAGGCTTTAAAACAATTAAAGGAAAGTAACCCTCCAGTGGTTCTGAACCTTTATAAGTTTTGTTTTTCCGGAGTGGTCTAGCAAAGTCTGCAGTGGGAAAGAGCGGTTGGAGACCAGCGGTGAGTAAGTAGGTCAGTAAATAAGTGACTTACATTGTCATGGAAATCAGTGGCTACTAGCTTCCAACATTCTTCACAATATCTTCTTTTGTGTTTAACAGAAAAAAAAAAAACCTTGGCATTTGGAACAAATAGAGTCTAAGAAGGTAAACTTTTCATTTAAAAAGGTAATATAAATTTTTGATATCTAGATAAATATACATTTTTTACATTTTTATTAATCATTAACTTTACACTGGTTAACAGCATTGTTTTTGCTATAAGTAAGTAAGTAATGTGTATTTTTATGGCACAGTTATCATGTATGGTCGTACACCCAAAGCAATACAGTGTAGTGTGTGTATTTATATTGTGCATTTACCATGTATGGTCAAGCACCCAAAGTGCTGCACAATCATAAAAGGAGGGGTTTCTCCATACCACCACCAGTGTGCAGCATCTATTTGGATGATGTTACGGCAGCCACAATGACCTCACCACACACCAGCTATGGGTGTAGTGGAGAGACAGTTGTAGAGCCAATTTGGTAAATGGGGACGATTGGGAGGCCATCATGGGTAAAGGCCAATAGAGGGAATTTGGCCAGGACACCAGGATTACACCCCTATTTTTTACGAGAAGTGCCATGGGATTTTAAATTACCACAGATGGTCAGGATCTCGGTTTAACGTCTCATCTAAAAGACAGGAACTTCACAATCATGAGAGGGGGTCTCTCCACACCACCACCAGTGTGCAGCATCCCCTCACATAATGTGACAGCAGGACAACGGTGCAAGTGCACTCCACATACCGGCTATAGGTGAAAGAGCCAATTAAAGCTGGGTTCACACAAGATGTAAAGCACCACGTCACTTTCTCTGCTTTACTCACAGGATGTTTTTCCCCTCATGCAAATTTTTTGCTTGAGTTTAATTATTTGAACTTGCCTGATAGATGACATTGAGGTAGATTTAAGGAAATAAATCACCCCTATTAGCACATTTGCACTGACATTGTATGTAATTTACTCGTGCGGAATAGGTAATGCCGCATTTTGGCATGAACCCAGCATTACATTTTAACACGTGATTGTAATTCTGTGATTCATTTTTTTTACATGGAATAACAAATTAACTGAAAAAACATTATTTTATTTTAGCTAATTGTCTATAGTCTATAATAATGAACAAATAAATGAATAGCGAACAAGGTTTGGGAACAACAAAAAAAATACATCCAGGTTAGTGAGGATCACAAATGCTTCATGTTACATGCATTCACCACGCACATACACCCGGAGCAGCAAAGGGGCGTATTCAGAGGTGCTTTAATGTTATAGCAGAGAAAGCTAAAATGCTGTGCAAATGCTGCTTTTCCACAGAGCTTCTTCTGTTTCTATATTTGGGCTTCCAAATGACATAAAGAGAGATGTGCTTACTATTTAATTTTAATTATGTTGCAGAGAATTCTAAAATATATATAGCTAGCATTTGACAAAGGACATCTTCCAGAATCTCCAAGAGTTTAGTGCTGAATTCGGCTAAAACTCCTCAAGGAAGGAGCAGCTCCAACCATAATAGACGAAGCTGTGAATCGTGAGTCACAACCTGTAGGTATTTTTATTTGTGAAAATTGATTCATGACATGCACAGTGTCTAGCGTTAACGTTGTGTTATAGCAAGGATGTAAACACCTGAAATTCTATGATTTTTATGTGATTTTTTTTTTTTACAAATGAAGCATGAGCACACATTGCTTTGCATCTTTTAAACACAAGCAAGCCTTAAAAATACACTCTGAACCGCCCCTTTTAGTAGACAAAAAACAAACACACAACTAAAATGACAATAAAGTAATCTAAAATTAACTATAAACTATACAAAGGCACAACAATTATGCTAATAAACACTGGTATTAAAGGTGTAAAAGTAATGCCATTTAGACCTTTCAGTCATATGTAGTTTTCCCCCTTGTATCACTTACCTCATAAAGAAATTCAACAAATAAACATAAAATATAAAAGCATCTCCTTTATTTATTTTGCTAAAAAAAAAAGTTGTATACACTTTGTTGACTGTACCTCACTCCCATCTTGCAGTCCATGACGTTTGGTGTATCAAAGCTGGCCAGCAAGTCGGTCATTTTGAGAAAGAGCTCTCCGTCTCGCTTCACTAACCCATAGTATCCGGGCACGAAGCCATGTAAAGCATCCTCTTTGAGCCTCTCGAAACAGCGATTCTCATTTTCAGAGAACTTCTTCAGTATGGAGCCTTCATCGCCTGCTTTAAAGCTGCCTGAGCCCAAAAACAAACACAATTGAGTCACTGATGCACATTTAATCACTCTGAATCTGACATCTCAGTCAGGGTCCGTGCCTTCATCATATAATATTACATAATCCCAATCTGCACACATTCAGGGTGATAAAAAGTGTAAATGAATTATGTGTTTCATTTCTGGATGTGTTTAGCAAAGATTAAGATAGAAATATGAGGGAATGCTGACACAAATAAATAAGATTGTATGTACACTGCTATGGTCTTTAGCGTCACAACCACTTCCCTTAAATTTGTATCAAATGACAGTACTTCCCTATGCATTTAGAAAAAAAGCTGTTGACAATAAAACAGACAAAACACATGAGCTCAAATCAGTGACTCTTTTACAAAAGAACACAAATACGTTACAATGAGCAAAAAGAACAAAATTAATAAAATGATATATAATTGGCTATTTGATTTGACAAAATATGTTTTACAAGTGAATAATTTTTCAGTTTCAATTTCATGTCCATTTTTATTAGTCCAAGACTGATTTCATTTATTTGTTTATGAAATAATTGAATGCTTAGTGCAGTGCAATTTTTACATTACTTAAGCATCTATAACCCTTTTCGTTTTGAGCATTTTAAACTCTAGATCAGGGATGCCCGAACTTTTTGTTGTGAAGAGCCAAATACCAAACTTGATTGAGAGCTGTGGGCCAAAGGTAAATATATCAAGCTGTATAACAAAGTTGACATGGATAATGTCCTCATTTATTTCAAAATTAATAGAAAACGTGACTTAAGTAATGAATTTTATATATATATTTTTACACTTTATAATTAACCTATTATAATGAAAACAGGCGATGCAGTGGCGCAGTAGGTAGTGCTGTCGCCTCACATCAAGAAGGTCGCTGGTTCGAGCCTCGGCTGGGTCAGTTGCTGTTTCTGTGTGGAGTTTGCATGTTCTCCCTGCGTTCGCGTGGGTTTTCTCCGGGTGCTCCGGTTTCTTCCACAGTCCAAAGACATGCGGTACAGGTGAATTGGGTAGGCTAAATTGTCCGTAGTGTATGATGTTTGCCAGAGATGGGTTGCGGCTGGAAGGGCATCCGCTGCGTAAAAACATGCTGGATAAGTTAGCGGTTCATTTCCATGTGGCGACCCCGGATTAATGTAGGAACTAAGCCGAAAAGAAGATGAATGAATGAATAATGAAAACACAGGAAATATATCTATGACACAATGGAGTTTCATGCTGAATACACTAGCAAAGCTGCATGTCCCTTTGCCTTGATTTGCTCACTGAGGATTTCTGACTTGTGGTGTATCCGTTGAGCAACACAATGTTCATTATAGAAATAATAATAAAAATAATTTACAACATATAATTGAAACCTTTTATCAAAGTTTTTTTGTAGCTTAAAATAAAACAAATACATGAAAGGTTATGTTAAATTAGAAATGACGATGTGAATTAAAGGTTTTAACTCCAATCCATAAAATTCTCTCTCTTTTCTCTGATGGGATGGCAGGCCAAATCTAGGGTTGATAATGCTTTGATAATGCATAGTAAAGCTCAAAGTGTCTTCTATCCAAAGACACATGAACCGGGAATGTAGACCAAATTATACAGCAACTGTTATTGTTTTAGTTTGGGAAGGTCATTTTTGAGAAATTCCTCTGGCGGTGAGAAAGAGAAGGACACCAATATAGCCTCAGAAAACTAAACTCAAATTTATAAACTGAAATATAAACTCATGAGACACTTGGCTTTCAATGCCTATTTTTTATAGGTTATTACATTAATAATTAATTTATATTCTTGTGTTTGTATGTGAAAAAAAAAATTTAACACAGTACAATTTTTCTTTCTCATTACTTCATAATGTATAACTTTTTATATTTTTGAGCATGAAACACTCTAGATCAAGGGTGCCGTTATCATGCATAGTTTAGCTCCAACGTCAACGCTCCAACCTTTAACACACCTGACTGGAAGTTTCTAGCATACCTTGAAAGAGCTTGATTGTCTGGTTTAGGTGTATATGATTGGGTTTGGAACTAAAATATGTAGTTTGGGTGTCCCTGTTCTATATGGACCATAGTAAAGCTTAAAGTGTCTTCTTTCCAATGATACCTCATTTTTGTTTGTAGCTCACAGGGGGCAAGAACTGCTACTATTTAAAGTTAGGTAGGTTCAAATCCCCAAAAGTGAGTGCTGGCTAACTTAAATGCTGTCGTTCCTAAACAAATTATGAAAGCTACATTTTCTTTAAGATTATTGCCAAGGAACTGTTTCTCATTTACATTTAGTTCAACTTCAATGTAAAATACCTAAATCTAAGTCTAAAATAAAAAATATGAACAAACATGATTAAAAATTCTAATATAAATGACAAAACCCAGATTTGCATAATTAATAAAATTAAAAAAACTTAAAAGTTACTTAATTATATTAGTAAAAACAATATATATACATAAAATATATACATCAATAGTTTGAAAAAGCTCATTAAACCCTGAATTGGTTTTATTAATAACATAATAAAAATTATGAAAAAAATTATAAAAATATATAATATTTTTATACACAGTTCTGTGTGCAAAACCAAACACAGCACTGTGCATTTAAGCAGGAAACTGTGTAAAATGTCTAAATATGGAACTGAAACATGGATATACCAAAATGCATTTTGTTGCCTTGTACTTGTACATTTGTAATGACAATAAAGTTCAATCTAATCTAATCTAATATAAATCTACAATGTAAGACTAGAATGGTTTTACCTTTATGGCCTGCTAACTGAACCCATGACAGTCGTCTTCGTTGTGAAGCCACCAAAGGGCACTTAACAATAGTCTTCAGTTTCCACCAAGCATTGGTTTGCTGCAACACAATAAACAAAATTATCAATAAAAGTGCAATAAATATTTCAAAAACTCAAATATTTCAACTGCTCACCCTCTGATAATAAATCTGCATCCCAAAGCAGAAGAGTGACCAGAAAAATGAAACCAACTCACAGTGTTTTGTTTAATCAAGCAAAATGTTCCTTACTTGTGACTCACACACACATGCAAACACACACAGACACATGCACAGACAGCCTCAGATGAGCTGTGAATCTCGCACTTTAGCTCATGACATAGACATCTGGTTTGCTGCCCATTTCAGAAGAGCATACTGGAAGCCCTTTCAAATCATTTGCTCAGAACTGCTGTCTCAGTTTACAATGTAGTTCACGTCAATTGACTGGATTCTATTTTAATGGGCTCTTTTAATGCCCTAATTCCTTTGAAAGGTTCATGAGAGAAATGTAATTCTCTTGTAGAATTATTATAAAAATATTTGCCCCCTGGTATTGATTTCCAGGTTATTGGTAATGATATACACTGTAAAAAAAAAAAAGCTGGGTTTCACACAATCACTTTGTGTTGGGACGACAAAGAAATTAAGTTTTAAGTAATTAAAGGAATTAAGAAATTAAGTAACTATTTTACTAAGTAACTATTTCATGATATTACAAAATTTAATTTATATATATATATATATATATATATATATATATATATATACAGTATATATATATATAGAAACACACACACACACACAAACACAGTTGAAGTCAGAATTATTAGCCCCCTTGTTTATTTTTTTCCTCCAATTCATGTTTAACGGAGATATTTTTTAAGCACATTTCTAAACATAATAGTTTTAATAACTCATTTCTAATAACTGATTTATTTTATCTTTGCCATGATGACAGTAAATATTTTACTTGATATTTTTCAAGAAACTTCTATACAGCTTAAAGTGACATTTAAAGGCTTAACTAGGTTAATTAGATTAACTAGGCAGATAGATTAATTAGGCAAGTTATCATGTAACGATGGTTTGTTCTATAGACTATCGAAAAAATATATAGCTTAAAGGGGCTAATAATTTTGACCTTAAAATGGTGTTTAAAAAATTTTAAAAAATCTTTTATTCTAGCCAAAATAAAACAAATAACACTTTCTCCAGGAGTAAAAATATTATGAAATTTCCTTGCTCTGACTTAAACTGTATATACTGTAATATATATTAAATATATTCTCGAATCTGATTGGCCGTGCGATATTCTGCAATAACAGCACTCGTACAGCCTCCTCACCCTTCTTTATTACTCCGCCCACATAGAGTGACAGCAGATCAATAAACTCACTACAGTTTGACAAATTTTGCAGCTGTTGGACAGCATAATGGACTTTTGAGGTGTTTTAGGTGAGAATGTAGTTGTTTAAATTGCAAATATACAGTTTATTTATAAGAACAGTGCCCATTTTAAATATTCATAATTTCAAAGATTCAGTGAATCGTCATCCATCAGCCTGTCATACTGAGTAGAGCAAAAACGGATGACGTTGTCCCTTCACAAAATGGCAACATAGATTGCATAATAAGCCGTTAGAGGAGAAAAACTGAGCATAATTTCAAACTACAACTGATCAAATCAATCTAAAATGGGTACTGTATTTATACCACAGTAATCTAGTAGTGTTTTGTGCTTTGCTTTGGCTTTTTCGGGGTTAATTATTGTGATATCTAAATTGCAACAGAGAAATACAGTGAAATCTCTGTAGACTGATGGCATTTTATGCCATACAGTTTTATAATCTTAAAATATGAGCAAAATCACCTGCTTTGTCATCACTTTAGACATTACGCTAGAGAATCTTTCAAATACGAGCTCTAAAGTGACGTTTTTGAATTAGTAACGGTTTCTACTGTTCTGACATCAGCTGCAGATGTGAAGGAATGGCGGAAGAAAGTATTTCCTCATACAAAAGTATTTTTAGACTCTCTGTGTTCGATTTTGTTTGTTATATACACGATTATACTGTCAAACTGTTGTATAAACGCAATATGAAATGAGTAGCAGTCCAATATTGCTGCATTTAGTCACTGGAAGGACACTAAGGTACTCATATATGAGCAATGTCACATAAGTAGCACTGTGATATGGCTGTATATTGGCACTGGTGGGAAGCGTGCAGACTGAAATTTTGGTCAGGACCTGTTCGGGAACTATACTTTTTCTGTACTTTTATCAGAAAACTAAAATGTTCATCAATAAAGCATTTAACAGCAGTATAATTACATTTAACCAGTTATTACAGTATCTCAGACTACTTTATAATTAGTTACCAATGAAATGTATCAGTATCAAGAATTTAGCCCCTTTCACACAGTAATACTATACAAAAGAAGGTTTAACCTGTAAATTACTATTTTTTTTTATTGTACAAAGACTTAAAGGGCTCAACAATTAAGAATTGTAATAATTGTTCAAGTTGATTTGTAGAAAATCTTTTAACATTTTTTAAATTGTTGTGTGGGGAAATTGCAAATCATATAGAAAAAAAAAAGCGTCCACAAAGTTAGTTATGGCATTGCACAAAAGCTCCTATTTTATTCGCTGAGGACATTAATGTCTTACTAAAGCCGTGATCGCACTAGAATTTCAGCTTGTGAAATTAGGTCAGATGGTGCTACAAAAAGGTGCACATTAAAACAAGATGACACTGACCAAACGAGTAATTGCTCGATATTTTACATTTCTGTACCGAGAGTTTGTGTTTTGATCTTTTATTGATCTCAAGCATTCACATGATTCAAATCCGCAAGTCAGAGTTCGACAATCTCACGACATGCAAAACTTGTCGCACAAGTTTGTGTTTGCAGTTTGGTGCATTCGCATATGTATGAATGGAAGTGTGACCTCGCCTTTACAGTGTATCTTCAATTTGTTGTTCATGATGACAGAGTTTGTGAGCACACATGCAGAATCCACACACTAAACATGATTCAACTTATTTGCAACAAACCCAGTGAATAATTCTTCTGATTGACCATTGCATTCAGATAAGTGTGTGATTGTTAATAACAATCCTGACTCTGTGTGCACAGATTTAAATTTGATGCCACTTTTTTTCACATAACGATAATAGATTAAATTAACGCACAAGGGAATTATTTTGTTTATTTGGGTGATATTTTACCATAGACTCACAAGTGAGAATTCAAACTATACCTAAAAACAGATGTCTTCATGAATTGGATCATTTGTGAAACATATTAAACATGGGCAAGGAATTATGGGAGCAAAAAGTGTCCATCACTTGGTCCTATGATGAGTTCAGGTTAGAAAAACTCTTCAATATGGTGGCTATGACTGTTGTTCTGAATTCAGAAGTGGATTTATCTTTAAGAAATGCAGTAATACTAATAATTCTACATAAATACTTCTGACTTAACCAAAATATTCAGTAAGAAAAAAATATAGGATGGGCACATTATTGCCCACTTACTTTTTCAGCTAAACTGATTTAATTCATTAAAATGACTTTGGTTTAATAGCCCAGGTCCACTTTGTGTGTAAGTCTGTTATTAGCATTTATATGGCAGTCAAATCCTTAAATAGATGGCCTTAGTTTACTTATTTTATTTAGTTATTTCCTTTTTTTTTATTTGTTTATTTTTTGTTTTTAAATTGCTTATGAAAAGTGTATACTGTGGGTGTTGAAATCGTAAGGGTGTAGCTGAAGTGCAGTGTTTGTTCTTCCACTTGACATGGAAAGAAACTCATTTGTTACTTTCTTCATGCATGAATCAAGTTTGCCAACTTGCCTAAGTCACCCTTCAGGTACAAGAGCTGATTTGAAAACCCTCTTTACGCAATAATAATAGAGCCTTTAAACTGAACATAGTTCATAAAACTGCTTTAGAGGGTTGGATAAGATCCAGACGGCACATCATTTTAAAGTCAAGCACACTGCGTGCGTACGGCCCTGTATAAATACAGAGAAAAGCCATAAACCAAAGGCTATACCCTGCACACTGTGGAGCTGTGCACACACATACATTTGTAACACACCCATAACTAAATATTGAACTGGACAGTCATGCAGACAAGTCAAACATCATGGTGCCAACACTCAAACAACCACCAATCACAATTTACAAAAGTGTGACATGTTTTTATTAAAACATAAAAAGCTTTACCTACAATAAACATATCGCATACCAAATCACAAAAAAGACCTAACACTCATCCATTTTATTCTTCAAGGAATGTAGTAAATACAAAAATGAGGCATTTATGGCATTAAATTCACATTTAAGTGAAAATATAAAACCAAAAGTTGAACTAGACACATTTGGTATATTTTATTTGCTAATAAGACAAAAATAGAAATGTTTTTTTTCCTTTTGCCTTCTCTCCTTTTTTTGTAATTAAAATGTGCTTGAAAAGCTAGAAACATTCCATTTCAATCGTATTATTCCTCCAGTGAGGTCTTAAAACTGACCTAAAGTTGCTTCACCGTCAAACTGCAGATGGAAACTTGTTTGTGACACTGTGGCTTCTTCTTAAATGTCAAGCGGCAATGAGTTTATGTTTTGATACGGCCTGATAAAAAGTGTTTGTCATTTTGTGACACCATATGTGCTTTCTTTCTTTAAAAAGATGTCTGGAACAAGTCTGCACAAACATTCAATTTAAAGGCTCTGAATGGCTTACTATGGTGTCATTGAGTTTGACTTTTATTGTGACAAAGAAGATCAACATTGATCAGTTCATTCAGTGCAAGATGTGCATCTCTCTGAAAAGCGACAAGGAGATATTGTGCAGACGTGGCGTCCAGATTTACAGAGGCAAAGTGTTTAAAGTACAATGACAGCGAAGGCCTTCTATGGCTGTGAATGAGCACAACGCATGAGACATCCATTGAATATAATCACAGACATGGCATAGGCGAGAAACAAACATTAGGAGATGATTGGTTAGATATGTTAAGCACTCTTAAGTGTCTGTTAAGTGTTAAATGTATTATTTGTACATCTTTATTTGTAAAAATGGTTAAAAACGGCCCTATTATTTATATTTACCCTGTATTTATCTGTATTTATACAGATCTGAAGCAACTAGTGAATTCAATGTTGCTTTGGCACTAAAGCCAAACTTTAGCTGACAAAAAAAAAAAAAATTATTTGTAACAGCAGCTTTCCATTCAGTGTTAAGAGATTTCTACTTTTGTTGTAAATGGAACCTGCCAATAATTTAATGTATTGCTCAAGTTCTATAATCTAAACAAGACTCCATGTTTGTAATGTTGTGTGTACTTTATACAATATAGGTTTCAAGTAAGATAAGAACTGTTGGGTTGTGCGTCTGTGTGGTTTATGTTGTAGAACAAAACATTCAAGTATAGTCAAGTTGTGTCTACCACAGACCTTATTTTGGTTGCAAAGCCCCAAATGAAAAAAAAAACAGGGAAGCCATGGTGTATTATTATTCCAGGCTTTGTCATCACTCTGTGATATTTATTAGTAATGTTAGTAACTAATAAAGTTATGGTAACTAATAACAATAATGCAATAATGTGCGCCTTTTTAAAAACTGCTTTTAAACAATAATCATTGTGAAAAGCGCTATAAGTTAACTTGAATTGAACTGAATTGAATTTGATATTTTTTCTTAAATTAGGATTGCTCTTTCAACTAATGCAGCACAATATATTGTTTCTTATGCTGTCAGTTATGTTGACAGTTGACCAGGCAGCAGTTTCAGAAATTTGTATTTGGTCTTAAGTATTTTTGGTGTAATTTTAACCATAACAAAGTGAATATCATTTGTTTTTTAAAGCCTTTTAATGTGTAAATGTTTAACGCTTAAAGCATTCATAATTGTTGGTTAAACAATGATTTATTGCATTTAATTTATTGCGATAAATACATTTTATAAAAGGTTATATGTTATATATTAAAAGGTTTTGCTTGTTCAAACTTGTTTAAAATAAGTTGAAACAACACAATTCTTTTTGCAGGCAAAAAACTATTTTAAACATTATGAAAAATAATTGGGACAACATGAAATAATTTTTTTTACAGTGAAAAACATAAAGCACTATTAATTTGATGTATATCTATTGTATTAATTGATGTTTGAATTTTGTTTATGATTTATTTTACAATATCCTTGCTACATTTAACTATATAAGTAAGTAATATTAATATTAATTACAAATACTTTCTATATGGTTATGTTAGATTTAGGGTTAGTTGCATGTAATTATGTATAATGTTATTACTAGAGTAAGTGCCAAGCACATATGTAATATAAACTTTAAAATAAAGTGTTAATAAAGTGTAAAATCGAAAAATGTTTTATACAGATCCACTCCTGAAATAGTCTTCATACAGAAATCTGTCGCCGAAAAACAAAATATCGCAATGTCTGTTTTCCTCCAATTCTGATATTTTTCCAAAGCAGCCCAACTTCTGATTTTATAGCAATGCGGCCACTGATTTACTGTATAAATCTACTGTATGCTACGTACAGATGCTTTAAGCTCTATTTTTATGCTACTGTAATTTCAGTTCAACATATATTTTAAATTGAGAAGAAACACTAAATATTCTGAAAAATAGTGTTTTTAAATGGTTTTTGAGCACAAGGAAGAACATTTCTGAGATGCGTGCTGCCAGATTTCATCCATGACCTTAAATCTAAAATATAATGGTAAGCTTGACAAACAGCTTTCGAGAATTTGATGGGGTTTTTTTCCATTCAAACTGACAGGAGCTTTACATGCACAACTGCCAGAGAGACATTCCAAAGATGGTCACCTAGTGAAACGTCTTAAAGGGACTTGCGTCATTATCTTTAACATCTATGCTTGCTGAGTTGGAGACCCAGGTTAAGCTGATTTATTTACATCTGTTAGCACTTTATTTTGATGGTTCCCTATAGACATTCTGATGACTAAGAGTACTAAGAGTAAAATTTTGCAAGACTTTAACAGTGACTAAAGTATCAGAGCAGAATTTCTGCTTGATAATTTTAACTTTATTTTGTTAACTTTATCTTTATTTGACATATTTTACTGAGTGTAAGTAACGTCAACTTATTATATTGGCATACCCTAACCACAACAGCCTACTAATACTAAATAATGAAAGTTAGTTGACGTGTATTTACAGTACTTACAGTCAACATCTTAAAATGGACCATTAAAATAGTATTACCAAGCTTTTTTAAGCATATCAGTCACATTCAGAAAGCATCAACACTGTTTTGTAACAACTATTTTCCAAACAATTTGCAAATGTCACCACTAATGAAATTAACAACAAGCAAGTATGCACAAGAGAGAAAAAAAGATTTGGCACATAGCAGTTAAGCCTGTTGAGCTTGTTATTTCACCACTCAGAGTGCTGCCAGCTTATTAAAGCTGCACGCCTCTGATATTTGTTCAACTCAAACTACATCGAAGATACTTAACGCAAACAAAATATAAACAATTCCGATAAAAATTCTGAACAGCCTACTTTGTAAACAACGAGGGGGGAAAAAAACATATTGATCTGCTGTGCATGGATATTTTCACTACCCACTACTGTAAATACTACACCAGAAAGAATGTACAAAAGCTTCCTGATCCAAATCTAGCTGCCGATGTCATGTGTCATGTCACATCATACAGCGGTTTTGACAACATGATGAACAGACATGATTTTGTTATTAGAACAATTATCTGAAACACCCACACAAATACCATCATGATGAACCCGCATGAGTCTTTACAACAAACAAATGGAACATATCATGCGTGAATGCTGAAGTTATTTGGAAATGTGCCGATTTCAATCAATTGTTCTTAATGCCTACTGTATGTAGAAATGAAAGCTCTCAACATACAGAGACAGGTATCAAAAGACTAATTTGGTGACTCAAGAACAGACTAAAAAAAAGAGTTTCATAACTTTACAACAAAACAGTTCCTCATTGCTGGTCTCATGACTGGTTTCGAATAGTCTAATTTTAAGAAGAGTTTGTAATAATAATAATTAATAATAATAATAATAATAATAATAATAATAATAATAATAATAATAATAATAATAAAAAGCTATTTTAATACACCGGAAAGTCTATATTTAACATATAAGTTATGAATCACAACAAACACTGAACATTATTTCTATATTTTTAAATATATATTTAATATTCAGGACAGGGAATAAAAAATGCTATAACTTTATGGTTATGAGTACTATGTCCACTTAAACCAATGTGTGTTGCTCTAGATGTGGTTTTGCATTTAGGTTTCACACCTATTTTAATTAGGTCAAAGGCCTAGTTATATTTGTTTTTTTATTATTTTGAGTCAAAATTACGCAATATACGCTACATATTAATATAAAACAATATATTAAATATGCAGCATGGTAAAATTAAAGGACCTTTTGAATATTATCTGTTTCTCTATATTTATAGTGAAATTTAATTTTCTTACAGTAAAACATGACATTTATTCCTAAATTTAAATAATGTTAATATTATTGTCATTTACAAAGTGGTTTTTACATAGAATAATAAAAAGCTACTATGTTTTCAGACACATGTCAATGTTTTAAATTAAGAAGAGGTAAGAAAGCAATATTTGGTGCCATAGCATTGATTTATAAACCCAATAAATGAAAAGGCTTGGTAATCTTAAAAAAAAGCATTATAAAAATTTAAATAACACTGTCATTTACAAAAAGGGTTTCTACACAGAATAATAAAAAATGTACCATGTTTTTAGACACTTGCCAATGTTTTAAATTCAGAAGAGGTAAGAAACTTTGAAAGATTGATTTAAATCACAATAAATGAAAAGGCTTGTTAATCTAAAAAAACACATTATAAATAAAAGAAAAATATTTAAATTTGGGTGAAATGTTATCGGACCTTTTTAGGGAAAAATAAATATTAACATTTTAACCACACATTCTTAATTATTCTGATAAATCTGGAGAATTGGGAATTTTAAGACAATTATTAAGAAACGTATATTTTGTAGATGCTGTTTTGTGTTTTGAGAATTATTTTAATTAGGTCAAAGTCATACATAAATAAAAATAACAGAAACTCATATAATACAGTATAATTTGTATATCATAAATAATAAATGGTTGGCTATAGCACAACACTTATATTTTGTTGTTTCATTAATTTTTTGTCACTAAAATGTTTGAAAAAACATGAAAAATTCTATAAGGTTTGATTATAACAACTAATAACATTACCCACAACTAGGTTATGTTATAAGTTTATAATACCATCGTTATAGATTATTTAAAAGATTTTTCAATAGAAGATTGGAGTTGGAAATTAACAACTTTGTTTGCAGCTAAAAAAAGTGATCAACTTTAAAAAATAAATCCATGCAGTGTTTCTGCAGCATTGCAATAGAAGACCCATTTTTGATTGCCCACATAACATAAACCTTAAATAACTCAGTGAACAGTTTGTAAAAGAACAGAGTAGTAATCCCTCCACCTCCTCAAATAAAGGACATTTAGTACAATAACTAAAATGTTCCAAAAAGACACTTTCACAGTTCCACAAGAACTAGGACAGTCTGGTTCCCCAAATAACCAGTGAAAAACAAACCTCATTTGAATACACTAAAGCACAAGTCTTGTGGAACCACCAGAGCCACTATGTTTTTTTTAACAGTGTTGCAATACTGACAAACATTTACAGGAGAAACCATCTCAGGTTTCCCTTCATACAAGACCAAACCTGCAGCCAAATATCCGAGCTGCTACCTCTCTAAACTCATTGTTGTTTTTTTCTGCTTGTAGCGTGTGAATCACTCACCTCTGCTGAGTCCACCGAGTCCCCCAAATGCTCCAGAGTCACGATGCCTTTGCTCTTGGTCTCGTTGTCGCTGAGCAAATCATCCTCAGACTCGTCAAACGCCGTGGAGGAGCCATTAGAGGAGATGGAGGAGTTGGAGAGTTTGCGTCGCAGTCGTCCGTTCACCTCCTCCTCCAGGTCCTCCTCGGTGATCTCCCGCGAGTCCCCGTCCGACGTGATGGTCACCTGCGGCACCGTGCACCCTCTCCCCGGGTGACTGTCCGAGAGAACGCCTGCTTGCCCGCTGTACTGTTCCGCCATCTGTGCTTGATCATCACAAATCTGTGTGGATGAAAAGTTTCCTGCGCGTCCTCCTCCTCCTCTTCCTCCTCCTCTCCCTGATCCGTCGCAAACCGGAGACGACCGGGAGCACACCGCCTCTCTCAGAGACCTCCGCCTCTGTTTGGGCATCGAGAAAAAGAGAGTGAGAGAGCGAGCGAGAGTAAGTGAGAGAGAGGTGACAGGAGCCTTGTTTATCCCACCCACTGTCACTCGCTGCGATAGTGAATGAGTAGGGGGCCCCTAAAGTAAACCCCCAGCGTTGATGTTGCGTCGATTCAGTCCAGTGACTTTATTTCCAGTTGGCTACTATGTAACAAACGATCTCCATCCAGATAAGTTGCTCAGTGCTCAGTGCGAGCCCGTAGACGCGCGTTCACGGCGGGGGCCCCTGCCTGTAAACAGCGCGTGAGCTCCGTCAACACACATCTTCCGCATTTGAAACGTTTCGCCACTCTTCCTGACTTTTAATTTGTTTGAATTTCGCTTGACTGCTCATTTCCTTATTCAGTGTAGTCTTCGAGCACGCTGCTGTTTGTTGATATCGGGTTTAAACCTTCACTTTGTTTACGAAAGTTGTCATATGGTTCCGCGAAGAGCCCTTGACGAATGTTTTAGTGCGTAAGATGTTATTTAAGTTGAAAAGAGCTTCATAAGAGTTTCATATTAATATGTTCTTCATTCCAAGAATAGTTTTTTCTTTTTCTTTTTAGAGCTGTTGAATGACGTGAAGCAAACATTGTTGTGAAAAACGTCATTTTAGAGCATGCAGTGGTTTTGATCAAAGTGACAGTACATGTGCATTGTGTTATTAGCATCGGCGGACTTAGTGATTTGGGGGCTTTAAGCAATTCCAGATATGGGGCCGTAGCATTGAAACTCAAAACACCGAGTTTTCTGTACCGTAGATATTTGTTTTCTTTCTAGATTTTATTTTATTAAATTTTTTTTTTGGTATATATATATATATATATATATATATATATATATATATATATATATATATATATATATATATATATATATATTTTTTTTTTTTTAAGTGGAACCTTCTTAATGTAAAAACTAAATACAATATTTAGATTAGTAATAATAAGATTAGATTTTAATATTTGCATGTGCAGTAAGGTAGGAACGTTCCACTTTTCATGATGATAATAAATTAGCATTTTAAAAGCAAGCATATTTTCATATTTCTTTGTTCAACATTTTTTTTAATATAAAAAAATTCTAAACTCATTACCTTATTTATAAAATTGTAATAACCTTCAGTTTAAATACACATCTGTGAATAAACACTTTGTGGTAAAATAGTATGATAAACACTTTGACAAAAATGTACTGAATACTTTGGTTGCATCAAAAAGTGGTTATTATAATCACCACATGACAAGCTGATTCAGCAAAACTTTGTGTTTAAAATGTCTCTAAAATGCAGTATTTGAACCTCATAATTTAATAGAAAACAAGTTGAATAACTGCAAAAAGGTTTACTTTTTGGGAAAGGTCGAAAGGCCCACTCCTCAATGACAAAGGTCCAGAATTTGTCCAATACTTTAGCTCAATTGTCCTATTTTGACTGCTAATAAATTGTGAAAATAACCCAGTGAAGATGGTTTTGACTGTCGCTTCAGTGTGACTGAGGGAAATTGAATGTGCTGGCCAGTTTATTATTTAAATTAATGATATTGAAACGATATGCTAGTTTTTAATTTAAAACTTTAACAGATTCCTATTTTTAAATGATAGGCCTATATAATGTAATAAATTTGTATTTAAAAATCTTTAGAAAATGTTTTTGGTACATCAAAATGCTTGGTTATGATGACCATCCAACCAGTTAGTCCAGCAAAAAAAGGTGCTTAAAATATGACTCGTCTTAAAACGTCTTAATTAGCGCATTTTGTTTCCTTTGATTTGGTTCACCAGAGGGAAAATGATTGGGATGGCTATTAATGTAACCTTTTGTTTGTTTGTTTGTTTGTTTGTTTGTTTTATTGTTGAGCTACCAAAAAAAAACAGCCTGAAATAAAATATTTTAATTAAATGTTGTAAATGAATCAAATTTAATTTTTTTACACACTGTCACTTAAAGAATAAAGCAAAAGACAGCAGCATTCAAATCAAGGCAAAATCAGTTCGGCATAGTGTATTCGGCACTGAACTCCATTGTTTGGATTTTTAAAATGTTTTTTATGGTTTTAATGTAATAAGTTCGTTAGAAATAATATACATTTTCAAAAACAAATGAGAATGCATTAGTAAATACAGTTGAAGTAATATATTTTATTTATTTTATTTATAAATATTAAATTAGGAAATTACCCATGGCAACTTTAATGTATTACAGTTTGCTATATTTACTTTCGGCCCACAGCACTCAATTAAATGATTTTGTAACCTACAGTTGAAAAATAACAGTTTTATTGTAGAAACGAGTGTTTTTCTGCGGTCATATTTCGTTTGAATGTAGTTTGTACTTCCTCGCAGTAGGTGCCAGTAAAGCTCTAGCAGCGGCAATGAATCACGTCGACTACAGAAGAGAAGAAGAGCGGAATTCCTTCTGTTTACTGTGGTGATGCTCCCAGTGCTGTACTCTTCACCTGCCGCACTCTTGTACCTGTTGCATAATTCACCTTTCTCCAGTTGTACTCTGTCTTCACCCTGAAGTCACTGTAACTAAATTCCCTAAAATGTTTGCTGTCAGAAGAGCGCTGCGTGTTTGTCAGGGAGTCGTGAAGGTCAGTGCTGGTGTTTCCCGTCGCGGATGCGCTGGAGCGGTTCCAGTGGACGACATTGTGAACGGACTGACTGAGGAACAGATCCAGGTATCCCACAAACTGAAAACACAAACAAAACACCTGAAATGTCGCTGTTCTGTGCTCTGTTGACGTGCCTTGCGTATGAGCTGAAAGACGGGCAGTTATCAGTTTAATGCGGTAAATGTGAGTTAAAGCTTGACATTAAAAAGGTAACGTTAACATCCAGACTTGATATTGACACTTCGTTTGATGATTAATTGTTTATGCGATGTTGTTATGCAACTAATGACATGTGCTTCCTCTGCTGCTTGTGACAAACGAACAGCTGGGTGGGTGTAATTGGACGGCGCGTTTTGATTGGAGGGAATCATTAAAAGTTCAAGAACTACAAACTTGAGGACATATGACATTTACCACATTGTTTAGCGTTTGGTCACCGTTATTCTCAGTGTTTTCCACAATATAAATATATATAAATATATATATATATATATATATATATATATATATATATATATATATATATATATATATATATATATATATATATATATATATATATATATATATATATATATATATATATATATATATATATATATATATATGTGTGTGTGTGTGTGTGTGTGTGTGTGTGTGTGTGTGTGTGTGTATTTTTATTTAGCAAATATGCAGTGTTCAATTAACACGTGTGTCACAAAACAATTATTTTTTAATCACATTTAATACGTGCTGTTATTCTGAACATAAGTAATAGTCATTAAAGTTATCTCTTCAGCATGTCAGAATGATTTCTGAAGTCTCCAGAGTTGCTGCAGAAAATTCTGCTTAACTATCGAAGGAATACATTTGATTTTAAAATAGATTGCACTATAAAACAGTTATTTTAAATTGTAGTAATATTTCTCAAGAATTAGATTTTTTTAAATATTTTTTTTTACCAAATAAATGCGGTTAAAAACTGGCAAGGCAAGTTTATTTATATAGCACATTTCATACACAGTGGCAATCCAAAGTGCTTTACATAAACAGAAATGAAAGAGACAAGAATAAGAAAATAAAAACAAAATATAGAAACCGATTAAAATATGTTAAAACAGGTTATAAAAGAATGAAAAAGAAAAGAGTAGTGCGATCTGACGGCCCAGTGCGCATTCAGTAAAGGCACAGCTAAATAGATGTGTTTTCAGTCTTGATTTGAATGTGCCTAATGTTGGAACACATCTGATCATTTCTGGACGCTGATTCCAGAAACGAGGGGGCATAATAGCTGAAGGTGGATTCACCCTACTTTGAGTGAACTCTTGGAATTTCTAGTTTATATGATCTTAATGATCTAAGGCAGGGGGTCACCAATCCTGGTCCTGGAGGGCCGGTGTCCCTGCAGGGTTTAGCTCCATCTTGCCTCAACACACCTGCCTGGATGATTCAAGAATACCTAGTAAGACCTTGATTAGCTTGTTCAGGTCTGTTTGATTAGGGTTGGAGCTAAAATCTGCTGGACACCGGCCCTCCAGGAACAAGTTTGGTGACCACTGATCTAAGGGATCTGTTAGGTTTGTATTAAGTGAGCATATGTGTAATGTATTGAGGTCCTAGGCCATTTAGTGATTTATAGACAAGTAATAAAACTTAAGGTCTAGTCGGAATTTGACTGGGAGCCAGTGTAAAGACCTGTGCACAGGTGTGACGTGCTCTGAGTGTCTTGGTCAGAATCCTGGCAGCAGCGTTCTGGATGAGCTGTAACTGTTTCACTGTCTTTTTTTGAAGGCCAGTGAGGAGTCCATTACAGTAATCCACCCTGCTGCTGATAAAAGCATGAGCAAGTCCTCACTGGAAACAGAGCATCTAATTCTTGCTATGTTTTTGAGATGGTAGTATGCAGATTTAGTTACTAGATTTAGTTAACAAAAGAATCCTCTTCAAAAAAACTTAATTTCTGACCCTAAATGTTTGAAAGTTTCTATTAGTTTAAATATGATTTTAATTAAAGTTAATGGAGTTTTTTAATCTTTATTTGTACTAACTGCATTCGCTTGCCTTTAATTATTAAATACATTTTATTTGTTTTAATAAATCAATAAATTATGTTGCAGACATTGGGATGCTGTTAGACAGAATTATTAAAAAATATATTTTAAAGTTTTATAGTGGTTGTTTTGTTTTAGTGCTTTTTTCACTTTTGCAATATTTTGATATAATGTGCAGCCTTAATTTATGACTGGTGATCAGCAGCAAAATGTCATTAATATCATCACTACACCATGATGATACTACCTCTCTACAGCAGTGGTTCCCAAAGTGGGGGTCGTAAGGGGGTTGCTTGGTGATTTCCAAGTCAAACAAAATTTTATTCAACTATTAGAATTACCATATTTTATTCATAACCCACAGAAGATACAACATAGTTGTTTTTAATAGTAAAAAAAACAACCACATGCAAATGAAAAGCCATCAGCCTTTAAATAAATTTTCATATGATTGGTGTGTTTACATTAGATTAACAGCACAGCAATAGCGTCAGCTGCTGCAGATTGATTTTAAAGCACCAGGTTAAACTTTCTGACGCCTTGATAACAATCAAATACATTAAAAATAAATACAGGCCACAACTGAGCATTGAGAATGATCACTGTGATCACTGTGATCACATGCTGTGCACTAGTTTCTTTAGTTGAGGTTTATATTTACTTAATTAATGACTATAAAACTGAAATGGTTGTTAGACTGTTACACTTTTTTGTGTTGTCAATATGATTGTGTTTATATAGGCATATTTTGCATGCACAATGTACACGTTTGTATGTGTTTAACCATCTTTGATTGTTAATTTAGGGGTCGCGGGCTGAAAAGATTGGCAACTCCTGCTCTACAATACTTTTTGTATGGGATACACTGATAAATGTGTGCATTTGGCATCACTGAATTGTTTTTTATTCTTGTTTTGTTGTTTTTTGAAGAAAAAGTCATAAATTATTAAAGATGTACACTTATAGTTGTAAAAAAAAAAAAAAAAGTCTTGTGGTGGAAATGGGCTTTCATTACCCTTTAGTTTATAATCTATTCTCCCTTTGAACCCCAGCTCAGACAGACAGTCCAGAGATTCTTCCAGGAGAAACTCGCTCCCTACGCCGATGAGATTGACAAGAAAAACGAGTTTCCTCAGATGAGGGTGAGTTTTTGTAAATGACAAAAACCTAATGTTTAAAAAGGGGTTGGACATTAAAACTGAAACACTGGTGAATTTAGTGATGGAGGTTCATTGATTGATGTTCGGGTGCTAACCCAGATTGTATTAAAAAAACATAAAACCACAGCAGCCCAACTCATTGCAGAATTACATGTGTAACTCTTCTTATTCCACCACAACTGTTCATTGGGAGCTCTACAGGGTCAGTATACAGTACATGGCTGGACTGCTATAGCCAAACGTCAGTTTCAATGGTGCCGAAAATCTTGGGCTGTGGACATTGTGAAACATGTTTTGTTCTCTGATGAGTCCACCTTTACAGTCTGTCCACCATTATTATTATTATTATTATTATTATTATTATTCATCCATTTTCTTGATGGCTTAGTGCCTTTATTAATCCAGGGTCGCCACAGCGGAATGAACCGCCAACTTATCCAGCAAGTTTTTTACGCAGCGGATGCCCTTGCAGCCGCAACCCATCTCTGGGAAACACACACACACACACACACACACACACACACACACACACATACATACATACACTACGGACAATTTAGCCTACGCAAATTCACCTATACCGCATGTCTTTGGACTGTGGGGGAAACCGGAGTACCCAGAGAAAACCCACGCGAACGCAGGGAGAACATGCAAACTCCACATAGAAACGCCAACTAAGCCGAGGATCGACCCAGCGACCTTCTTGCTGTGAGGCGAACGTGCTACCCACTGCACCACTGCATCGCCATTATTATTATTATTATTATTTCCTTTATTTAGCCAGGAAATCACATTGAGACAGTACTGTCTCTTCTTTCAGTGAGACCTGGTCAAGACAGCAGGCAACACAAAGTTTCACACAAAAATCACAAAAAACAATACCACAAAATGATAAAATTACTTACTTTTCTGAGTAGCAGCTGCATGCATATATAGATGATCAATTATAGATAAAAATGTACTTTACTGATTTCTTACGGGACTTTTCTGAGAGAGTTACAGTGTAGAGAATCCCCAAGTCCCAAAGAAGCTTACCACCCTGACCATTGCATGCCCATAGTGAAGCATGGGGGTGGATCAGTGATGGTTTGGGCTTCAATATCATGACATTGCCTCAGCCCAATACTTGTGCTAGATGAGCGTGTCACTGTCAAGGACTACCGAATCATTCTGGAGGACCATGTGCACCCTATGGTTCAAACATTGTATCCTGAAGGCTGTGCCGTGTTTCATGATTATAATGCACAAATACACACAAAAAGATTGAAAACAGAGTGTTTTAATGAACATGAAAGTGAAGTTACACATCTGTCATGGCCTGCACAGTCACCAGATGTAAATGTTATTGAGCCACTTTTGGGCTGTTTTGAAGCAGCAAGCATCAAGTTCACATAGTGACCTGGGCACTATTCTGTAAGAATGGCTCAAAATCCCTCTGGTCACTGTGCAGGACTGTATCTGTCATTATCAAGACAAATTGATGCTGTATTGGCTGCAAAAGGAGGTCATACACCATACTAATAAATTATTGTGTTTCAGTTTCCATGTCCAGCCCCTGTCTGTATTAATGCTTTGAGCAATGAATCATAACAAATGTGAAAATTTTCTTCTTTTTTTAAACTAGGAGTTTTGGAAGGAGATGGGTGACCTTGGACTGCTTGGAGTTACTGCACCAGGTTGGATCATATACGCTGTTTCATAAAACATAACTATTGTTGATGACTTAACAGCTGCTAAAACACTATTGAAAATAGTCTGATAGGATTCTTTGTGCAAATCTAAAGTTTGTGTTCTTTTCCCCCATGTGTGCAGTGGAGTTCGGGGGAACAGGACTGGGCTACCTTGATCATGTGATTATTATGGAGGAGATCTCCCGTGTATCTGCCGCTATTGGACTCAGCTATGGAGCGCATTCCAACTTATGTGTAAATCAGATGGTTCGACATGGAAACCAGAAGCAGAAAGAGAAGTACATGCCTAAGGTGTGACCAAGTGTTTTAATGTTTACATGCAAGTGTCTGTGTTGCAGGTAAAGTCATCATGGAAACAGAGCTAGATTGCAATATTTATCATAAAGGATTAATCTTTGAACATTATTATTATTATATTTATTCCCTTATAATAATTATACCTGCCCTCATAATATTTTATGAAAATAAATCTCATGCAATATAAATTTTATTTATTCTCTAATGTTTTTTTTTTTCTGGATCAAGGCAAGGCAAACATTCAGTTACATGAGATCCACCAAAAGCAAACCACAGCTTTTTAATTAATCTTATTAACCTTTTAAACTAATAACAGTGTTATTTATTTATTTATTTATTTTATTTATATGTGTACATTGATTATTAATATTTTGATAAGTAGGTTGGTACCATAACTTGTTGGTACCATAACCATAACTTTATGTATGGTTATAACAACTGACATTATGTAATTTGTTCAGTTACAATATTTTATTTGCAAAGATGACAAACAAATATATAAAACAAATACAGAACAACATAACTTGTCTGTACTGTAACTGAATTTGTCACTAAATGTTAATGATGCTGTCATAAAATTATTTGACAGTATTAGCACTTTTATTGAGAAACTTTAAGGACAAATTCAGTTTTTTTCATTGGAAAAAATGATCAAAAATATTGATGATGCAATTAAAATGGGCTCATGATAGTTATGTTTATGACAGATTTATGACAAGCTATGTTGTCTTGGTTAAGTCAAGTTGCCAATGCCATGACAAAGACATTGGCAGGTTTTGATGCATTTGTTTTTTGCCAAGTCATTATAACAAAGACATCTCAAACAATGTCATCTTTGCATTTCAAATGACATCTGAGCAAAAGACACTTAGCGGTTGACATACAGTAAGTATGCACAAAATCTCCTTAATATTCATGAGACGTTTCGCGTTACCATTATAAAGGTATCATGACAGTCTTATTTGTTTATGTATTTGTGCAGTTAAATTAAATTAGCTACAAGTTAATCAGTTACAACATTAAAACAATTATTAAACATTATATGCACATGCCTGCATTCTACATTTTGTCTTGGATATATCAAAGAAATAAAAGATGTGTGGTGCTTTTGTTTATAGTGACTTTAGCTTTCTTAAAAAGACACATGACCTAATGCATACTAATTAAGAATTTTAGGCTCAGTGTTTTATCAGTAATGTCTATGTTTGTACTTTAGTTGTTGACTGGTGAACATGTGGGTGCTCTGGCCATGAGTGAGTCTAATTCTGGCTCTGATGTAGTGTCTATGAAACTGACAGCAAAAAAACAAGGTGACTGGCCTTCTGTTATAATTCTGTGTTCTACTCTGTTCCTTACTATTATATTGCCATGCACATGTTGTAACTGGGTATGCATGTTATGTGCATTTGTTATGTCATATGCAGTGCCATTTAAAAGTTTTAGATTATATGTTCATATTATTTCTATTATGTTTATATTACATACAATTGCAAATAAATATAAACACGTATGCACGTATAAATGTAAATTAATGTATATAAATATAAAATAATACCTATATTCAGAAATTGACAGTAAATACATTTATAATGTTACAAAGCATTTCTATTCCAAATAATTGATATTTTTTACTTTATGTATTGCAAAAAGTAATTTCTTTAGCCGTTTTTTTTCATGTGTAAGCTGTACTGTCTGCATGAATGTCTAATATCAAATGCATACAGTAGATTTACATACAATTTGTTTTACAATTGTACCAACATACAAATTTTAAGTCTGTTATTTTTGCTTGTAATAAACAATAACAAATAAATGATATTCATATTCAACAATATTTTTTACCAAATTAATTAAAACTAAAAACTAAAACCATTTTACTTGATTTATGATAAATTAGTTATGAGTTAAATGCACTACTATTTATTTTTATTATCGTTCATATAATATAGCAGGTTTGATATGCTTGGGTTTAACATTCTAGCATTGTATGTAGAGTGTGAATGTACACTACCTGACAAAAGTCCCAGTTGTAAGAGCAACAATTAAAAACTTGACTTCTGGTTGATTATTTGAGAAAGTGGCAAAAACTGGGTTTATCAGAGGAATCATCTGTTGAACTGCATCCCAATCATCACAAATACTGCAAAAGACCTATCTGAACCCAAATGGACACAGAAATCAGTGACGTTTGGTGCAGGAAAAATTATAGTTTGTGGTTGCATTCATTACATTACAAACCACAGAGGAGGACAAATTCTCCAGCAGGATAGCGCTCTTTCTCATACTTCTACCTCCACATCAAAGTTCCAGAAAGCAAAGAAGGTCAAAGTGTTCCAGGATTGGACAGCCCAATCACCAGACATGAACATTATTAAGCCTGTCTGGGGTAAGATGAAGATAAACCCAAAGACCCTTGATGAACTCTGGGAGACCTGCAAGGACTCTTTCTTTGTCATTCCAGATGACTTTATTATTAAGTTATTTGAGTCATTGCAGAGATGTATGGATGCAGTCCTCCAAGCTCATGGGAGTCATACACAGTATTAATTCTTTTTCCACTGCACCAAGACTTTATATTCTATACTGTACATTATTTCTGTTATGTGACAAGACTTTTGCCTAAGCAAAGTCAGACCTTACTGTCCTATTAAAATAATTAAAAATCAAGGCATGATCAGGTTATATTTTGTTAAAATAAGCATAACCTTGAGGCCATTACCTTTCATATAAGCTACTTCTGATACTAAACGATCAATTAGAAGTCAAGTTATTATTCGTAATTGCTAAAACTTGATTAAACGACAAGACTTATGTCAGGTAATGTATTGACATATTAGGGTTTTTTTTTGCCTCTGCATTGGTGTCAACACATATTTGCTTATCTTACAGCCTTGATTTCTTTCTTTCTTTTTTAAGGGGATCACTATGTGTTAAACGGTAACAAATTCTGGATTACGAATGGATCAGATGCAGATGTTCTGATCGTGTATGCTAAGACAGACCCAGAAGCAGTAGCTCGTGGCATCACTGCTTTCATTGTTGAGAAGGTCAGAGAGGAAAATCACTTCCCAGTGGATGATTTATTAGGATATACTGTATCTAAAACCATATTGCAAAAATCTGATGAATCTGATAAACCATTTCAGTTTTAATCTATTGTTCAGTAAGGAAGTATTTTCAATAGATAATCATATCAGATTGATTGTGTTTGTGTGGTAAAGGGTATGCCAGGATTCAGCTCAGCGCAGAAGCTGGATAAACTGGGAATGAGAGGATCCAGCACTTGTGAACTCGTCTTTGAAGACTGCAAGATTCCTGGTGTGTTAGTCTTCATGCATATTGGTGAGGCTAAATATGTCTCAGGCTCCAAACTTAATCTGAAAACGTTTTGTTGTGGTTTCAGAGGAAAATGTATTGGGCCCTTTAAATAAAGGAGTCTATGTTTTGATGAGTGGTTTGGACCTGGAAAGACTCGTCCTGGCTTCTGGACCTGTTGGGTAATTTTTGTTGTGTTTATTTCCAGTAGCATTTCCAGTTGTAGTTGTTTGTTTGATGACTTTACACATTCCCTCAGCATCATGCAAGCTGTGCTTGATCATGCAATTCCTTATCTACATGTTCGCGAAGCTTTTGGACAGAAAATTGGCCACTTTCAGGTAAATTGAAGTGTTTGGTTTGTGTTCAACGTGTTTTATGTTCACATGTTAGTATATAAAATTTCTGTTTGCCAACAAATTTAATGTAAAAAAATGTATGAATAGTTTTATTATTTCTTTTATAGCTCTTGAAATAATTGAGACCACTTTAAGTTTCTCTGAATTTGCTAAACTTAGTTTTTTAGTAAAATATTACAATTTGTTTTATTCTGTTAAGCTGCAATAAGATTTCTACATAATTTCTAATTAAAATATTGTAAATAAGAGCAGTTTGTTGTGATTGAATATCATGGCTATTCCACAAAATAAAGGATTTAAGTTAAAGATAAGTTCATAAGATGAGAAGTTAAAACACTGGTATTGTGTCGTCTTAAAATGAATATAAACATATCTGAAAAAACGGTACCTGTTTTTATTATTTTATGCAAAAACGCTTTAAATTACTACTGTAAATCAAATTTGGAAGAAATGTCATCAGTGGATTTCAGAATAAAGCAAATAAGTATACTTGTACTGTACAAACAAGTATACTACAAAGTATAACAAACCAAAACCATAAAAACAGATCAACTAAAAGCCAAAGACATATTTTAAGAACAGATTTGAAAGCAGATAAGCTAGGAGGAAAACTAATGCTCTTGTGTGGGCTATTTCATATTGTAGGAGCTACCACCAAAATACTTTAAGTGAGAAATAAGAATTTAGCGGCCGCTCTTATCAGATCTTTGGTATCTTGAGGTATTATAGGGGCAGTAAGTTTTTTCAGGTAGCTGGAAGATTCATTATTTAATGATTTCTAAATGAACAGCAATATTTAAAACTTGATTTTATAATGAACGGTAAATCATTTCAGAAAGAAAATACAAGCATATTTTTGCATTGCTTCAGAAATTATGCTGATGTATTTAGGACCACTTTCAAGTGTGAAATTTAAGACATTGATTTATTTTTTAATGACATAATAAAAGATGCTGTGAAGTGACTGCATCTTCCAAAAATGAATCTGAGACTATTGGCTAGTAAATCCAAGTAAACAGAGTTTATTACCTAATTAGAGTTTAAAAGAAGCGTATATATTCCTTCGCTATTTACCATAGATATATCTTATAACTTTTTTGATAAATGCTTAACCATCTATTCATATCCATAAATTTATTTCAAACTGGGGTCAGTAATATTTTAAAAGAAAGAAATGACCTTTTATTCAACAATTTTACATTAAATTGATTAAAAGACATTACAGAATTTTACATTGTAACATACATTTTCATCAGGATATATTACAACATTTAAATGGTCATCCAATTGGCATTAAAATGGTATTTTTGTGTGTGTGTGTGTGTGTGTGTGTGTGTGTGTGTGTGTGTGTGTGTGTGTGTGTGTGTGTGTGTGTGTGTGTGTGTGTGTGTGTGTGTGTGTGTGTGTGTGTGTGTGTGTGTGTGTGTGTGTGTGTGTGTGTGTGTGTGTGTGTGTGTGTGTGTGTGTGTGTGTGTAAAGCTGTTTATTAGAATTTTCTATTTTATAAAAAGGAAGAAATGCTTAGAGCAGCACATCAACATTTTTGTTTTACATACAGTGCATTATTATACAAAGCAGTTATTTTAATATATATTTGTAAAATATATTTGTTTACAATTTAGCAGTTAAATTCTTGATTTAATAAATGCTGACTTTGTGAGCACAAGAGATTTCTTTTAAAAATGTTAAAATCTTACCAACAAACTTTCAATAGTAGTATGTTTGAATATATACATATTTTCATCTATGTACATTTCTGAAACCGTACCAACGAACCTTTTATTGCCAACCTTTTTTCCCCCAAAACTAGCTGATGCAAGGAAAAATGGCTGACATGTACACACGCCTTAGTTCCTGTCGACAGTATTTATACAACGTTGCTCGTGCTTGTGACAAAGGCCATTTCAGTGCTAAGGTAAGAGCTCTTTACCCAATGTTTTGTTGTTTGACTGCTCTGTTTTTTTAACGTTTCCAATCATCCTGGAAATGATGCATACAGTCTTTCCTGAGTGTGTGTACTAGCAGTATTGATTTGTCATGTTATTGTAGGACTGTGCTGGGGTAATCCTTTATTGTGCTGAGAATGCAACTCAAGTTGCCTTGGATGGGATTCAATGCCTGGGTGAGTGCCTAATAGTTAAAACAGCAAAAAATAGAAAAAAAACCCGCTCCTGATGTGCCTTAGACAGAGATCAGGGCCTATACATTTCCCTGTCTTTATTCCTTTTACCAGAGCAGAAAATTACGGGGTTTTTTGGGGGGAGGGGGGGTTTAAACAGCTAATCAATTGAAACTTTGATTTGCCTGGTATAATTGAAAATTCAATGTGCTGATTAATTGTAAATGCCACATATACTGTACCCTTCACAAATATTAGCACCTTTGGAAAATAAGAGCAAATGGGGCTGTAAAATAACTGATCTTTTGCTAAAACATATAATAAACTGAAGATGCTTGAGATTTTAAATAAAAAGGGGCTGGAGCTCTGGTTTTTTGGATATTTTTGGCCAATTGAAACATGCTCTTGACAATGAATTGGGAGAACATGGGCACACATCTTGTTTAGGGCTTTTTTTCAGGCAGATTCATAACACATCCAGCTGACTGGAATCATGTCCATTTTTTTAAAAAGGGTGTCTGTTGGGTCTTTAAAAGTCTTACATTTCAAAAAGTAAATTTTAGGCCTTAAAGTCTTACATTCACTGATTTTTTGTTTTGTAGGCATTAACTAATTGTAAACCGCTCTTAATTTTCCCATGTCCATGTAAAGCTACCCAACATGCATCCAGATCCAGTCACTAATGATCTAGAAATCAAAAATCTATTTATAACTCTATTTACAATATGGTTTAATTACCGTCCATATAATAATATTTGTTTAAAAGTTATCTGTGTATTTATTGTCCATATGGTGAGGACACAGACTGTCGTGCATGCATTTAGTTTAACATAGATTTTTTTTTAAAGATATGTTTTATTGAAACGTGTATTTGTAGTTGTATGTATACAACTAGGGTTTACTTGTTTTGACAATTTATTTAAAACATCTAGCTAAGAAATAACGAATTATAATATAATGTAAAAAAAGCCCTGTATATGTCTGAAATTTCTTCTACAATGGTCTAAAAAGTATCACAAAATTTTACTTGAAACCTGCAGAAACCCTGATTGAACTCAACAGCGTTTTGCTGTAAAACAAAGCATTTGCATACAAAAAATTTGACCAGCTAAAGAAAACATATTTTTTGCCTGTGGCTTTTGCTTTGATGATTAATCAAAAGCAATTTTCATTCACATTATGTCAGTAAAGCAGGGTCTAAACCCTGGTTGTTGGGGTTTAAATGTGCTTTCAGATGGAGCAGCATTTGCCCCACTAAATAATAGTTTACTGACAAGCTACTCAAATTAGTGGTCCAATTGATTTAATTGGATGATAATGACATCAAGATAATGGTTCTATGATAATGACAGCTGTAAGTGCCGCTTTTAGGTTAAGGCTGCACGATACTGAAAAATATGCAATGTTGTTGTTGAGTTTTACGATGAGAATATTGCTTACAATAGAAAATTTTTTATTTTATTAGCAATGTTTTTAAGTCCATTATTTATAAAATTATAATAAAAATATGTATTTAAATATATTAAAGTAAAAAAAAAATTCAGATCTCAAAATATCTTCTTTAGATCAGACCTTAATTCTAATTCAAACTAAAGACTGTCAAGATGCAAATATTTTGTCTTTAAAACACTATGAATGAGGGAAAACCTCAGAAGATATTCTGACTTTGATTGGCTGTTGGCGTTTCCCACCAGGCTGAGTCCGAAATTTCCTACTACTTAGTGGGTACTACATTTGAATTTTCTACTAGACCGTTAGAAAAGTTCACTCTATACAGTATGAATTGGAGCAGTACGAATGGATCTCGGATGCACTACCCATGTCAGATTCTCTGATGCATACTTCAGAATCTCACTGGAAGTAGTAGCAGGTCATCTGGGTACTTCTCGCATACTGTTTTTAGCATACTATATAGTATGGAAATATGCTTAGTATCTATTTTTAGCTCTCAATTTTGGGATGCTTCAGCCAATAGCAGAACAGCAACTACTGAGGAGGCGGAGATAAAGATAGTAAGGCCCCATCGGATTGGTCTAATTAAGATAAACAACCAATGCATAAAATGTAATGTCTTTAGTCACACATATTTGCGTTATTGCATATACAGTACTATTATCACGGTAACGATAATTTTGCCATATAGTGTGCAGCCCTGTTAAAAGTGAACTACACGGTGCATGTGAAAATGCTAAATATAGCAACATATTTTTACTCCAAACTCATTTTAGAACTTCTTAGACTGTTTGCTATTGTTTGGTGGGTTTTAAAAATGGAGCAATTAAAATCCTGCTCATTCAGTAAACTCCTGTCTGATCTGACTTGTTTCTCTTTGCAGGTGGAAATGGTTACATCAATGACTACCCAATGGGCCGGTTCTTAAGAGACGCTAAACTTTATGAGATTGGTGCAGGAACCAGTGAGATCAGAAGGATTATCATTGGCAGATCTTTCAACGCCATGTTTAAATAAAGAGTCAGGATTGAGGATCTGATCCTGCGCAGACTGTGTGCAGTAGCCAGAAATTTCATTTTATTAGGCTAAACACTCATCTGGCATGCTGATTTTAACACCAATCAGATTCAAGATACAAAACATGTCTAAAATGTGGATGTCAAATTGTACAAGCAATAGGTAGTATTACATTCAAGAGCAAATGCAGTGGTAAGAGATAAACTATTTAGATCAAGATGTTTTTAAAGGACTGACTATGAACTGAATTGATCTCTAACAACTAGCTGCAGTTAATTCCCAGTGGAAAAAGCAGTGGTGATGTAAACAGCTGAGACCATTCATTTGTCCTGAAAGCCTTTGTCATGTGACTGGGGGGTGTTTCTGTAGCACATGGTACATGTAATTACCTTGTTTGTTTTCCTTTTTTTAAAAACACGGTCACCCTTTGTGGGCTGTTTTGCATATCACTTCTGACCCCATAACATGATTTTGTTTTGTTTTTTTCATGTGTACAGACAGATCATTTCTTTAAAGAGTTTGTAATTCAAACATTCATTTGTTTTTCATTTTTAAGAAGTTGCACTTTTTTGAAGCAAGCTGTTATGTTGGTCTGTGAAACCTTTGGGTTTTCTGAGCCTTATTAAATCATCGCTCCATGCATTTGATTGTAATACGATTGTTTAAAATAAATGTAATCTCCCTTCAATCAGTTTGGGATTTGCTGTTGTGTGTCATTGGTGCTGTTTTAGATTTTATCATGAGGATTTAGATTGTATTATTATTTTCAGAAATGCCTTTTTAGTTGTAGTATTATTTACTAATGCCTAATGCATATTTAAAAATGTTATGTTCTTTTTTCATATATACACACACACACACACACACACACACACACACACACACATTTGAGTCATAATTGTTAGCCCCCTGAATTATTAGCCCCCGTTTACTTTAGGAAAAAATTTCTGTTTAACGAAGAGAAGATTTTCTCAACAAATTTTTAAACATTAAATAGTTTTAGTAACTCATTTCTTATAACTGATTTATTTTATCTCTGCAATGATGACAGTAAATAATATTTGACTGGGTATTTTTCAAGACACTTCTATACAGCTTAAAGTGACATTTTAAAGCTTAACTAGGTTAACTAGGCAGGTTAGGATAATTGGGCAAGTTATTGTGTAATGGTTTATTCTGTAGACTATGGAAAAGAAATGTAGCCTAAAGGGACTAATAATTTTGATCTTAAAATGTTTTTAAAAAAATTAAAAACAGCTTTTATTCTAGTCTAAATAAAACAAATAAGACTTTCTCCAGAAGAAAAAAATATTATCAGACATACTGTAAAAATGTCCTTGCTCTGTTAAACATCATTTGGGAAATATATAAAAAAGGGCTAATGTTTCGGACTTCAATATATTCAATATATATATTTTTTATCTTTTTATGTAGTTAAATAATTAAACTTGTATGTGGTTTGTTTTTTAGTTTCTCCCACCTAATATTTTTATTCCGTTACATAAGCTGTTTAAAAAAATAAAATATTTATTAACAGAATGTTTTCTATTATTTAAAGTTTTTTAAAAGATGCTCCATTAAATTTGTAATAATGAAATATTCCAATTAATACAGTATATTCACAAAACTGATATTTACTGTACATTAGATACCACTTTAAAGTAAGGTCCATTAGTCAACATTGGTTACAGAAATAACTTACATTAAATACTACTAAGTAATAACACATTAACTGGCAATGATCAATACGGTTGTTACAGTGTTTATTTATTTTGCACATGGTAGTTAATAAACATGATTGTTTTTATTTGTTGACAGTTTTGTTAAATCATATTTACTAATTGTTATTAAAATGAAAAGTTGTATTAATGTTAGATAAGTAGGGGAATAATAATGCATTTCATTTAAACTTGTGTAATTAATATGAACAAATTGAACCTTGATGTAAAGTAATTACACAGAAAATAATGTATGTGGAGCGACATGGTCGCAAAGTGGTTAGCACATAGGTGAATTCAATTAACTAAATTGGTCAAAGTGTATGATTGTGAATCAGCCTGTATGTTACCCAGTACTGGGTTGCAGCTGGAAAGGTACCTGGTGCGTAAAACATATGCTGGATAAGTTGGTGGTTCATTTCGCTGTGGCGACCATTTATGAATAAAAAGAGTAAGTCGAATAAAACAAACAAATAAAGTATGTTATTTATCTGTTGTATTAGGTTTTATCATAAGACAATGATGACTCATTGCAGGTTTTTTTTATCTTATTCATAATATTGATGGTTTCATGTAAGGTTTGTATAAAATATGCTAAACATTTTTAAACATATACTTACCTGCCTTGTAGTTACTATTCATTTATTTGTGGAATATAGAAAAGAGATAAAAATTGGACTTTGAAATAGAATTAGACCAGATAATTGTATCTAATTTGGCTATATAAGAACTAGGCTAAGGCATAATATCATTGTTATAGTTTACTTGCAATGTATTCCAATTAGTGTGATGGAAACTTACTTCATCATCCTCTAAAAGACTATAAAGTCATTTTAATTTGTCTCAGAAAATTGAAATCATTTCTGAGAAAAATCCTATAATTATTTTTTCTTATTTTGTATAAAGTGTATCTGATGCTTTGCATAAATATTCGCATCTGATACATTCGCACATTCCATAAGATCAGGTGTCCACATTTTTGGAGCCACTAAATTAATAATTGATTTTCATGTTTCACGTGCTCATAGCCCTTTAAGAAACTCCATGTTGTCCCACCATGCAAATACGTCAACGCACTGGTGGTGTCTCAAAACCTAGTAAGCTTTCTACCTAGACAGCATTATTGACATATCATGCGCGTTCCTTATTCACACTTCGGGGCTGTACACATGCTTACAGCATGTTTGACACACCATAGACGTGTCCTTAGTCTTTTCTGTTGACCATGATGCCTGAAAACGCTGTCTAGTCAGTTAGAAGACTATGATTTGGGACACGATCGTGACCAGCGGATGGTGGTGTTACGTAAACTCCATGGTAAAAGTGTTTGTGTCAGTTCTGCATGAGTCTGCTGTATTCCAGGTGTTCTCCTCCTCAGGATGACAGCACAATGAGCTCCCCTTCACGTTTTCAACACATCGAACCGGACCAATAAACTCGTACACACCATTTAAGTCCAGGACACCAGTAAAGGTAAGATCATCTGCACGTTTGAAAAATGAAAGTTTTTAGACGTAAGTCGCTTTTTTTTAGCGTGTTGTCTTCCTATGGTAAGTTTCTTTTAAGCTCGCCATACTGTGAAGTAATCAAGATGAATTTTTTGATTAGAAATTGGGTTAGTTTCGTTTCATAATGACATGCTTGTCATCGTCTACATCACATTCCGTCGCGACGCGTTTAAACTAGAACGCCTCGTCATAATCAACCAATTTGTTCGAATGCTGGGGGTCATAAATGGATCGTTCTGGTGTGTCGCGTCGCGCACTGTGTGTGTGTAGGTGATGATGAGTTGTTTGTCTAATCTTTTGTTTGTTAGTAACGCAATCACGGGTTGTACTCTTTGCACTGGTTGTTCCCTGTAGAAAACACTGGAAGTCAAAGTTGAAACTGAAATGTTTTCCTTACTTCACCTTGTCTGACTTTTAATCGAGTGTTAAGGCCTCGGTATCAAAGTAAGTTTGGAAAACTGTTCTTTCAGTGATATATGAAGTCAAGGACCGCTTGATCATGTGCAGTTTCTCTAGACTTGTTTTGTATGGTTTGAGAATAAAAAAAAAATTCTTATATAAAATGTGGATAAAATGGCTTTCAAAAAAAAAATTAAAATCATAGATTTAATTTAGAGATCTTGTTTTGTTCAGAAAATTGATAAAAGAGTGTATTATATATATTGAAAATCAGAGTTATTTCACAACAGATTAATGTAACTCTTATGAACCTGAAACTTTGGTATTGTGTTGTCTAAAAACAATGCTGAACTTGAATAGTTTGGATTATACCAGTTTTAAACAGTAAAATGACAGAAAAATTCTTTTAACCAATTTCAACTATTATTACACAAATGATAAATGATAATTGGTTCCAAATTATGTTAGTATTTAAAGTTACAAATATGGCTGAATGACTGTGCAATATGCTTTAAATGCAAAACAAATTTAAACAAAATGTAAATAAAACTAAATATTTAGTATTGTCACGTTCAGATAAATGACTCCTATAAAATTTCAAAATGTCAAGATTTGACAAAAAGAAAGTCCAGTAAGAATGCTTTACATTTCTATTGTTTGCTTTTTTTGATAGATGCTTACATGTTACCAGCAAATAGTTGATGTTAGATGTGAGAGAGTTCAGGTTGGGTGATTTTTATTTATATATATATATATATTTCTGTTCCAATCAGAAATATCGAAGATGTTTATATATATATATATATATATATATATATATATATATATATATATATATATATATATATAAAATCATCTTCGATATTTCATATTGTAACAAAAGGCTTAACGTTTGTACAGTTTTAGAAATAATACAGTGTTATATTACAACATTTTATGTGTCATCCTAATATCCTCTTGTTATCTTTGACAAATGTTAGTTGAGTTTTTCTTTTTTACATCAACACTCTCTGATGGGTCAAAGGCGAAACCTGTATTAGTGTCTGTATCAAAATAAATTTACAGAAGGAATTTTATATACATGAAAAGCATATTAAATACAAGTAAAGTCTACTTTTCTTTAAAGTGAAATGCCAAAATATATGTGAAATATTATCTCATCATAATTCAGTTTAATGGATATACTTGTATTTGTACTTTATGTAAAAGTAAATAACATGCTAATTCTGACATTTACTGATTAAATGTATATAAATGAATAAGTGCAATGTAAAACAGGATTTATTTACCTAAAAAAAAATCAGTAATCTGTTTGCCTTAAAGCAGATGTGCCCAAACCTGGAGAGCCAGTGTCCTGCAGAGATTAGTTCCAACCCCAATTAGACACACCTGAACCAGCTAATCAAGCTCTTTCCAGGTATACTAGAAACGTCCAGGCAGTTCTGTTAAAGGAATTGGGGGCTGAATTATGCAGGACACCAGCCCTCCAGGATTGAGTTTGGGCTCCTCTGCCTTAAAAGGCTTCTATTTTACCTTTGTTACAATATGTGAGATGGTGTTTCCAGAATGAGTCTGTAAAGTTAAAGCTCAAAATACCCATCAGATCATTTATTACCGCTGTCAGAATATGCCCATTTATACTCTGAGGAGAGTGTAGCTGTTTTTGTGACCTGTATCTTAAATGCAAAGGAGCTATAGTTTTCCCCGCTCACCGTTAGCAGGAATTGGACGTTTTTTTTAATTTCAGTACTGATTGGAACAGAAATTATGTATTGTGACAACATTAATAAATTGCACAGTGACAGACACGGATAAAGCAGATTCAGGATTCGCTTCATGCATTATGGATTTAGTTTATGAGTCAAATATAACAAGTGAGTTTATTTGATATTTATGGTGGAGTTTATTCAAGCAAACGATGCATTGTTTTCTGCAACGATGAGTCACACGTGCCATTACATAGTTTGCAGCACACACACACACACACACACACACACACACACACACACACACACACACACGTTTAACTTTACACTGTTTTTGCATGTCTAGTTGAAGCATAC